GGTGGCGCACTTCTTGCCGCTGCCCTTCGCGCCCTTCTGCCACTGCTTGTCTTCCTCGGCGGCGCGCTTGGCGTCTTCGGCGGCCTTCTTGTTGGCCGCGGCTTCGGCCTTCTGTATGTGCGAGGGTTGTCAGTGAGCGTGGTCTCTGCTGGTGGTGAAGTGGGGGCGGGGTAGTAGATTGATGCTCAATCGGAGGGGGAAGGGGAGAGAAACATACGCGGGCGTTTCCAGCGGCCTTTTTCGAGTTCTCACCTCCCTTTCTTGGGCCCATGTTGCTGTCGTGCGCGCTCTTGCTGGGAGTGTGATGGCTTGTTCGAGAGTTGGAGAGGAGATGGGTCGCTCTGACCTAATCAGTTGCCTAACTAGGCCATCGGACGATGCGGATCCCGGGTGCCGATGACTAAGGGGTGTGTGCATGTGATCTGGTGAGCCCTCATTCACTGTTGTTTACGGAGTACTCTGTAGAACAACAGACGGTCATATTCGCTATCAGAGCGTTAAATGCCTTGCTTATTCAAGAACGCTGTCCAAACGCCTCGTCTGATCTATCGTGCAAATATCCAATCCAGAACGGTGTGGCAAACTCCTCAAAACTGTGCATCCATAAAACCAGCTCCCCATGCAACTCTTGCAATCATATACTATGAACACATAGACCTGAAATCAGGTTATCCCGCGCCACAGGCAAGCAGATTCTCTTACATGAGTCACGTTGATAATTCCCTCACAGCCCCAAGTTGCAAGTCATGGGCTTCCACATATTCTCCTCCACAATCTTTTCCACATCAAACCCGGACGCACCGATGCGCGCAAAGACTTCATCCGGCACTGTCATCAGCGGTCTCTCATTATAGAAGACTTGCCAGCCTGCCCCGAGGTCCGAGCGCCTGCTCACCTCGGGGTCGGACACATAGCCGTCCTTCATATCGCGAAGCTGAGCGAGGCGCGCCGGCACGTGGACGATGCAGTTGGTGACGGGCCCGGCGCGGATGTAGCCCATGCCGACGTATTCGATGGCCAGCCTGGGGTGGCAGATGACCAGGTCGGCGAGGATGGCGAGTTCCCTGCGCAAGGCGGCGGTGGAGTGGCTCTTGTTGTGCCAGAAGAACTGCAGCGCCTTGAGCGACGTCATGTTCTGGATGTTGTGGGTCACGGCAGTCTGGTAAGGGTCAGTTCTGTTCTCAGTGGAATCTGTTCACGGCTGACTTACATAGCTGTCGGAGTTGACGCTGACGGCCAGCTCGGCTAGTCTGGGCGCCGTCGTGAGCAGCGTGGCGGTGGACGGGTCGAGGTCCCAGGCGGAGGTGTCGTCGTGGCGGATGACCAGGCGCTCCAGATGGGGCGTGTGCTTGTCGAGGACGAAGCGGCGGATGTCGGCGATGGTGGCGGTTGTGCGGGCGGTGTTCACGAGGGTCGAGCGGTGGCTGCGCTCGAGGATGAACAGCTCGCAGAGCCGCGGCAGGTTGTGGACGAACTCGAGAAACGCCGGCACCACATGGTCGGTGTGGATGGAGGTGAGGCTGTACGGGGTGTGTGCGTGTCGCTTGTTCATCGCCGCCCAGATGTCGTCTTGGGGGCCGACGTTCAGCAGCGACAGATGTCTGATCGCGCCCAGGTCGACGCCGCTGGTGAGGGTGCTGGCCGTGATGGGCAGCAGGTACAGGTACAGCCCTTCGACGGGGAGACCGTGCGCCTCGCGAACGTACTCTTTGATGGACTTTGCGTTTGGTTTCGCGGAGGCGCCGACCGTCTCGCTGACGGACGATATGGACGTGCGTGCATCGCTCGGTCCCGACAACACCAGCGACGCGGGTCCAACGGATGACGCAGATGAGTCGCCAACGCTGGCCTCTGGATCGACACGGGTAGAGCTTGATGGTCCCGGGTCGTGAACGGTCAGGGTGGAGTTTGAGTGAGGGACACTCTTGTGGTCTGTTGGCACCGAAAGCCCAACGTCGAAAAGAAAGGCCGACGCTTCTTCCTGGACTGCGATTTGGTGCAGCATGCCTGGAGTGGGGCGCAGCTCTTCGGGGAAAATCGGTTGCTCCTCCTCGTTCTCGTCATCGTCTGAATAAGGCCCAAAGATGTCGTTGAAGTCAAGGCTCTGATCGTCGTTGTGGTGGGCGGCGTTTGGAAGAGGCGGGAGGAAGCTCGACTTCTTGAGAGCGAGGATGTCAGCAAACGACAGTTGGAGGGTCTTGAGGGTGGACGATGAGGATGAGATGCATTTGGCAACCTCGGGGATGCAGTCCAACGACGGGATGTCGAGAATGGTCAATGTCTTGAGGCCCGACATGAGAGGAAGGACGCGGCTGGCCGAGGGGACCATGTTGGCGTTTGTTTGCGTGTACTCCAGGACTTCAGAGAAGGAGGTTGCATAGGCACGCCAAGACATGGGGCCAGAGGTCAGTCGAACATGCAAGGACTGCAAGTTGTTCAGGCGCTCCAGGGCGAGGAGCAGGGACGGAGAGAGTTCGATGTTCAGGTCCCATCTGGAGTTGTTAGCATCCTGTACACTAGCTATCAGTCGGTGCGAGATTACCTAAAAATGGCCAGATTGACCGCTTTCTCGAGCAACTGGACTAGATAGTAATTCAAGGTCTCTTGACGTCCGGGAGAGGTGATCGGAGACCTGGAGGCGTAGAGCGGACTTCCGAGCACGTCGGAGCCGTCGATACTGCTGATAGTAATCTCCCTGACATACTGGGCGTAGTCATGTGTGCTGGTCAGCAGCTGCCCCATCAAGGAGGTGAAGCGCTGCCAGGAAAACAAGTCATCCATGGCACTGCTCGGGTAGAAGGTGTGGGAGATAGCCCGATACAGGCGAGGGGCCGCCTGCTCGTGGAGCGAGCGGCAGACCCTGGCAACACTGAAGAGATCGGAGAGATCCAGCTATATATACCTTTGTTAGCGAGGATGAAGCGAGCGAGAAGGGTTAGGGCTTGAAACGTACCTGAGCGAGAATCTTGTCTGTGATTTCGGCAGGGAGACGGACAAGAGAGCGGGGGTAGTCGTCATCGGTAGAGGGATAGGCAGATGTAGGAACAGAAGGAGGGTCAGGAACAGAGGCAGAGATGGAAGAAGTGTCCTCGGAGGACGCCATGGTGGGAGTAGTGGGATGAATCTCTTGGTGAAGGTGAAGGGAGCTTGGAATAGCTTCAGGAAGTGGGAGACGGGAAGAGAAGGAGAACGGTGGAAAGGAGGAAGAAAGACGAAGGGAGTGAGGATGGAAGATAGGATAGAAGAAGAGAGTGAGAGGAGGACGACATCGTCAGGGACAATGAATGCAGAGGGACGAGAAGGACAGTGAATGGTGAAACGCATGAGGATGGGATAACAGAAGAGCCCGTTCTATATGGGAAGAGACACAGCCGTCGCTGGAAGAGGAAATGCTACGGGGGTATCATCGTCTTCACTTGCAACACTGCAGGACGTTCTGTTACTGCCTTGCTCGCAGCTCCATCGCAACGTGCATCGCTGAGAACCTGCACCGTTACGCCTCACACTATACAACTGCAACAACATTACGGCGACATAAAGAGAAATTCCACCAAAGTTGCTGTCACAAAGAGTCATACCATCATTAACAAGCATGTAGTACATACATACATCGTATTGTTTTTGTCTACCATCCACCACAGGCATCCGGTATGCTTCCGGGACCTGCGGCCACGCATCCACCCCGTCCAGAATCGCCAGGGCCATCCCACCCATCAAGTGAGTCTGGAGGTGACAGTGCAGCAGAAACGCCCCCGGATTGACCACCTGGTACCGGATCGCCATCCACGTCGCCGAACGCGCCGGACTGGCCGTGTCGTACGTGTCCCGGAGCTGGGGGTTCTCCAGGTTGAAGCTCTGCGGGATGTCCTGCATCGCCTCGACACGGACGACCAGTTCCAGGCGCCGGTGCCCGACCCGAGCACGAAGAACTTGTTCGAGTGTTTGTGGATGGGATGCGTGGTGCTGCTGATGTTGAAAATCAGGTCCACCCAGGTTCCGTTCCGCGTGCTGATGGTGTACTTGGACGGGATGGAGCTCTTGTTGAAGAGCACGGGGCTGGCTTCCTCCAGCTCCATAGAGTAGCTGTCCTCCCCCATCAGCCACTGGTAGGAGGAGTTCCACCGGTCCACGTTCAGGATGACGGTCTGGTCGACCGTGGCCGCAGGTCGGACGACAGGGAAGGGAACTACGCTGGTCTCGTTCAAGATCACCGTGGCGGTGGTGGCATTGATGCCTGTTTCCGTGATGGAGGCCTGAGACGGCCGACGCTGGCGCTGGCCTTGCGTCGATGGCGTGTATGTCATGACAGCCGTGCCGTTGATGATCTGATTCACCCCCGTGTTGGCCACCCGGACAGTGTAATCGCCCGCCGGTTGGTCCAGCTTCGTGAACACTGAGTATCTCGTTCCAATCGGCACGGTCACCGCATCGACCCGGAGAGGCTCGATATATCGTCCGTCCACCCGGTAGACGTACATCGGATGCTCGTCGATCGAGAACACCAGCGTGGACACGCTAGCCATGCTAATGAGATCCCAGCTCCGATACATCGTGGCAGGATCCACCTCGAATCTCTCCGTGGGCCCGTCTCCAGCGGTGCAGTCCTTGTAGAAGCCGGGAGGGGCCAACTCGGGCGTACGATCGAACGGTCCCAGAATAGCATCAATAGGCGGGAGACATCTATAGACCGTCAGCTAGCAAGAACACAAGTGAAAAGAAGGCCCGTCACATACGCCATATCAGTCAGAGTCTGGTTTCCCATCGCTTCCCTCTGCGTATCCGTCGTGAGTGCATTAATCCGGTCTTGCGCAAGACACATCGTGGAGCCCTTGCCATTGATCAAGACGGCATTGACACAGTAATTCTCCATGCCGGAAACTTCCTCAGCCTGCCAGAGTTCTTCAGATGTCATATGGCGCCAGTCGGAGACGATGATGGGCTGCGTTTCCCGCTCTGCCCTGCGGAGCGCCTCCAGTTCACTCGGATCCTGGGTGATCAGGTCGAACGGCTGCTCCACGCAGTCATCCGGTTCAACAATGATCGCCCCGTAGAGTCCGTCATCGATCTGGCCTCGGGCATGGCTATGGTAGATGTACGCGCCGTAGTCAACCGCCTTCCACTGGTACAGGAATTCCTCACCCGGAGGGATATTCTCCTGCGAGAGGCCCGGGACACCGTCAGACCACGGCGTGCCCAGCTGTTCGATGCCTAGTGCAGGGGTCAGCATCAACGACATGGTTCTAAAGCAAGACAGCCTACCATGCCAGTGGACGGTGGTCCCAAACGGCATCGAGTTGTTCACGAGGACTTCCACATCGTCACCTTGCTTCATTCGCAGCGTCGGGCCGGGAAACTGCCCATTCACCAATATCGTCTTCCGGACAGCTCCGGCCACTTCTCGGTCTTCCCATGACAGGTTCAGTTCGTATTTGACCAGGTTGCAGGAGGCCAGTTGCATGAAACACGTAGAGGCCAACAGACCCAGTGCGGCTGCGGTGGCCTTCATTTTAGAGGCAGGTGGTGATAGAACCCAATATATACAAGAAAAGGGAATAGGTCATAGAAATATACAGGAACAAAACTGGGGAGAAAGCATATACAACGAAGAAAGCTTTGAACCGATGTCGATTTTTCGTCTAACTCATCCCCGGCAAAGGCCCTTTATAGACACCAGGCGGTTCATACGCCCATCGCCACGGCCAGAAACATCGTTTCTTGATCCGAACTATAACACCAGAGCCATTTATAGTCAAGCAAGGGATACCAATAGGAAACCGCGCGTGTCAAGTCATTCTTCGGTGAAATAGCCTTCCTCGTTGCGACAAGTGCAACCATCATAAGAGCACGCCAGAGGACGATGCTGGAATATCAGAACGGCTTATCCAGCATCTATATAAACCCGACGCAATCGACAAGAGCCTCTGTACGACATGGACTCAGGAACCAACGGCCAGAGACAGATCTTGACAGCCACAGGACTTGAGTGCATGCGCCAAAGCGCGGAGAAAATGAGCTGTCACTCCTGGCGCCCTTGCAGATTACAAGTGCCAATAGACGTCCGGATTAGTGATTAGACGTCGCCCGTATGGGGATCGACGTCGTGACTTGCCATAGCGGAAGTGACATATCCAGCGAACCGTGATACAACTTAGGGGGAAATCCCGATATACAGATGGGATTAGCGATAGGCAGCTACGGTACCTACAGCTGGCCGCATATGCATCTCACATGCCGCAATGGTCTGTCGGATATTGCATACAGTGGATTAAATTCACTCGGGAGAACAATCTAATACAAGTAGTAGCTTCGATATACGCTGTGCAATAGACAAAAAGAACGCAAATGCTATGATCCGTAACAGCATAGAGAAAAGTAGCGCATCATATCGTCATAAATCGAGAATCTGGCCCGCGTCTCGAATCAATCATCCAGGGAAATCAGCTGCTGGCCTTCGGTGCGAGCGTCATGCTCGAGGTCCACCGGTGGTTCCCCTATTTCCATAACATCTGGAGGATCAACCGCTTCCGTCTCAACTGGTGGATCTGCGTCGACCGCGGATGCTGTCGATGAGTCTTCTCTTTCCGGCTCTGCGAACGCCTGTTCCTCCACCGGTAGCTCAACGAATGGAGCAACGGACTCCATCGGTTGTTCCACAGATGCAGGCGTTTCCTCCAACTGTGTGGGCTCACTAAATTCTCCCACCGATGCGGGGCTCTCTTCCATAGTGAATTTAGTAGCAGTAGTCACTGGGTCCGCGATATGCTCTTGGGCCGCAGCAGACGAGAGAACAACGGTGGACCCCGGCGCATCGACATTAACATCCGTGGAAACGGGGGGACTAGGGCTAGTCACCGGGTCTTCAGCATGATCTTGGGCCATGGAAGAAAACGCAACGGAAGACACCGACTCATCCAGGTTGAGGCCTGTAGACACGGCTGGACTTGGAGTCACCGACGACAAAGGCCGAGACACAGACATTACTGGCAGTTCGCCCACGTCCATCATATCTTGGGGGAACAGTCGCAATTCTGGCGCCAGCGCTCGGGGTCGGAAGTTGATCGCAAAGAATAGCACCATAATGCTCAAAACCACAATCGCAACATTGCGCTTGTCGGCCGCCAGCACCCGGATGTAGTTCACGAGCAGCGTTTGAAGGTCGATCTCGGCCGCGTGTTTTCTGGGCTCGGAAAATCTATCCGTGCCTTGCTGTTCCTGTCGCATGGTGGCACCCGAAGCAGACGACGAGGATCTTTGCGCAGGGATAGGAGTCGGTTCACGCGTACGCGGGTTGTCCAGGCTTGGTTGGAGAGCGCACACCGGCTCGTGGAGTTGAGGCACCGGCATAGCACTCCTGTTCCGGGTACCCTCGACCTCCAACAGCCTCTTCTCTAGCTCCCGCCTAACCTCCGAGGGCAGCCAGAGCCCAACCTCGACGTCCACCTTCTCCATCTCCTTCCACGCAGCGGCCCAGGCGCCCGCCTTCATGAGCCCATTCGCGGCAAACACCCGGATTTCCCACTTCCTCCCCGCGCCGACATGGTGCACCACGCGGCCGCCGCAATCCGGACACTCCTCGCCCTCCTCATCATCAGTCGTGGAGTGGCCCTCCTTCTCCGAGTCCGCATCGTGGCCCACAAAATGCCCATGATCCAGCCGCGGGCGCTGCAACTCCAAACTCTCCAGAAGCCGCTCCTCCAGCACATCGTACATATCCTCCGGGTGGGAGATCAGCACGCCGCGGTCGCGCACGACGCCCGACCCGACCTTCTCCTCCAGCCGCTTCCACCGCCGCCAGTACTCGGGCGGCAGGACCTCCTGGAGGATCTTCTGGTCCGGACACCCCACCAGCCCGGGCACCGGCAGCGACGGCGGGAGCAGGTTGCAATGCAGCAGGACGAGGGGATACTCTTTCTTGGGCTTGGGTTTGGCGGCACCGGACCCGGTGGGCGAGTAGTAGGGCGAGGCGCGCTTGAGAGGCGACGATGACGAGGCGGCCGAGCGCGCGGAGATGTCGGAGAGGCGGTGGCCGGCGGGCTTGCGCTTGGGTGGCGTCAGGAAGTCGTCGTCGTCGTCGCCCTCGTCCTCGGTGTGCATCTGCATCGCGCGGACGGAGCTGGGCTTGCGGAAGGCTGCCTCGCGCTGGCGCACCGTGTGCAGGATGCGGCTGTATGCCTTGCCGTCGCGGTCGTCCCAGGCGCGCGCCGGCGGCGGGGCTGCGTTGGCGGTTGTCTCGCGCATCGCGAACGCCTTGAACCCGTCCATAGTGTGGGTCAGTACGGAGCCCGGGATGGAGGAGACGGAGGAATGGCTGGACGCGCGCGAGTGGCTGCCGTCGCGCGGCTCGTCTTCGTCGTCGCCGCCGAAGATGTCGCTGGAGGAGTGCTGTGCGGAGGAGGCCGACGAATGGTACCCGCAGTCCTGGCCTAGAAATTGCATGTCCCCGTGGCCGTGGAGCTCCGCGTCATAGTGGACGAGGTCCTGCGAGATGGCCGTAAGCGCGGTCTCCGATGGCTCTTGCGTCGGGGAGTATGGACGGGCGAGTTGGAGCGCCTGGGCTTCGTAGGGAGGATCCTCCATTGGAATGGGCTATGAATGGGGGTAAACAGTGATGTCCGCAGGAATGTTCTCTTCTTGTGCAACGGTCTGCTGGGGCGGTACTATACCGCTGGAATGTCAGCAATATATCTCAGCATGTACAAGGAGGTAGAGTGGACTTGCGGCAGATCACTGCGTCAGATCATGAAAATAGATTGTCCTGACTCATGCAGGAACAGAACATGGTATTAAAGGAGTAAGATTCTCTTTCAAAGGGATCGTGATTAATGTTGAACTGGCAAGTCAGTGATGTTGTCTTTGTTGATGGTGGCGCTTCACCGCCTCGTTGTGCAGGGCAACCATCATGCAGTAGTATGAACAGGCCATGTTTCCTCAACACAAAGAGTCGGTGATAAACCACAGAATATCTATTGAGTACATACCCTATGATACACAGGTTATTATCACGGTCATGCATTTATGGAATATCGTAACACACGTAACTGGCAGTCATAAGCAAGCTTATGCGAGCTTCATGAGAACCCCACGCTTCAAAAACACAACGGATAGCAAAAGCCCCATATACAAGACCGCAAAGAATCCAACAAAATGAAATGCAGCCAAGTCCAAGGCCCTCTAAATTCCGCAACAAGAGACATGACCACCGCTAGACGCCGAGAAGCTTCCAAAGTATGATAGAGAATAGAGACATCGCATCGCTGGACATGGGCACATAGACGCTGAACATGATATATAGACAAGGGTGCCGAAATTCACTGGGGCTGCCGTGAAGAACCATCCCCCGGGCTCATCAATTGATAATTCTGATTCTCTCCGAAGTAGTTGAGAACGTCCTGCGGAAGGTACTCAAGCCAGGGCAGAATTTCCCCATTGAAGCTGAAGGGAAGGTGGTCCTGTTGCTGAAGGGTGGTCATATCAATGTCTTGACTTTCGATAAATATATCCCCAGCCTGCATTGCCGCGCCTGAATGGTATTCAGAGGGCCTTGGGGCGATATGACTGCCACTGCTTTGCTGATCACCGGGCCCAGAAGGAAGATTATAATTATACCCCGGCCCCTGAGCTTCCATCCGCGATGACATGTTGGGATTGTACGCAGCTTGAGTCGGTCGGCGAGAGGTAGAGCTGGAATAGGAGGCGTTAAGTCCCAAAAGAAGGTTCGCGTCAGAAGTAGACACCCGTGCAGAATTGAGCGGCGAGTACTTCTCAGACCCGGTTGCAGCCGACGAATTGGGGGTCGCATCAGACGTTCTCGGCGGCTCTAGGGACTGGGAATAGGAACTCGAGCTCTGACCGCTGCCTGACTGCACAGGTAGCGTAGGGTAGCTGTGAGAGTACTGGGATGAATATGCCGGGGCTTTGCTAGACACGGATTCCGGCTGGCTAGCGGGCATTTGGTATAACACGCTCAGATTGGGCTGTGAAGAGTTGGTAGCCCCTGTAAGGGCCCAGCCGATAGCTAGAAGAAAGACAGTCAATATCATTCGAAAACCAACGAAAAAGACACGGGCTCCAAAACTATCCTGGATAGTACACGTACCTTGACTGGGGTCTATTCGAGGAGACCGCCTCCCATCGGATAAAGCGTCAGCCGTCTTTCCTGGCGTCTCCGAGTCGATCGGAGCCCCAAGAGAGGCCTTTGCCCTTCGCCAATCATGTGCATTCACGGGTTGGACCGAGGGTGTTTCAGCTGCACTTTCCATCTCTTCCGTAGTGTATAGCAGGGGGTCAACGATCCCTTTAGCCTTTTGATCTAGGACTGTGATGATGTATCTAGTCCCTTCCCAATATGTCTCCAGAGCTTTCAAGGCCTTGTAGCAACGCTGGTAATTTTCCCGGGCTGCAGAGGCAAGGAGGATGTGTTTCGCGGTTGGTTTTCTGTCTGATCCGCTCGATGAATCCATATTAGGCATCACGAAACCACTGGATTGACTCGTCAACAAAGGCTGGCTGGGAGGAGTACCAGATCTGGAGGACGGCGAGGAGTAGTATGCGCTCTCCATTAGGAAAGCGCACGCTGCGATGTACATTGGCTGGCTGGTGAACGGATTTCCGATGAAACTCTTTCCATCCACGAGCTCAGAGAAAGACAAGATATCGGCAATTGTTTTGGCCGACGACATCGAGAGCTCCCTGCTGTTCGGATAGAGATGCTGTATCGTGCCACCAAATGAATTGAGAAGCGTAGGTTGGTGAAGCAAGACGATCAGTGTGTGGAACCACTATAATATGAAGATTAGACATGATGACCGACGATGCATCAGGGGAGATCTTACAAAGTGAAGAAGTATGAAGTTCGTCCCTTCTTTCGCCTTCACGTACGCCTGAAAGTTGGCGGCATTAAAATGAAGCCTCGGAGATAGTCGTTGATAGATTCCTACACATCCGGCAGTTAGCAGCAACGAAACAGAAAGTCAAAGTCCATAGGAGGGCGGATCAATACCTGTGAGATCGCTCTCCATTCCGGCCAACCGTTTGAGGGTGTCGGAGGTTACATGCTTGACGTCTTGAATTCCATTGATGAGATCCGTCACTCGACCATATAAATGTATAATGCGTATGAGCGGCGGGAACGGAGCAGGCCAGCCGTTGGGGAGGACTGATTCGGATTGCAGGGGAAAACACAGCTCGATGTCTTCATCCCGCAACGTCACTGGTCTCCCGGTGCCCGATGATATCACGCGATCGAGGAAGAATATGCTCCAAAACGTGTCCACCCGTTCCCGCTCCCAAGCACGTTGCTGTTCGCTGTAGTCGGGCGGTCCTCTGACGGGACTGTGTGGCACTCGTGGATCGTCATATTGTTCTTCCCTCAGTTTTGCCGCCTGTCCGGTCATCACAGCATTCGGGGTCACGCCACTTTGGCCGTAGCTATACTCCAGTCCCTGCAGCTTCTGCATCCCAAGATCTTGTGCCATCCGAATGGAGATCCCCAGGTACATCCAAAGGCCGCTGTCATGATTAGAGCCGAACTCCTCGTATGCTAAGAGAAGGCATGCCTGGACGACGGATAACGTCGGACAGGATAGAGAATCCACCAGAGCACTCATGGCTCGATGTGCAAATGGCTGACCACGATCAGACTTGCGCACGTCTGGCTGTGGCTCAGAGCCGTCGATCGGCGGAGCTTGAGGAGGACTCAGCAGCGGGTGAGGAGAAAAGCGCGCCGACAAGGCACAGACAGCGTCAACAAGCATTGTATCGACCCTTTTGTCTTTCAGATCACGAAGGAACCTTTCGCGCTGGAGGAATGGGAAGTTGCAGCCCAGATGGGCGAAGAATAGATCACATAGGTGTTTGACTAAGTTGCTAACCGGCAACGAATCATCTCGGTCGTAGAAAGGAATAGTGTTGGCGTCGCGAGTGTCGCGGGTGTCGGTGATGGAGTTGATATGGCCAATTCCTGCATCGGCAAATTTTGGACTGCGTAAGGGAGATAGAGATTCTGCTGGTGTCTAGTATAAGCATGCGTGCCTTGATTGGCACCATCCGCAAACAGACAGAGCTGGAGATGGTCATGGGAGGGGTTGCGAACCTGATGATAGTGAAGGGTTGCTTTTACGTGAGCCTCGCACTTGGACAACCTATGACCACATTAGGATCTGAGTATCAAAACTAGAAGAGTTCCCAAACCATTTGCTTGAAACCAGGTACGATGGCGGTCGGGCCGAAATATCGAAAATAAGGGACGTGGGTGCGAGCGCTGGAGCTCAGAGAGGTGCGATCTGTCGCAAAGCATGGTTAGTATGGACGACGCCTAGCCCTATGAACCAACGCAACCGATAACATACTGCTCTCTGGACTTTCCCCCGCGGCGGTCGGTTCGGCTTCTTTAGCTGTGCGCAATACATCCCTTGCTGAGCAGCCCTCTTTCCGCTCGGATGGTTTCGAGTTCTCGGCGACTTTGTCCAGGTCATCCCGAGGTGGTATTGTAGGTCGTGGAGGGGAATCCGGCGATCGGCTTTCCGCTTTCACTGACGCGCGCAAGTGGTCCCCATCGCTCGGTCCAGATACCGGGGGGGCGGCGGAGAGTCGTGATGCGCCATCGGACGCAGGCCGAATATGAGGCGGTTCGCTGTATCCTAGACACACATGATTGTAATCGGAGCATGTTTTGCACACTGGGCATATCAACGTGTCAGCGACAGCGTTATCGAAGTGTACCGGCGCATGGACAGTACCCACCTGGCTGTTCACCGGAGCATCGTATCTTGCGCTTGCGACATGTCCGACACCTGTTCCGACGAGCGCGGAAGTCAGCTACTACCCAAGGGAGGGCGGTAGGGATACGGAGGAGGTAGGCTCACGCAGCGGTCACTCGTCGCCGTTTGGTCTGGGGCTGTCCATCGGTCGAGACGAAGCGGATCTGCCGAGGAGGGGGGATGTTGTTGCCGCCGTTCTTCTGGGGAGACGGGTGGCTCATTGCGAGCAGATGGTCATCCGTGGTCACAGCACATCGGGCACTAGTCTGGATCCCGACTCTATGACCGTCGAACGGTCCCTGTCGCAAACGGGGGGCGCCGAGGACCAACGGAATGAGAAGGACGCGGGAGAAGGACTGTCGAGAGGAGCGCCAGGTCAAGAGGCAAATCCATGGACAAGGGTCTGGGTTGTGGCTGAGGTGGTCGATCGCCGAGCTGTCCGTTGGTGATACTCCGGAGTAGTACTGTATGTAATAATGCGAGGCGGAGTGAAGTGCGAAAGACGGCGAGTGGATGGAAGAAAAAGAAGAGAAGGGGGGAGAGAGAAGAGCAATGAGGGGAGTTGAGGTAAGGTAGGAAGTTCCTTTTTTTTTGTTGGCCTAGGGCGTCAGCGGTGGTTCACGATAGGATGGCAGGATCGTACAGGGCAAATTACGGATGGAGTCAGAGGTACCTCCTCGCCCGGGTCACGAACTATGGAAGCGGAGGTACCGTTCCGGGGTATTTGTTGGGGTTTTATATCCAAAAGAGAGAAAATAAATAACAAACAAGCTAGAAAAAATCACGATATTGATAAATGATGATAATTACCATAATATTGTCTAAAGCATAATACTCGTAAAATCATCGAAAAGATCAAAGAAAAAGAAAAGGATCTCTCTATCGCAAGCTGTTCTGGCCTTGACCGCCCCAGACAAAGCCAGCGAGGTAACATGACCAGCGGTTAAATCTTCCCACCCAACATGAATGAATGCAGGCAATCGATCCGATGATCCGTCATTCCCATGATTTCTTCGAATTATTATTAAATTATTAATGGACGGAAACAGATAAGCCTTCGAGTGCACTGTGTCCTGTCAACCTTCCCCCCTCCAAAATCCTTTCGAGCTCATGTGACGGATGCGTGGTCCCGTCGGCTTGGGGTCGAGTCGCCCATGGGGGGGAGTAGTGGAGACTCCTAGCGTACTACTACTACGACTTAGGTAGGTGTTTCTCCCTCCCCGCACAAGGACGAGGATACTAACTCACCACCATGTCGAGGACGGACGAAACATTAGCTTATTCTAGAATATCACCAGTTTCGGAACGGTACCTGCAGCTCTCGGCCTAGGAATGGAGCCTGTTCAATCCCACGTTGATTTCTCTCGTTGTATTCCGTACATAGGTACATAGGGAGGAGCTAACGTGCTGATCACACCATCATAACGGGGAGTCTGGACTCCGGGGATTATGGAACGGGGAGGAAAAAAAAGTGGATGTCCTTTGTTCGTCTGGAGAAATCACGGCCGACGGGTTCCTCACCATCTATCGGTCGACAGCAAAGTGAAACCCACTGCGGTCCCACGTTTCGTGGTGTCATCCGCAACCGACCATCGGCCTTCTCTGGAGTCGGCCGGTATGTCGGCAAATTTCTCCCCATTCCGACAACTCAACGAGTTAATTATTCATGATCATGGTCACTGACTGCCTACCACTACTAAGGAGTATTCAGGTTTGAATCAATGGCCGATGGCCTACCAAGGCGGAGTTCCATCGTTCGCATGACAGCTACATAGCTCTAGCTCTATGATAATCTGGGGATGATCATTAACTGATCGGCAAATACCATCCCAGGTCTAAGGCCCAATATATGTACAAATACCGCCTAACGATCCAATCGCTTCGAATCTAAAAATACCACCGACACAGACCATGCAATAGGAAGGAGATCTAGAAGTTGGGTCGAGGAATCTCAATCGCATCGGTAGTCCGCCCGTATTGAATCCCTCCCAAGCGGCTGATCGGTTTCAAAACCTTCAGATCAATGACACTCTTCGCTTCGTCAATCGCGTCCTCCCGCGCCCAAAATCGGACGCCCTCGATAATAGCGAGAACTCCCGTTTTCTTGCCCGGCGTTTGTCGGCTTTCGAACTCTCTGAATTCAACAAGCTTGCCTTCGATGGACAGGATCGACTCCTTCACCCGCGCGGCTTGAACGACAGAACTGGGAGCCTGGTGGAGCCCCGATATCTCCCATTCAGAGACCCCGTAGGGCGCGTTGATCGCGGTCGCATTCGCCGCCTCGACAAAGTGCTCCGAGATGATGTTGATCACACACTCTTCGGACTCGGCCAGGTTCTTCACCGTATCCTTAGCGTTTTCAAGGGAACCCACGAACCCGACCGCAAAGAGGGGAGGGTCATGATTGATGACTTGCGAATAGCTGAATGGCGCCAAGTTGCATGTCTTTCCGTCCTTGGACTTGGTGCTAATGAGGGCAATCGGGCGAGGAACCATGCCAGAGATGAGGATCTTATAGTTGGACGACACAGGTCTTCCCTCTTCGTATGGGTCAATCTCGATATGCTTCTTCTTGAGACACTCGCCCCCATCGTTGGCGCCGTCGCCCTGCTTCCAGTCCGGATTGGGCGGCTTGGTGAAAGTGACCTCTGTGTCCCGCTTGAAATCCGGTCGCGAAGCCTGGATCTTCTCAAAGTCGTCGCCAGTTTTGAAAAAGGCGGAGGTGGTTGTGTTCGTCGACATTTTGGCAAGGGCCCGTGAGGGACCAGTGGTCGGAATAATAGGAGCTTTATAAATACTGCAGAAGTTAGCAATTGTAGACTCCCCTCGTGCCCAGGCAGATGCCGGCAGGGTCAATTCCCTATGGCTAGCGCAAATGCACTGCAGCGACAAGACCAAACCAGAGGGGGAGGGCGACTCACGAGGGCCGAATAGTTGATACCAACGACTGTCGCAGACAACTCAGAATCCGACAGCGGTGCATTGAGACGATACGTTTTGGATGTTATCGCAGTTATATGGATCAGTTGGGCAGAGTGCGGGTCTTGGTGTCAGTTGAGCCGAACTATGACGAGCTGGCCATAATGCCACAGTCCTATATTCCAGGCATTGCTTATTTCCACGACTGATAACTTGTAGAGAAGCTGTCGTTGTGCGTGGAATTACATCCTGCACTACCGACCTCCGGGCCGATAACAACAATCAGCGGCCGAGTTTGTCCCGCATCAAGACAACAATGGTGATAGGTAATCTCTTCGGAGAGTTATTGTATAAGCAACTTGGGATGTCGTCTTTGTAAAGCATAATGTCATCAACTAACCATCTTTATATACTAACGACTCACGGTTAGTGAGTTCTATATATAACATGCCGAGGAGTTAATTAGCACTTGCTGTCTAGGATGGACGATGTAACTCCATTACCACATCCATCTGTCTATGGAAGGACTACAGGTATAGTAAGGAGCTTTACCGTCGGACAACATGCGGAGAAGCTCACGGAAACCATGATTCAATTTGTCAGATTCTAGGTTTGTAAGCCAGAGAGTGCACTGATCGTAAACGTAAAAGTGTCTTATCATCCTATTATAAAAGAGGGGTTATCCTACCTAGTCGGACTACATTGTAGCTCAGTACGAAGACCACTGCATTCCCCTCCCAAACAGCAGAATGACCCAGCAAGACTATGAGACATTCAAGCTCGGAGACTGGGAGCTCCAAAGCGGAGAGACGCTCGTCAACGCCCATCTGGCATACAAGACCTTCGGCGACCCCAGATCACCTGCAATCGTCTACCCCACGTGGTTTTCAGGCTGTGCGTATCTAACCTACCACGTCTCCCCACGATAGCATATCGCGGATCCAAGAGGGCTGATATGACGTGTGCCGTCAAGTGATCTCGGACAATCTCTGGCTGATCGGAGAAGACAAGACGCTCAGCCCCAAAGACTATTTCATCATCATCCCAGCGCTCTTCGGCAACAGCCAGTCAACGTCCCCGACCAACTATGGCATTGCCGGTCCCTTCCCCAAATGCTCTTTCTACGACAACGTCCGTGCCCAGTATACCCTTGTCACGCAGCACCTGGGGATCAAGCATCTCCGCGCCGTCGTCGGATGGTCGATGGGCGCGGCGCAGAGCTACCAGTGGGCCACGCAGTATCCCGATTTCATGGATCTAGTGGTGCCGTTCTGTGGATCAGCTAGAACGTCCCTTCACAACCAGGTTTTCCTGGAGGGGGTCAAAAGTGCCCTGTTGGCTGCTAAACAGATTCCCTCTGCGGGTTCGGGTGATGTCGGTCTCCTTAGAGACGGCCAGACAGAGTTGGGCGCTTGGAGCATAAAAGAGAGAGAGATTGGACTCAAGGCTTTTGGTCGAGGATATGCAGGATGGTGAGGGTCCACGAAGTCTCTGAAAACTTCTCTAACGGTTTTTGTGCAGGGGTTTCAGCCAAACTTTCTACCGAGAAAGGCTCTATGAGACCGTATTGGGCTTCAAAGATCTAGAAGACTTTATGCAGAACTTCTGGGAGAAGTGGGCCTTGTCGAAAGGTACGCACAACAAAGAGAGTGACCTCATATCTGCTGCAAATGCTCATATATTTAGATCCCGATAACCTCTTGGTGATGCTGCGAACCTGGCAGAATGGAAACGTAGCGAACCAAACGCCATATGACGGCAATTTCGAGAAAGCCATGGCGTCCATCAAAGCGAAAACCCTGGTGCTTCCCGCGAAGACTGACCTTTACTTCCCGTAAGCTCTGATCTCGCTTTTCCAAGGCCAAAGCTAATCTTGATGGCTCCAGACCCGAAGATTCAGAGTACGAGGTCGCATGTATGCAGCCGGGTATTGGCACACTCCGTGTCATTCCCTCCATCTGGGGCCGTGAGTGTACCGTTGCTGATGAAGTGACATGCATCTACAATACTGACTGTTTCTGCTAGATTGGGCCGGTGGCCCTGGAGATAGTAAAGAGGACGTCAAGTGGATCGATGGACAGTTGGCGGACTTTTTGAGGTAATGGCCAGATTTATTCAAGAAGGCTTATCGCAGATATCATTGACAATGTCACAAATAACTGTCTGATTTCCCGTCACTCGTAGCTACTACTACCTCTACTGTACCGTCATTCTGTAGGCATTGACGATGCACGTGATAACTGGCTGAGTCATCTCGCCGGCGAGTGACATCTCTTCCGCGGTGGCAGCAGCTTCAATTGGCTTTTGAACCGCCCAGCCCTGCCTTTCCACCTCCGTCACCTCCCTTCCTCTCCTTTTCCTTTATCTTCTGAATCTCATCTTCGTCTTCATCCGTGGCATTTTCCCTTTTCATTTCGGCTCTTCGATCTTCCGTTCGCTCATTTACCCACCTGCATCGGAGGCCGTGTGCTCTGCGCCGTTATCGCATGATCTTCTTACTTCTTACGAACTTAATCACCAACCGCCAACAACATGGCAACGCCACCGGTCCGACAGTGGGGTGTGACCCCTCCTATCTCTACTGTCTTGCCGACCCCAGATGAACTCGCTGCGAATGACGATCTCATCGCCGAACTGAAGCGGCAGAACAACTTTGAAAGTCCCGCAGAGACAGAGCAAAGGTAAGGGATGGCGTATCACCGCGTTGCCTGATCGCAACGGTCGCTGACTCTATCGCGGTATAGGAAGGAAGTCCTCAAGCTCTTACAACGCGTCACGATCGAGTTCGTCAAGGTGGTCAGCCGCAAGAAGGGATTGTCGGAGGCGGCGGTGGAGGCAGCTGGAGGAAAGATCTTCACCTATGGAAGTTATCGTCTTGGGGTTTATGGCCCTGGTGAGTGGACGAGGCCATGTCTATTTCAATGCGATCATGGACTAATATCAATCTCTCCAAAGGATCGGATATTGATACATTGGTGGTTGGACCAAAGCAGGTTTTGATTGATGACTTCTTCTCCGACTTCCCGCCCGTTCTTGAGAGAATGGCCCCTCCAGGGGCTATCGAAAAGATGACTCCCGTTCCCGATGCCTACGTTCCTATTATCAAGCTTGAGCTCTCTGGGATCAGTATCGATCTGATCTTTGCCCGTCTCATCATCCCTTCCATCCCCATCAACCTCGACTTGAAGAACAATGACTATCTGAGGGGCCTAGATGAACGAGAAGTCCGATCATTGAACGGAACTCGGGTCACGGACGAGATCTTGGAACTGGTACCGCAGCAGAAAACGTTCCGCCTTGCCTTGCGTGCGATCAAGCTTTGGGCGCAGCGTAAGTGGTCCGACGTAACATTCGCGCTGTGTGCCCGCTAATCGGTGATGCTCAACAGGCCGTGCGATCTACTCGAACATTGTGGGCTTCCCGGGAGGTGTCGCTTGGGCTATGCTTGTGGCCAGAGTGTGCCAGCTTTATCCGCAGGCGACTGGTTCCGTTATTGTCGGCAAGTTCTTTCGGATCATGAACAAGTGGGCCTGGCCTCAACCTGTGCTACTGAAGCCAATTGAAGACGGGCCCCTTCAGATCAAAGTTTGGAATCCGAAGGTGCGTCTGCCGCGCGTATGCCTGCAACTTGCGCTGACACGGTCCAGATTTACCATGGCGATCGATTTCACCTGATGCCTATCATTACTCCGGCATATCCGTCGATGTGTGCGACTCACAACGTTTCCATGTCAACCAAAAATGTCATTCTTCGTGAACTTCAGCGCGGAGGTGACATGGTGGACAAAATCTTCATGAAGCAGCTAACTTGGAACGATCTGTTCGCGAGACACTCATTCTTCACGAAGGATTATAAGTATTACCTCCGTATTACCGCCGCAAGCACCACCAAAGAGGCAGACTCGGTATGGTCAGGTCTTGTGGAGTCCAAAATTCGCCATCTGGTTGGAGCGTTGGACAGGAAGCCAACTATTGCCGTTGCCCATCCCTTCCCTAAGGGATTTGAGAGGATTCATGTTGTCTCCAATGAACAGGAAGCGGAGGCTGTCAAGAATGGTTCCACTGCGTACCAAGATAAAGGACAGAAGACACAGATGACGGACGAGACGAACGACCCTGCGCATCAAGCGGCAGCACAGGACCAGATCGAAAAACGTGAGGTGGCCGACACCGTCGAAGCGAAACCGAAAGGCGAAAGCTGGACGATCTACACCACGACGTATTACATTGGTCTGGAGATGAAGCCGCAGCCGCCAGGTACGTTTCCTTCTTCCCCTCCATGATTCCACTGACTTTGGAAGGCCCGGGCAAGTCGTTGGATATCTCGGCCGATGCCCAGATATTTAAATCCACGTGCACCTCGTGGCCCGGATACCAGCCTGGGATCAACGACATCACGATCACCCATGTTCGCAAGTAAGTATCGATACGCCGCATGAACCGCTCCTGATACCTAACCCGACCAGTTTTGATCTCCCCGACGATGTTTTCCAGCCGGGCGAGACCCGACCGACCCGGCCGAAGAAGAAGGTCATCAAGAAGACCGAAGCCACCGCCCAAAAACGCGGCATCGAGTCATTGGACGTAAGTGCACGCAAGAAAGCCAGAGTGGACCACGGGCTGTGAGCCACACATGGGGTTCGATGTTTCGGATGCGACATGAAGCTCTAGGTCAAGTATCCGGGTATGACTGATATCAACTGTTTGTTGAACAGGAGTCTTCGCTTCCGACTGCCAAACGCCAGGTTTCTTCGAACGGTATTCAGAACACCGCGACGCCTGCATGAGCGCCGAATTAAGGCTGCACCGGCGATCGCGTCGGGGCCGGTCCCCACATTGCGATCCGGAGACACAAGAGCGAAGGAGGCAATCTCCCTCCCACCTGGTCAGGGAGTAACGAGACACTGCTTCCAGCTGATTCTGACTGCATGACCAGTTGAAACTGTGACTCGCCAACTGCGATGAAGCTTTGCAACTGAGGTCAGGAGTTCAAGGTTGGTCTTCTTTCATTCCTCTCCTTGTCATTTTTGTTCGGGTCTATCTTCCATCCGTGGATATGGTTGTTTTCTCTTTTCCTTCACCCCTCGAAGTCCCATGCTAGAGGCGTCTGGTCCTTGTTGGGAGGCGCACATTTGCAGGAGTTGAGTCGCCCGTCCCCTTTATTTCACTGCATGACACGGCAGCAGCGGTCAATCTTTTGGGTCTACACAGCAGGTGGTTGCAGCTGTACATATCGCCTTGGTTGTCCAGTAGTCCCGGTGTATTTTCCCACTAGATCTAGTCAATGAAGACGCATATTTGTGGCCCACGGGCCATTACAATCAGTTCTGAGAGATGCAATGTAGTGAGAGTGAGTAGTGTCTCTCGGGTGTGTCGGCACTTGGAGGTTGCATCACAACCATGCACGCCCTCTACTATATGCAGATAATTATGCAGATGCACTCCACCTATCGGCCACAGTGAGTCCCGACTACCCCCGACTGTCCGAGGCAGCTGGTGATCACAGACGGGATCTATCGAAAGACATCTCGGACTTCGGGGGCTCTGGCCCGACAATGTAGGCCTATCTCCGACTGTCTTTGCCTATATAACTAACTCTTGCGCAGCAGGATATGTAGTCCCCAGACTTCAACTGCCAGCCATGGGTTTTCTAACGCTCTTCCAGTCCATTTCTCTTGTTCTCTTTCTAGTGAGTTATCCAGCTCGGCCTATTCCGCGACTACCTGCTTAACACCATACTAGAGACTGCTATATCGGAGATTCAACGGCCCCCTTGCACATCTTCCCGGCCCCGAGATCTCCAGATGGACAGGCCTCCTCGGTACGATCTACTGGTTCCGCGGGCAGAAGCCCAACTACGTCCACTATCTCCATGAGAAATACGGTATGCGCGCGACAGCCGTCAAGGCGTACATGCTAGCTACTAATGCCCCCGGATAAAGGCCCCATAGTCCGCGTCACCCCCGAAGAAGTCGACATCTGCGATATCACCGCCGCAAAGGAAATCCACAAGACGGGCGGCCGGTTCCTCAAGTCCAACTTCTACCATGCGTTGGCGCCGCCCGGCACGGAGAGCGTCTTCTCCACGACCGATCCGGCCTTCCATTCCGCACATCGGCGCCTCCTCGCCATGCCCATCTCGGATTCGTCGCTGACGGGCTTTGAGCAGGTTATCGCGGGGAAAGTGCACCTGGCGGTGCGCCGGATGGGTGAGGAGATGCGCTCCCGCGGCGCGATGGACGTCTTCAAGTGGTGGCTGTTCATGGCCACGGACGTCATCGGGGAGCTGAGCTTTGGTGAGTCCTTTCGCATGCTGGAGTCCGGGCAGGTAAGACACACATACACACACAACAGCTCCGGGCCAGCTGATCGCATCCGTCGCATAGAAAAACCAATACATCCTCGACCTCGAGCAGATATCCTCGTTGGCACCGGTGCGCACGACGTTCCCGTTGCTTGTGCAGCTCGGCTCCCTCCTGCCTCTTCCTGTCTTCCGGCGGGTCGCCGCGGCGGGCCAGCGGCTCATCGACTACGCGCAGCAGTCGATCGACCGGTACGCCCGTCTCGTGGAGGGGTCGGGGGTGAGCGCGCCGCCGCCGACGCTGTTCATGAAGCTGTACAACGCGGGCAAGGATGGCCTGTCTACGACGGAGATCCGGAACGAAGCGCGGACGTACATTGTTGCCGGGAGCGACACCACCGCGATCAGTTTGACGTATCTTGTCTATGCGGTGTGTCGGGATGAGAGGGTCCACGCGAGGCTTGTCGATGAGGTGGCCGCTCTGCCTGAGAATTTTGACGATAGGATGATGCGCGAGCTGCCCTATCTTAACTGGGTGATTAACGAGGCTTTGCGATTGTATACGGCCGTCCCGTTTGGTCTGCCGAGGACTGTTCCGGCTGAGGGAGCCGAGTTTTTGGGATACCGGCTTCCTGGCGGGGTGATCGTTTCAACGCAATCGTACAGTCTTCATCGGGATGGAGAGATATTTCCCGAGCCGGACAGGTGAGTGTTCGTCCTGTTGTCTGAGTCTGTAGCTGGTTGCTCATGGAACAAGATTCTACCCGGAGCGCTGGGAAACGGTCACCAAGGAAATGAAAGAAGCGTCTATGCCGTTCGGGAAAGGGGCACGCGGTATGTATCCTCCAGGCGCTTGGGACCTAGACGTTGTCTGATTGTATGCTGTCTCTAGCTTGTATTGGGATCCATCTAGCCCGTAGGGAACTGCGTCTGGCAACAGTGCTGTTCTTCCGCGCTTTCCCGCAAGCAAGGATATCGACTAGAGAAGGGATGGGCGAGGACGATATGGAGATGAAGAGCTTCTTTCTTATGGCGCCCAAGGGGCATCGCTGCCTCATAGAGGCGTAGTTGTTAGTATTTGATATGGAAGAGATCTAACACGATTATGGTAGTATCGAGATATCGTATGATGATAATCAATGAGAACGTCGCATATGAAGAAACGAACCCAGAAACTGACTGCAGACTCTCGACGCCAAAGGTACATTGGGCTGCAAATGCTACCCAATGCGACAAGGATCATATAAAGCATACGCAACAGCACAACTGCTGTCACAGAACCCAAAACTCCATCCATTCAAGCGGAAACACCAGCTAAACAGCAACCGCAACCTCACACAGACATGCCTTGGAGCTTCTGATACCGGGCCTCGCCATCCCAAGTATTCTCCACGCAGCGCTCAGGGATCGACCTGTGTTCACAGACACACCCACCCAGGGACGCATCCACAGCGAAGGCACTGGATGCATGCGCCAAGAGATCCATCTCATCGGTACATCCATCGCCGTGGGCCAGGATAGCCTCCAGCACGCGGCCGAACGTCAACGCAAGATGCCGCGCCTGGGTGTCGCCGAGCAGCGCGCTGGAATACACGACCGAGCAGGCGGTGACGTCCTCGGCGACGGAGATCTTGACAACCACATCATACTGGCCGTCGACGTCCGTCTGGCTGGGATACGACGGCACCACAAAGTGCCCTGCGCTGTCCCCCGACGTGACGCCATCCCCTGCCGGCTCCACGTACAGAAACGTATTGAACAGCCGCTGCCCCTTGTACCCAGCCAGACGCATGGTGGCCGGGATAGCGCCAGTCTGGAATGCACGGTGGCGCGGCGACCGCGAGGCGTTCAGACGTAACGTCCCCAGCACAGAGGTCTCGAGGGGAAACCGAAGGCGAAAGATGGACTCCTCCTCCAGCACGAGGGAGCCGTCGAGCGCGGCGTTCTCGCGGTACCCGAACACGGCGTCGTCGGTGGCGGCGTAGCGGCTCAGCACGAAGGCCCACGCCAGCTGGAAGACGGTCAGTGGCGAGACGCCGTGCTGGAGGCAGAAGCGGCGGATTTCGCGGTCGCGGTCGAGGGCGATGGCGGTGGTTTGCTTCTTGGACGTGTCTTGCTGATCCTTGGGGGTCAGTGGGGGGAGGAGACAGGGCTTGCTGCCGGCCAGGTATTTCTTCCAGTACTCGGATTGGGTTCTCATGTTGCCCTTGGTCTTGATGTGTTGTGTTTGTGTTTCTGATGAGCAGGGCTAGGAAGCGAGAGTGTGGAGGAGATGGATGGGCGTTCTCGAGCCAGACTCCAGATGCTCACTATGGATTCACCGTCGCATGGACACTGACGATCGTTTCCTCTTCGCCGGGCGATTTGCTCATAGTGCGATTAGTTTCTGGTCAGCTGTGGTGGGGTTGGAGACAGCTACGTATCCTTCATCTGGATGCCATGACATCTCATACAAGGAGTGCCGCCCTTCTATCATCCTACCCTATCGTCCATCCAGAACAGTCGAAATGATCCCGTCCCGCGATGCAATTGCGGCGATCCTGGACACTCCCAAGAGGCATGCGCAGGCACTGTCTCACCGACTCTTAGATTCCATATTCGAGGCCTCCTGCAGCAAACCAGTCACATCACCATGACTGCATCGAGTAATCACCTAGGGTATCATGTATGCCCTCGCATAGAACTTCTCCCGCTTCGATCGAGCACCAGGAAAGAAGAATATTACGCACTATACGACTGAAGCGCAAGGAGTCAGCTCCACCCTGGGATATTCAGACGGCTTCCACGCGAGTCATTCACCCCGGCAGCAGGATTGCCAAAGCTAGATCGTGGAGCCATCCATCTACGGCAATCCGGCAGTTCCGTGGCTGGCAGTCGATAAGCGAGGGTAGATCACATCGTCGAAATGATCTCAGTGGGTCTTGGAGAGATTTAGTGTCTTTAGGCCGCCGTCGTCCGGATGATGCTGAGGGCTTGAGCGGGTTGCGGTCAATGATCTGCAAAGACATTCTTCTAGGATGGTTGATTGCTACAATGATCTCCGGATGATTGTGATCTTCTGCTTTTTACAGTTTTCACGCCTTCAATATTTTGGCCCTCGCTTCAGGCTACTCCCTGGCTGGGCAGTTGAGCTCCCGTCGCCGCTGCACGATCGCTCACATCCACCAGGTCGACGTCCTCTTCCCAGCCCTCGCGCTCGTCCTTGACCAACCGTACAAAGAAGACATCCAGCAGCAGCGCGACAACGCTGATGCCCACGCCAAAATAGAGCGCCGCGCGGTACCCTAGCACCGGGCTGTCGTACGCACGCGCAATCTGCACCTCGATAGTCGACGCAAACCCCAGCCCCAGGCTGTTCCCATACAGATTCAGTGTACCAATGATCGACCCGGCGATGCCCTGCTGGTGGCGGCGCACGGAGTTGCTGGCGATGATCTGACCAGCCGTGTAGACGAGGTCCGGGCAGAAGGCAAACAGCACGACGGACGGGAAGATCTGGGCCCAGTACGACTGGCGCAGCGGCACGGTGGCCATCAGCACCGTCGACACGAGGATGGTGACGGTGCCGATGGCCAGAATCCACTGCGCTGCCAGCCGCGGAATCAGCCACGCCGCCAGGCAGGCCGCCGCCGTGCCGCACACGACGAACGGCGTCCAGCCCACCGCGAACTGCAGCGGCGTCCACCGCCACACGTCCTGCAGCCACAGCACCTGGTACCAGATCAGCGTGCCGACCGCCATGTAGTTCAGCAGGACGACCAGCAGCAGCGTGAGGAAGCATGGCGCGCGGAAGATGTCCAGCGGCATGATCGGGTGCGCGGTGCCGTACTTTTCCCATGCGTTGAACAGCGCGAAGAGGACGATTGAGATGATCAGGAGGGCGATCTCGTACGGGGTCGACCAGCCCACGCTCGGTGCCTGGCTGTAGACTGCATGAGTATTTCTCCGAGCCCATCCTGCATCGAGGCTGCACTGCACTGCACTTACTTCCAGACGAAATTGAACAGGATCAACGCGCCCGTCCCCAGCGCCGATCCAACCCAGTCAATCTTGCCGTGTCTATCGACAGCCGGCTCTCGCGGACTGAGCACCCAGAGAACGACAAACGTGACCGCACCAAGCCCAGCACTGCACAATCAGCATCGTCCAGTATCACGTACAGTCCGAGGCGGAGGGAGCGTACATAAAAACAAAGAACCACTTCCAGTCCGTCCGCTCGAGAAACGCGCCCAGAAACAGCGCCCCCAGATACCCGCCCAGCGGCGCCGACGCCCCAAACAACCCCAGACTGAGGTTGCGCACGCGCCCCGGCGGATTCGTAGTCGCGATCATGGCGACCGCGTTGGGCATGATGCAGGCCCCGCCGACGCCGGACAGCGCGCGCATCGAGACAAAGGCGTAGAAGTCCGTGCAGAAGGCGCTGGCCAGCGTGCACGCCGTCAGCCATGCGCCGCCGCATAGGAGGATTTTCCGGTGGCCGTAGACGTCGCCGACGCGGCCGCTCATGAGCACGAATGTGCCTTGCGTGAGGCTGTTCGGTTAGCATGGAGGTGTCCGGGTGGGATGGAGGTCCTACGCATAGCTGGCTGCGATCCAGGATGCGTACGTCTCTTTGACGTGTAGGGCTTCGCCTAGTTGTCTGCCGCCGGCGACTCCGGCGAAATTGACTGTCATCTGGATGTTCTTTAGCCTTGCAAAAGGTAAGCATCGTGCATCAATGAGAGCCGCACCTGAATCAGATTCGACAGGATGATCAACGCAGTGATTGCTATCTGCCGCGTCTTCGTCGTCGCCCGCAGTTGGGCGTGCGTAAAGACCGGTTGCCCTTCTGCTGGAGCGTTGCTCTCCACCGTATCTTGGGGACGTCCATCTCTCTCAGGTGTAGGTAGAGGGGAGTCGGTTGAAGCCCGCGGGATAGACGTCGCTGGCGAGATGACCTCGAGGTGGATGGCTGGAATCACTGAAGACATGGTGATGGTATCAATGCCTTCAGAGTATACTTGGGAGCATGAGGATGTGAAAAGAAAAAAGATTAGAAATCGACTGCGGGGTTTGATGTTTCTTTTTTCATGATATAATCCATTGTCTCTGTCCCGATTGGGCATACAGACACATACGGAATTCGTATCCCGAAGTCGTTGTCTTGACTGCAGATATCAGTGCCTGTATGGTAGGCCTGTATACGGTGTCTACTAGATCTCTGCGTCAAAGCAACAATGAATCTATGTCTATATACAAGTCTAATGCCACGCCTCCACCAACTCACACAAAGTCGCTTCTCCGCCAACATTCCCAGGAAACACGACAAAGGGCACTCCGCGATGCCGCGAGGTAGGCTCATCGCATCGCCACAGCGGCACGCCCGGCGCCGCCTGTCCCACGATCCACGCGCGTTTCACATTCAGGCCCTTCGTCGCCGCATCCGACGAGGTAATGCCGCCCTGGAATCGTCAGCCCGCATCCAACCCTATCCATTCCACGCACGCATGCTTACCTTGGCAATGATGTATCGCGGCTGCACCTGGATACGCTGGAGGACCTGCACCAGCGCCTGAGCCACACTTGTCCCAATCGCCAACGACGACAGCTCATTGTCGCCCGTGATGAGCTTTCGACTCGTCATGACCAGCGTGTCCTGGCCGGCCTGGAGATGCGCCTCCGTCTCCTGCACCACCTGCCGGACAACCTGCTCCGCGCTCTCGGGCGACGCAATCAGCCTCTCGACGTCCATCTCGATGATGGCCAGCGCGCCCGCGCCGCCGCGCCGATCCGTCAGCACCTTCAGCTGCGCCGTCGTCTTGGGCACGTACGAGCCGGCGATGATCAACCCGCCCGTAGTCCGGGGTCGGGGCAGTTGCAGCTCCGCGGCGGAGATGGGGGGCTTCGCGCGGACCCCGAGACGGGTCGAGACGAAGGCAGCGCCGGTGCGGTACAGGAAGCGTTTCCCCTCGGCTTCGGCGAGCAGCAGGCCAGCCACAAAGACGTGCATGTCGGACTCGGCGGCGGCGTTGACGATGACCACGCTGCCTTTCGGCACGCTCTTCAGCCGCTCGTAGACCGCGCGCGGCCCGCCTGCGCGGATGTCCTCGATCGACACGGAATGCAGCTGCCCCGCAGCGAACCGCCCGGGCGCTTTCTCCTGCACGTAGTCGCGGAGGTTGGAGCTGCGGTAGCCGAAGGTAGCATCGCGGGCGAACTGGGTAGCGCCGGCGGGGACGAGGGCGTCGGCCTCGGCGACGTAGTGCACGTCGGCGATGGTGTAGCGGCCGCCCTGGAAGAAGAACGGGGCCAGCACCCAGGCGTCGGTGGGGCCGAACACGGACTCGGCGACGTCCGCCTCCAGCGGGAAGTGGCCGCGCAGCGTGCTGTCGCCGCGGAGGACGATGTCGACGGACTGACCTGTGGCGGTTGCGGCCTGCGCGACGTTCTCGCAGATCTCGCGGATGAGCTTCTCGGCGGCGAGCGGGGGTAGGGCGCGCGAGTTGGTGAGGATGAAGAAGCCGCGCGAGGCTTGCCGAAACTCGGCCGTCAGCGTCGCCATGTCCCACACTGTGAGCACGGCGATGTCGTGGCAGGTCTGCGTGCCGGTGGGGTCGTCGTCGAGCACGACGAGACGGCGGACGGAGGCGGTGGACAGGGTGTGTGCGATGTCATTCTGGGCGTCGGATGGGTACTCCGGGGGCAATTGGGCCAGCGTGGGTTCGCGCGGGAGGACGGGGTAGTCGCGAGAGGACATGATGATGGTGATGAATATGATTGTTGTTGGCAGTGGGTAGAGGGTGATGCGGCACTAAATATAGCAGTGCGGAGGTGCGGGGGAGTTCCGTGGGTCGGCGAGAAGCCCGAGCATGCGGAGTGTATAGTGCAGTGTATAGTAGAAGCATCATCGCCATTCAACATGTCTGCTGGTATATGACATCGTAGCCACAGCAGATCGCCCTGCAGATGACAACAGTAGATCCATCCAAAACAAACACCACAAGCGCCGGGACATGTGCAAGAGGGAATATGCAAAACAGTCATCAAGTCGAGGGAGCTGTGCCACTGGGCACAGATGCTGATGAGACAGAGAAGACAAGAGAAACAGGCCAATGCAGAAACAAGTCAAACAGATTCCAGCCGTCATTACGCATCCCTCCATGTACTTCCAAACAGAACCCTTGCGCGGGGGAACAGGCATAAACAGTAACGATCATTAGACGCATCGGAATGAAGGCAAAGCAAGCGAAGACTCAGCCCACGACGCTGCGGAAACTGAGCGCCTCCAGGAATCCACCCAGATCCTCCTTTTGCACTTCGACCACGCAGTGTTCAAAGCTGTCGATCCGGACCCGCGTGTTGGTTTCCTGAACAACTTCCTGGAACGCAATGCCGAATCGGTTCCGCAAGAGATGACGGTTCCCGCGCGGTTCGTCCTCGTCCTCCGAGTCCGATTCTGACTCGGACGACTCCTCTTCGGTCTCATCGTCTTCCTCTTGATCGTCCTCCTCGCGTTCGGCTCGTTCGGCGGCGCGCTTCGCTCGACGCTCTTCCTTTTCCTGCCGCTTCTTCTCTTTGGCTTCCTTTTTCTTTCGGCGCTCTTCCCGACGCTTGGACAGCGCAGCAAAGTCGATCACGCCGCCGCCGCCACCGGTAACCACGACGACATACAAACCTCTGTCTTCGTCGAGCCCTGCGAGGACCAACGGGGTGCCCGCCGCACGTTTTGAGCCGACCTTAGAATCGCCCCGTTCCCGCTCCTGGACCCGAATGGCTTCCGCAATCCAAAGGGCAAGCTTGGTGAGTGCGCCGGGGTTCGTGAACAGCTTGACATCGGGGCCATCCTTGACCACTGCAATGCGAAAGGCCCGCAAGTGCCGAATCTGATGTTTGGAGAGCAATGACGTACCGGTGCGGAGAATGGCACGATGGAGGTGTTGCGCGAGAGGAAGTGCTTCTTGGAGAAGCGTTGGCGATTCGGAAGTGAGTGATAACGCATCATACGCACTCCAGAATCGGGGGAGCAGACTGGACAAATCCGACTCAGTTGACCCCTCAGCACGGGTCTCCGGTGCTGGTCGCGCCAGACGCTTGTTATCCCACGCGCCAGGAGCCTCTTCTGGGCCAACTTCGAGAATGGCCCCGATGATCACCCCGACATCCGTCGCAGACAGACACGCCTTCCAGCCCCAGCAGCGGACGAAGCCCCATCCCTCGCGAGAAGCAGCATGTCCAGACGCCTCGGGGGGCACCAGACCATCCAGGCCGTACATCGGTGCGTACTTGAGTAACCGTTGTCGTAGCACTCTCTTCAACTCCATATCCATATGAGTGTAGTTCTGGTGGCACTGACTCAGACTGATTCCCATCTTTGCAAGCAGTTTGTGTAGTCGTTTCCGGCCGTTCTCCGTCCAGACGCGCAGTCTCGATGCCAGGTAGGGGCTGTGAAGCATGCTGTCGTACAGTGACCAGTGCCGTACAAGGATGAAGCGCGGCTCGGGGGATATTCGTATCGATTTGTCGGTCGGCGACTTGGCCGTCGTGGGTATGACCCCCGTGATTTCGGCGCGGATATCGCGATCTCGGTCATTTGGGTCCGGGGGATTCAACCGGTGGACTTCGTCCCGTAATATCTGACGTATTCGCTCGCCTCGTTCGCCGCCCCAGCCCGCAGATCCTCCAGACTCTGACGCGTTGGAGATGCCAACGCCGGACATGGTTCGGCCGCTGAGTTCCAGGCTGGACACACCGACGATAGCCAACCAGAGTAGATCGTTGTCTTCGCGGCCCAGTTCCGACGCAAGAGAGTACACCAAGGACGAGATCGGCTCCGAGTACGAAGTCCCCGAAGCATAGTATCTCTGTAGCACAGCCTCGTGCTTCCTCTTCAGCCGCAGGAGTCGCCGTCTCAGCGAACGCGCTGACGGCTGTCTCGGCAAAGCAGGCGACGGGGAATCGGACGTAGGGGTGACCGAGCGAGACGAGTTGGAAGAATCATGGGGTCTCCTCCTGTGACGAGTCGGGGACGAGGCGAGCGAAGATCCCTAGCAACGTTAGCAGTCCGTCCCTCGCCTTCATAAACGAACACCACCCACCGAATTGCTTCGTCTCCGCTGACGCGGCGGCTCATCTTCCTCATCAGAAGCGTCCTCCTCTTCATGCCACGACTTGCGTTTCCTGGAGTCCGAGCTGGGCGGATTATCCGCGTCATCATTCTCGTCTGCAGAGCCGTCGCTCTCCAAGTCGTCGTCCTCCTCCTCGACCTCTGGCATCTCCAGCAGGGCACAATACGCCTCGCGTTCTCGGCCCATTTCCTCCTCGATATCACCATCGTCGTAAACCACGATCCCCCCACCACCCGCCTTATACGATGGCGTGATACACCCCTTGTCGACACCACGCGTTTTCCGACGCGCATTGGGGTCGATCTCGGCGAGGGTCCGGTGGTCCGCCGCAGCCTCGCCGCCATACACATTCGCCAGGTTCCAGGGCCGACGTGCGTCAAAGACCCAGACTTCAACGCCGCCCATGTCCTCGACCTCGTCGTCGGGGCTGGTCAGGGCGAGGATCTCACTGAGGTCGACGAGCCCGCCGACGCCGAGACAGACGACGACGCCGCCGCTGCCGCCATGGGTGGTCTGCATGGGCTTGACGAGCTCCTCGCCGGCGCGCGCAAGGTCGCCATAACCGGCGACAGGCTGGATCTTGTGCGGGATGTAGTCGCGTTTGAGGAGGGCGGTGAGGATGCGACAGGCGCAGAGGGCGTCGGGCTCCAGTGCCACGAGGATCAGGACGGGCGGCGAGAGCGGGTGGTGCGACTGGAGGAGTTGGAGGTAGAGGTGCGAGATCAGATGGCGCGGTAGATACATGGCCGTGACGCGGTGGGAAGCACAGGGATAGAGCGAGAATCGAATGGGGCCTTTGCGAGGCCGTGCGAGAGACTAGGAACCAGCGACTAGGGCGATTCACAGGACGAGTGGTAGCGTGGTTTGGGGCGGTTCCATTATTGTTGTTGCGGAGGTAGGAGGGTAGTCGTGGTGGTGGTGGATGTGGTTGTCCGGAAGGGTAAAGCAGTGCAGGTCAGCCGCTGTCGCGAATCTCCAGTACGACGCGTCGAGGCGTGTTGGCACGTGCGGGTTGCCAAGCCATCTATGTTCCGCATACCTATCCTTTATGTGCATAATATGTTGTACCTTTCACTAGGTCGATATGAATAATTATCAAGAGAAAGTGGGACAGAATATCAAGGGACGTATTGTTGATTGTCATATATCTTGTTGGTGACTGCCTTGTTGTGAGAAAGTATTCACAATGAACCGATGAGAGGAGCAATGTCAGGACTGGAATGGATATATACATTATCTGGTAGAATACCAGTAAGGATATTGAACAGATCTTACTGCTGAATATCCTAAGGCTCCGTGGCGTGTGGCCCAGGTTATACATAGCAACTTAGCTGAATCGAACACTACCCCAATACATGATATAAGCTACTATGAAGCTTAGGTCGAGTAGTAGACTAGACCGTATAGTAATAAGATTAACCTGTCTATTTATGGTTGTCATTATTCAGTTCATGTCTGTTGGTATCATATATTCATAATCTATTTATGTACGGATCTGCTCTATATATATCTGGATGCTCTATAATGCACCACAGTTGCACCACGTACACCCATGACTTCACCGCTGGTATCTCCAAGTAGACACACTCCCGGTTCACCCCGCATTACCGAGTGACAGCCGGTCCTGTGCTAACCATCCAAGCATCAACCAGAGTACCTGCGGAGTACTCCATAAAGCAGTGAGGTGTTTTCTGCCGGCGCGAGTCCTGGAACCGGGCCGGTCAGGCAGAGAGGGAGGGAGTGGAGACCGAGCGGTATTCTCATGCCCCAGGGTTTAGGGCTTAGGGCTGGAAGAAGGGTTGCTGGTGGGGTCTGGCGTGCACCGACGGACCAATCAGGAGACAACCCCCGATAACCGCAACTCCATCATCATCTTGGCAGTACCTAAGAATTATTCACTCGCTCGCGTATTCCTCGTCGTGGAGCCGCAGCTGCTGGTGCAGAAAAGCCCGTCCCTCGGTGTTGGCGAACCCGCCAATGCCGAATGCCGGGATGATGCGGCACATGCGCAGGAGGGAGGCCCCGATCCAATCGCGGCTCACACGACTCGCACGGTCACGTGCTGATAAGGCCATGGGCCGGTTGTATAGGTCGAGGCCGAGGAGATGGATCGGCGTGCTGATCAGCTGGATGGACGCGGGGATTGCGAGCTGCGCCAGGAGAATCTTGAGGTATTCGCGGGAGGCCACCGAGTCCGGGATGGAGGCGGAGACCATGGCAGGGAGGCTGAAGGAGCCGAAGATGGTGAGGGCATCGCGGATCAAGAAGGCGGAGTAGGTGGCCACGGGGAAGGAGCGGGCGGAGCGGAGGATCTTGCTGGTGGTCGAGGGAGGTGGGGGAGAGTTCGTCGAAGGAGGAGTGGTGGTCTTGTTGAGTGATGCATTGTGGTTCTGGCCGAAGAGCTGGGCGAATTTGACGTCTTTCCAGATGCCCACCGAGGAGTTCACGACGAATGTGGACAGGAAGGTCGACGTCGTGGCGATGGCGTGGTCGATGTGAGGGAAGACCTCGCCCAGGATGGTTTCGGTGGCATTGGCCGTTGCAAAGGTGGCGGTGTAGAGAGACCAGACCAGGAGGCTCGGACGAGAGGTAAGGAATGTTGCGGGTTGGGTGAGGGAGAGCCACAGATGTCGGCGAAACGCCGGGAGAAGCGGTTGATTATGGGAGGATTTTTCCACCACGAGCCTATCTTGTCAGTATGGTGTCGTCTATCTTGATCGATGCACTCACCGGTCAAGAATCATCACGGCGGGGGTGACCAAGGCTGCTGAACCGGCAGCAACCAAGGCATCTGCGGTGAGGAATTCGGCCAGCCGATTCCTCTTCATGCCGAATGGCAGTGCTTGCTGAATCGCTAGATCATGCTCCATGTCGATTGTAGGCTGTCCGCTCTAGACAACGGGCATGCCCGGTGGTTGAGAACAGAATGCAATGATAGAGAAACTGCACGCTTAAAAGATGAAAGAGGAAGGAAATGAAATCTATACATTTGGTTAGATCGCATGGAGGCCTCTTGGGGTGTTCACGTACCGAGTAGTCTATCGCTGAATGCTGGTGTAGGTGTACTGAAAGGAATGGCTGATGGAGAGAAAGAGGGGCTAGAGAGATGGAGAAACACTTATACAACTACGCGGTAACGAGGTCACGTCAACTGGGCCATGACGCCCAACTGTCAGTGCTGGACCTAATAATAATATTATTATTCCAGACGATCCCACAATAATGATTCTTCAGGTACCGGAAAGGGAAGTATGAGATTTCGGCGTGTCCAGCCAATGAGAGGGGCGACCGGGCCGGCAACCCGGGTACTCTCGGCGATTGGTGGCGGCCAACTCATGCCGAACAGTACTCCGTATCACTTTCGTGGGTACGTAGTAAGAGAAACTGATCCTCATTATTGAGTAGTCTGGGTATGGTGGATCGGTTCTAGAAGGCGTCTCGGGAGATCGAATGAGGGATGGTGTGTTGGCCGGGTGGAGTTACTCTAAGGGGCAGTGCCCTAGTCGACCCAACCCAGCGTCGAGCCCTAATCTCCGCATGATCTACGAGGGGCAATCCTACTGTAATCCAATGTGTTGAGGCGAAGATTCGATGTGTTTGCTAGGGTAACTACCTTAGGTAGGTACTACGTAGTAGGTATTTATCTGTGAAAACCTTACGTGGAGAGTACTCATTGGAGTGTAGCTAGGTACACACGTCTTTATCTCACTTGCTGTGTACCGAGTATGGATGGTCAGTCACCGGACATCCACCGCTAGTTCACCTACGTAGGCTATCGACCAAGGAGACTATCCGTTAGCTAGTGCTGCCGGCTTCTTGTACTTACCTACTCCGTACTACGTCGTAGTACACTCCAGTGGAGAATAGTCCGCTGGATCCACCATACAAGTGTACAGAATACATTCGATCAAGATGCACCCTACTCCATACTGATTGGGGTAGACTTCTTAAGCCCTTCAGTAACTCATTTGTCATATAGCCATGTCATGGTACGTACTGATAGTTGTAGTCATGTGATCTGACAGTCAGCTTCCCATCCCAACATCTACCCAGTAACACCCCTCGCAAAAGACAACAGTCTCATACTATTAGTCTAAAACGAATGAGTTGCTCGAGACATACTATGTAGACCAAAACCACCCCGCCCGCCTGTATCACCCTCCGGCAGGGTGCATGTCTCGACGCAGAGGATCGTCAACAAAACAACGACGTACGACAAGGAAAGACGATAACTCTACCCGGTAACAAATCAACAAAAGTAACAAGACGCTCCGAATAAATCACAGTCATGGCGTTCTGAACATAAAAACCCCCGATGCTGACAGTACCTCACCCTACATCACACAGCAGGCCGAGCAGCTGTTCTGCTTCTTCGCACTCGTGTAGAACATCTTACTCTGCGAGCTGAGTCCCTCGCTCTTTGTGACCAGATCGTCGATCTTCTCTCCACGTTCCAACACCTAGCAAACGTCAGCTTTTATTCCGCCCCCGCCTTACAAGGTACATACACTCTCGATGGTCTTGTGGAGCACGATCTTGGTCTCGTCCAGTTCCTTCTGGATCTTCAGGATACTGTCGACCTGGTGCGGGTCCTGGTAGGCGGTGATGTAGGTCTTGAGGGAGGGAAAGTCGATGGGTTGGGTGGCGGTGCCGGCGTTGGGGTGTTGGGCGAGGAACTCGTCGAGGGTCTTGGAGAGGATCTGGTGAGCCGCGAGCGACGGATATTCGTTGTCGCTGATGATCACACCGGCGACGCCCTGGGTTCGCGCATAGACGTGGAATGTGAAGTCTAAGCATGGGGTGAGGTTCACGGTCAGCCGGGTTCAGGGGGCGGCGGGTCCGATGTCGGGCGACCGGGAACAGTACCTTGCTCTTGAATATCCTGTCTCTGGCCCTGCTTTGTGCGTTCGGCGACGGTCTTGCTGAACATGGTCATGAACTCGCTGATGCTGCCTCGGGTGAAGCGCGAGTAGCTGCTCAGCTCACGCTCCGCGCAGAGCTCCACCGCCGGCTGCTGGGCATTTTGCAGGATCTAGACGGGTCAGACGGTTGGTTGGGTTGTTTGGTAATAGTACCCATGGCAGAATCACATACTCCGATGTAGAGAAGCTTCATTTTGACGGATGGGGGTGGGTTTTGGAAGAGACTGACGTAGTTGGACAGCTGGATCGAAGTTGCGGGGAGAAAAGCCTTTGGGCTCACCGCCTCCGCCTTTCCCTTGCAACACCAGGCACCCAGTATTGTGATACTACCTACCTATCTACCTAGTAGTTTATTTGATCCTTTCTTTGTCAGAGATTATTTTGTTCGATATGAGAAATATATGAGAGAAAATGATCTGTATGGTTAACATTGACACTGTCCAACAGAAGACACCATGTTCTGTCGATGACATCAGCCACCAGGGTGTTGGAGGATTCAGCACTACTCAAGGATCGCATGCCTTCAACGGATACAGGTTCCAACACAGGCTGCTTGACCACATCAGACACTGCGATAAGGCAGGTAATGGTAAGTCTAGGTGCGAACTGCAGTCGAAGGACTCCGACCCAACGCTCCAGACGCTCAGCGGACTTGGACGGAGGATCCCGACTCGACGACAAAATGGGTATCCCGTCGGCACATCAGTCCATGATGAAGGCGTGCCGGCTCAAACATCCCAATGCAGGACATCCTCTGGTGGCCAGAGGTGGGTGTTTTGCATTACTCGTCAATTCCTCTAGTCCCTGTTCGCCCCTCTCGTACAGCAACAGGGATACCCCCTCCCTAAGCGGCGATAGAACGCTCTGGAATGGAACGCCGGAAGAAGCCAGTCAGTCCAATCCATGCTAGACCCAATAACTACTACTCCGTAAGTTCAACCGAATGCTCGCCCGACGTGAACCCGCAGATAGAACAGGGATTCTGCCCAGATCGAATCCGCGAGTGTGCCCTATGGGGCAACCCGACAGAGACGGCTGGCATCGCAATGCCACCGCATGTGCAGATACGGTATAGACGCACATGGGCGTGCATTCTGATTCCCCGACGCAAAAAGATGCGGGCTTGGCGCCCAGAGGAGGTCTTGGCGCGGAGGAATGGCTCCCCGTTCCCATTGGTTCCCACGGCGGAGAGCCGGTGGGTCCACCCTCCACGGGGTATGGCGCTCTCCTCCCATTGCTCAATCCGTTCCTGGCGGTTATCGCTGCCAAGGGACTAGACGGCCAAGTGATGGCACTCTCTCATCACCAACACGTGAGGGCAGACCCTGGCCAAAGTCCTTTTAAGTCGTCTTCCCCTCCTCTCAGACATCTTTCTTTCCTCTGTTCTCTCACCCTGCAAACATTGGCAGTCTCGTTTCTTCTGCTATCCATTGAAGGACCTGGACATTCCGATGCCAGACGAAAAGTCTTCCACCCAGCCGGCCATCCCAGGCTCGGGGGCCGCTCCCCTCCGGGAGCCCGCCCACACCCTGCCCTATGATGTGGTCATCAGAGAACTCAACACCCATCTGGACGACGGTCTGTCCGAGGACGAGGCCCGTCGTCGTCTGCAGCAGTATGGACCCAACAAGCTGGACGAAGGCGAGGGCGTCTCCGTCGTCAAGATCCTCGTGCGCCAGGTGGCCAACGCCATGATGCTAGTTAAGGGACCCACTATCCTTTATTGTGATTTTTCCGTTGTTGTATAAGAACTCCCAGAATCTGATCCAATTCTTTGCTGTAGGTGCTGATCCTGGCCATGGCGGTCAGTTTTGGTATTGAATCCTGGATTGAGGGTGGCGTCATCGGTTTCGTCATCCTCCTCAACATCGTCGTCGGTTTCTTCCAAGAGTTTGAGGCGGAGAAGACCATGGAGTCTCTCCACTCGCTGAGCTCGCCCACCGGTACCGTCTCCAGAGGCGGCCAGACATACTCCATTCCTTCGGCTGATATCGTGCCCGGCGACATGGTCGAGCTGCGAACGGGTGATACCGTGCCGGCTGATCTGAGGTGAGTGTCCGCGCAGGGATATCCAGTGGTTAGTTTAGTCGAGCTAATTCGGGCAGATTGGTCGAGGCTGTCAATTTCGAAACCGACGAGGCCCTGCTTACTGGTGAATCGCTGCCCGTACAGAAAGAACATGACTCGACCTTCAAGGAAGATACCGGCCCTGGAGACCGTCTCAACATTGCCTATAGTTCCAGCACGGTCACCCGCGGCCGTGCCCGCGGTGTGGTCATTAGCACTGGTATGTCCACTGAGATTGGATCCATTGCGGCCGCCTTGCGCGCGAGCAATAGCAAGAAACGCCCCGTCAAGCGTGGTCCCAATGGTGAGACCAAGAAGCGGTGGTACTTGCAGGCCTGGACGCTCACCGGAACGGACGCGGTTGGTCGCTTCCTGGGAGTGAACGTGGGCACTCCGCTGCAGAGAAAGCTGTCGAAACTGGCCATCCTCCTGTTCGGCGTAGCCGTGCTTTTCGCCATCATCGTCATGGCCGTGAACCTCTTCAGTAGTAAGACGGAGGTCATTCTTTATGCTGTCGGCACCGGTCTGAGTATGATCCCGGCCTGCTTGGTCGTCGTCCTGACGATCACCATGGCAGTCGGCACGAAACGCATGGTCGAACGGAATGTTATTGTTCGCAAGCTGGATTCGCTCGAAGCATTGGGCGCGGTCACCGATATCTGCTCCGATAAGACGGGCACCCTGACGCAGGGCAAGATGGTCGTGAAGAAGGCCTGGATTCCTTCGAAAGGCACTTACTCGGTCGGCACGTCCAACGAACCCTTCAATCCGACAGTGGGTGACGTGACATTCACCCCGGTGTCTCCGATGCAGTTTGATGAGGAGAAAGAGGGTCCGGCGGCCGAGAATGTGGAAGAGCTGGTGGCTGGAAATCGCCGACTCGAAGACTTCCTCGATGTAGCCTCCATGGCCAATCTGTCGCACGTGTACAAATCGGACGATGGAGACTGGCATGCGCGCGGTGAACCCACCGAGATTGCCATCGAGGTGTTCGCCTCGCGTTTCAACTGGAACCGGGACCGATGGACCAAGGGCGATGGCGCGGTGTGGCACCAGCGGGCGGAATTCCCCTTCGACTCGACGGTCAAGAAGATGTCGGTGATCTTCAGCAAGATGACCGGCAACGAGGAGCGGACCATGGTCTTCACCAAGGGCGCTGTGGAACGCATTGTCGACGCATGCACATCGGTCATCTGGGACCAGGACTCGGCCACCGCAGTGCCCATGACCGAGGAACATCGCAGCCAGATCTTCGAGAACATGGAAGAGCTTGCCAAGCTGGGCCTTCGCGTGTTGGCATTGGCTCACCGTCCCTACGACGAAGCGTCTCGGTTCCTCGAAGACTCGGACATCAACCGGGAGGAGGTCGAGAAAGATCTCTGCTTCCTGGGTCTGATCGGATTGTACGATCCTCCCCGGCCGGAAACTGCGGGCGCCATCCAGGCGTGCTACCGAGCGGGTATTGTCGTGCATATGGTGACCGGAGACCACCCGGGCACTGCCAAAGCCATCGCACAGCAAGTTGGAATCATTCCTGCGGACCTCAGTCAGGTGGCCGCGGACGTCTCAGACGCCATGGTCATGACCGCCGGGCAATTCGATAAACTCACGGACGACGAAGTCGACGCACTTCCCACCCTGCCTCTGGTCATCGCACGCTGTGCGCCGCAGACCAAGGTCCGCATGATCGACGCCCTGCACCGCCGCGGACGGTTTGCTGCCATGACCGGCGACGGAGTCAATGATTCGCCTTCTCTCAAACACGCAGATGTGGGTATTGCTATGGGCCAGGCTGGGTCGGATGTCGCCAAGGACGCATCAGACATCATTCTCACGGACGATAATTTCGCCTCGATCCTGAATGCCGTCGAAGAAGGCCGCCGCATTTTCGACAACATTCAGAAGTTCGTCCTGCACCTTCTCTCGGAGAACATCGCGCAGGCGTGCACGTTGCTCATCGGCCTGGCGTTCCAAGACAAGAACGGACAGTCCGTGTTCCCGCTGTCGCCGGTCGAAATCATCTGGATCATCATGATCACGTCGGGCCTGCCTGACATGGGCCTGGGAATGGAAGGTGGCCGCCCCGGACATCATGGACCGCCCGCCGCAAAGCAAGGCGGGCATCTTCACCTGGGAGGTGATGGTGGACATCCTCGTGTACGGGCTGTGGACGGCGGCGCTGTGTCTGGCGGCGTTCTCGATCCGCATGTGGGGATTCGGCGACGGCAACCTCGGCCGCGACTGCAACGCCCGCTACTCGGAGGAGTGCGACCTGGTGTTCCGCGCGCGCGCGACCACCTTCGTCTGTCTGACGTGGTTCGCGCTGTTCCTCGCGTGGGAGATGGTCAACATGCGGCGGTCGTTCTTCCGCATGCAGCCCAAGTCGAAAAAGTACTTCACGCAGTGGATGCACGACGTGTGGCGGAACAAGTTCCTCTTCTGGTCGATCATGGTCGGCTGGATCACCGCGTTCCCCGTCATCTACATCCCCGTGATCAACCACGACGTGTTCAAGCACACGGGCATCACCTGGGAATGGGGCATTGTCTTCGTCGAGGCGGTGCTCTTCTTCGCCGGCGTCGAGGCGTGGAAGTTCGCCAAGCGGCTGTTCTTCCGCGCGCGCGCCAGAAAGCAGCAGCCGCACGCGCAGGAGCCCATCGCCGAGCATCCTTAACGATTGCTTTCCCTGGTCCGCGACATAGGGCCAGGGAACCGTCCATCCTTACCACGGGCGACCAGCGCGCGACATACGGAATATTTCTCACTGGATAATGGACTCACGCGGGGGAGGAGATATGATGAACAGGTATGTAGACCGACATTAGGAGTAGCACAAGTAGATAGAATAGGGGTAGAATGCCATTTTGTTACGACTGTCGTATTCTGCGGGATTTGGTTATTGGCCGTTCATTTCCCTCGTACATCGTGATGCATGACGTCACCACATCAACACCACTACCATCCTTCACTATACGGAGTACAGCCATCACTACTCATACCCATCCATACCATACCATACTATGCCATGTCCGCGCACATGCAAGACCTCCCGGCACACCCAATCGCCCGCGCCATATGGCACTTCACCCCGCAGTGGTTCCTCATCCCGCAGGGCACGGGCATCATCGCGGTGCTGCTGCACCAGGAGCACTACCAGTTCGGGGCGCTGCCCACGCTGGCCAAGATCGTCTGGATCTACACAATCGCCCTCCTCGGCCTCTTCCTGCTCATCTACGCCCTCCGCATCGCGCTCTACCGCCACCACGTCGCGCACGAGCTGCGCCACAACATCCTCGAGACCTCCTGTCTCGCCAGCATCGCCATCACCGCCACCTCCATCATCCAGCTGGCCAGCCTGCAGTACGCCGCGTCCAGCCGGGGCAGCGCGCTCGCCGTCTACATCCTCTGGTGGATAGCGACGGGGCTATCCCTCGCCGCGCTGCTAGCCATCCCATACGTGCAGCTCAAGCTGCAGCCCGTCGGCATCGAGCGCATCCCGCCCGCCATCCTCCTCCCCGTCATCGCGGCGCTGACCTCCGCAGCCGGCGGCGGCGTCGTCTGCGTCTCGGCGCGCCTCTCCGCCCGTCTGCAACTCCCCGCCCTGCTGGTCGCGTACCTCGAGGCCGGCGCGGGCTTCGCCCTCGCCCTGGCGTTTTCGGCCGTCGTCCTCCTCGACCACTACTCGCACGACCACCCAGCCCCTGACAAGGTCTTCCAGGATATGATCCTGTGCGGGCCGTTCGGGCAGGGCGGGTTCGCGCTGCAGGTGCTGGGGGAAGCGGTGCGGGCGGGAGCCTTTTACCGGGTACGGCTCGCAGGGTGTGCTGCTGTCTGCAGCGGCGGCGGAGCCCGTCGCGTTCGTGAGCGAGTTCGCCGGGCTGATGGCCTGGGGCTTTGCGTCGTTCTGGTGGGCGTTTGCGATTGTGAGTATTGTGCATACGCTGGCGGTGCAGCCGGGCGGGCTGCGGGCGACGCGGTTCTCGCTGGCGAGTTGGTCGCTTATTTTTCCGTGGGTGCGTTGCGTCTTTCCTTTGCCTTGCTTCTTTCGTTGGGTTCTTTGCTGTGTGGTGTGGTGCGGCTGACCGGGCAGGGTGTGTATACCAACTCGGCCGTGCAGCTGGGCAGGCTGCTCGACGCGCCTGCGTTCCATGTGTGGTCGACGGCGCTACTGCTGCTGCTGCTTGTGCTGGCGGTGTGGGTGACGGCGTTGACGGTCAGGGGGGTTGTCACGGGGCGGGTGCTGGGACTGGAGCACGGGTGGGGGTATAGGTACGAGCGGGGCGGGGATAAACAGGCGTAGCCTTACATACGTAGTTCTAGACGTGTAGATATGGATGTGTGGATTGCGCTAGTATAAACACCCCGGTATCGTGCTTGGATCAAACCCATTCCCCAGCCAGTGGTAGTTTACCTCGGACCCCGTTAGCAGGGCCGTGTCGCCGGCCAGCGTGCCGATGCCCGCCAGCGCGGCGTCGGGGAGGGCGTACGACGCGGGGAGAGAGGCTGTCTCGGTGCGGGGCCAGTTACTAGGCTGTCAGTTCACGCACAATACAGCACGGTGGGGGGCATAACATACTCTAGCCACGGGAACGAATCAACCAAAGCCTGATTCGTGTCGACGACCGGATCGGCCGCCAGCACGGCCTGCTTGGCGACCTTCATCAGGTCGACGCTCATGGCCTTGCCGGTGGTGTAGCCGACGTGCTCGATCTCGTCGAGACAGCGGATGCCGCGCTCGACGACGGCGAAGGTCTGGCGGGCGCGGTCGGGGTCGCTGCCGAGATTCAGCACGTCGTACAGCAGGGTCATGCAGGAGGAGACGATGAACGAGGCGAGGGCGCCGTCGTAGCGGATATCCGGGAAGCGGCGGAAGTAGACGTCGTACGCGAGGTTGACGAGGTTGCGGGCGGCGGAGGTCGAGGCGTCGATGCACGCGCGCAGGTCGATGCACCCCTCGGCGCTCTGCTGGGCCTCGGCGGTGGAGGCGAAGAAGGTGGTCATCACGAGCGCCGGGCGATAGAGCAGCATGCGCACGACGTAGTAGCTGAAGCCCAGGCTGAGGCGCTGGATCTCCTGCCAGTCGTCGCCGACGGGGACGGCCTCGTCGAAGAAGTGCAGGTAGGGTGGTAGGGCGCGGGTGATGGTCTGCAGGGCGGCGTCGCACTCGATGCTGGTCTGGTGGCAGCGGGCCATGTCGGCGAGGCTCCTGATGCTGGCGGGCGAGTAGATGTCGATGGAGACGCGGTCGGCCAGCTTGGCGATGTCCGCCATGGCGCGCACCCAGGCGCATTCGATGGACGGCGCGTGGTAGCTGTCGCCGCCGCTGGGGTAGGCGAGGTCTTCCGGGTACGCGGTGTCGATCTGGTTCTCGGACAGCGCGGACGGCCGCCCCATGTACACGGACGAGATGCGCTCGAAAACGAAGACGATCCAGAAGGTGAGGCGCAGGCGGTGCATGTGCGGCTCGCGGCCGTCGGTGACCTGCGAGCGATGCAGGCCCAGCACCATGGCGGTGCGCGTGGCGTGGCCGAGGTAAAGATAGGCGTCGTTTTGGCGCATGAGTTGTAGGGAGTACATTGCCTGGGATAGTTAGGCAGAAGAGGCTTGAGAGAACAAGAGGGAGAGGCTCACTTTAAGCAGCATCAAGTGCATCCCCTTTACACTCGGTTCCTGCAGGAAGATCGGCCCCTCGGACGCCCGACTGGAAAAGTACTCGGCCCATCCCTCGACGCGGGCCTCGGGCTGCTTGCCTTTGAGGTTGACGACGCGCGATCCGATGGCGAGCACCATGAAGAGGATCTCCTTGTTCTTGATGGGCTGGCCGCGCACGGGCGTCTCCCACATCTGGGCCCAGGACTCGAGGATCTCCGCGTGGACGAGCACGGGCATCTGCGGGTGCATGATTTTGAAGTAGGCATCGATGAAGCGGTCGCCCAGGGCGCGGGGGAGAAAGGCCTCGGCCGGCCACGAGGCATGGGGCGGATCGCCGGGCCCTGCGTCGGCGGCAAACATGAAGCGCTCTATACCCCATTTCTGCAGGGCGTCGGGGATGGAGCAGCTGCGCCGGTGCAGCAGCGATTCATTCGGGGTGGACTGCATGATGCGTTGGTAGACACGCTGGAGAAAGCAGAACCCGGACGACGGGCCTGGAGGGTCAGTACTTGGCTGGTCGGCAGTGGATGGGCACGGCTTACCGTAGAATTGAAAGTTGCCTGTTTTGGGGTTGGACACGCCAATGCCCGCTCTCAGCTCGCGTTGTCGTTTATAGTGGGCCGGGTCGTCCATGGGCACAGGCTGGGGTTGGTCACTTGGTGTGCCTGGGGATTTGGTCGCGGGCAACAGCGTTGCTGGAGGCTTGGGCTCCTTGTTCTGACGGCTTTTTCGCTGGCGGATGAGTCCTGTGCGGTAGACGCAGCGGTGTGGGTTGCGAGCGCACGCATTACATGGATGCTCGCCGTTACATTTGATCTTGCGCGAACGACAGTGTTCGCAGGCTCTGGAGACGCGCTCTCTAGGAGAGGGGGGCATCGTGGAGATGGAGATATTCGAATGGTTTAGGTCATGTATACGGTCTGTAGTTATATGGACTGTATAGTAGGTGGAATGAGCTATATGCGGGGATATTATAGGCCCGTGCACATCTCGATCTATCACTGGCGGTGAGATCGGATTCGGCGATTGACAGGCGGTTGTCTGAGTGTAGAGTCAGTAGGCACATTGGTAAACATCGTCGAGTGTAGGAGACGTACCAGGGGGTTACTCAGTTGGGCTGGGAGTCGGAGTTGTTTAGTAAACGACCGACAATCGATGATGGAGATGACCACTGCTGACACATCCTCTGGTGGATTGGTAAGCAACCGAGGCTGGCAGCGCATAAATACTCCGCAGTACCCCATACCTAGGTAAGTAGACAGATCGGTATACAACGACTACATAGCTCAAAATCGACATGCAAAAAGCAGTGGTGATCACCGCCCCCAAGACGGCGTCCGTAGTCACGGACCGCCCCAAGCCCGCTCTGCGCGATGACTACATCCTCGTCAAGACCGTGAGTGTGGCTCTTAACCCCACAGACTGGAAGCACATCGAGTTCCTCGCTCCGCCGGGGGTGCTGGTCGGCTGCGACTACGCCGGGATCGTGGAGGAAGTCGGCAAAGACGTCAAGAAGCCCTTCCGCAAGGGCGACCGCATCTGCGGGTTTGCGCACGGGTCCAACGCGGTGCAGCCGGAAGACGGCACCTTTGCCGAGTACATCGTGGTCAAGGGCGACCTCCAGATGCACATTCCCGAGTCGCTGAGCTTCCAAGAGGCGGCCACGCTGGGGGTGGGCATTGTGACCGTCGGCCAGGCGCTGTACCAGAGCCTGAAGCTGGCTCCGCCGACCAACCCGCTCCCGCAGCCGGAGCCGATTCTCATCTACGGCGGCTCGACGGCCACGGGGGCGCTGGCCATCCAGTACGCGAAGCTGTCGGGATACCGGGTGCTGGCGACGTGCTCGTCGCACAACTTTGACCTGGTCAAGCAGCTCGGGGCGGAGGCGGTGTTTGACTACCGCGACCCGGCGTCGGCCCAGGCCATCCGGGAGTACACGAAGGATGGGCTGAAGCTGGTGCTGGATACCATTTCGCTGGCGGACACGGCCAAGTACTGTGACGAGGCCATCTCCTCACAGGGGGGAGATTATACCGCGCTGTTGCAGATTGATATTGCGCGGGAGAATGTGAATGCGCGCTGGACGCTGGGGTACACGGCCGTCGGCGAGGAGTTCAAGGTGCGCGATACGGTGTTTCCGGCCAAGCCCGAGGACAAGGAGTTTGCGGAGCAGTTCTGTGAGTTGTCGGAACGATTGCTGGCGGAGGGCAAGATCCAGGTGCACCGGCCCAAGGTGGGAGGGGAGGGATTGAAGGGGGTGCTGGAGGGCCTGCGCCTGATGAAGGAGGGCAAGGTTAGCGGGGAGAAGCTGGTGTACAACGTTGGAGAGACTCCTTGACCTGAGCATGGGTAATGGGTAGTGTTGGGTGGTTATTCTCTGCTTAGTGTACAAAGTATATGTTGAAGGATGGCCGAAATTAATACGAATGGCCAAGATATATTGTGAATGCCCCGCCTAATGGCAACAACTGGAGATCTGGAGAATGGGTCAGAGGAATGTGTGGAGTAGGATGTCTGGTACGATATACGAAGTAAATGAATAAGTAGAATAGAAGACTCCTACATCCTATAGAATATGTATATGCTACAAGTAGGACAGATGAAGGCCAACTCTGAGTCCAGCGATCACTATTCATTGCAGAGGCAAGACAGAATATATATCAAGAAGGGATGCATTCCAATCTGGACAACCAGGTATCTGCAGTGATTGTAGCCACGGACGGGACTTATTTCCAACTCTTGAGACATGTAGTTTTATGATTATTTCTGTTAATTATTATCATTATTATTCTTTTTCTCCTTTTCTTTATTTTGTTTTATTTTTTCTTTATTTTTATTTTTATTTTTATTTTTTTTTTGTTTCCTTTTTCCCGTCCTTTTTCCAAGGAATACCAAGCCGAGGCGGACTAGCTCGGACTCTCGGAGGATTGTGCTTGTACACTGCACATCGTCCATGAAATAATATTGATATATTAATAGGAAAGAATCATGATTATTCTCTAGAAACTATACAATAGAAACATGTTCATACAGAATAAATATGAGGGAGTCATCATAGGGTGGTCACTGTAGGTCCGAGGATGCTCGTATCTTCAAACAAAACAGCGGAATCGGAAAAAGTCGGGGCAGGGATGCAAACGGCGATCGGTGAGGCTGTGGCTGGTTACGTAAGACGGGATCGAGCGACAGGGATGAGAGAAAATTCGAACGGTTCTCGGGAGTGTACGTGGGAGTAGTAATGGCAGGGTGTACGGAGTATATGTAGAACACAACAATAGGGATGATAAGAGTAGAATGATAGTACTGGTAGAATAGAATCAAGTGAGAGTCGAGTAGAATATTAGTAGGATATTATCGTGGAATATTAGGAGCTAGGTAATCATGACGAGATCGGGATTCCACCGTTTTCGTCAACGGGATCGCCCTCCTGTCCTCCTGGCTGAGTAGACTATCCCGCCGCCTATAAAACCGCCCCCCCTGCCAGTCTTCTTCGACATTCCATAACCCCAGCAACCATTCCACATTCCCTTCACCAGCCATCTGACCTCCGGACCTCCGGACAGACAGAGATTCTTCTGAGCTCACCGATATTCGCTTGGGGATTCCACTTTCCCGCCTAAAACATAGTCGGTGGACTCCTGAGAGTGGTGACCGAGGAAAACAGGGCGAGACGGGCCAATCCTCGGGTTGCCAGCGAGAAAACCCGCCGGATGCAGTGGAGCCGCATGCCCGATTCGGCCCGGTGGGTTCAGTTCCGAAAAAACCAGAAATTAGCATCCGAGGAGCTCCATCTGATTGGACCAGACCGTCAGACTAATGCAGCGAAGTGGGCTATCCACTCCATCGGACCCATCGGGTGGAATCCAGGGTCCACCGGAATCGTCATTTTTTCTTGAAAGAGAAAGAGAAGGATGAAAGGAGGAAACGGAAGGGAGAAGGAGGGAGAAGGGATGGTGACCTAGGGATGGCGAATGGATAGGTAGGCACTCGTAGACATACTGTATACACGTACAGTATAGTAGCTGTATACCGTAGACAAACACATCAATGCTTTGATCATAGGACTGCCCGTCTACTATCTCTACGGAGACTACGACGACTCCAGCACAACCGATAACACTCCATTGAGACCCGCCATTGGCAGAACCACCAAATTCCTGCCTGTGTCTTCCCGAACGATCCCGACAAGACAGTGTGTGCGTGGAAAACAGTCGTCGTCCGACTGCCACGCACCTCCATAGGTAGGAGTAGGGCTCCAAAGGGATCCCAACCACCCCCCGGCTCTGTGTGTGTGGGAAAAATTAAGACGAAATTTTAACCGGAGAGTATTTATGGCCCACTAGTGCTCGACCGCCCTTCTCCAGCTTTTTCCTTCGTTTCCTTTCCTCTTCTCCCCTTAAAACTTTTCTCTCCCCCCCCCGTCCATCTTCCACTCTCTTTCTTTCTACTTTCTTTCTCTCACCTCCAGAGAACTCATCCTACCATCACAATGTCCTCTCGTGTCTTTGCCTCTCGTCTGGCCTCCTCCATGGCCGCCACCACCAAGGTGGCTCGCCCGGCTGCCCGGTTCGCCGCCCCCAAGCGCACCTTCACCTCCCAGCGCAAGACCGCTCTCCCCATGACCCCCTTCCAGACCGTCAAGCGCCAGCAGCCTTCCCTCATCCAGGCCAACGCCCGCCAGGTCTTCGCCAACGTCCAGGGCCGTCGCCAGTACTCCTCGGAGATCGCCGACGCCATGGTCCAGGTCTCCCAGAACATGGGTATGGGTTCCGCCGCCATCGGTCTCGGTGGTGCCGGTATCGGTATCGGTCTCGTCTTCGGTGCCCTCCTCCTCGGTGTCTCCCGCAACCCTGCCCTCCGTGGCCAGCTCTTCTCCTACGCCATTCTGGGCTTTGCCTTCGTCGAGGCCATCGGTCTGTTCGACCTGATGGTTGCCATGATGTGCAAGTACGTCTAAGCCTGATCAACGCGTTTGATCACCAGCCGGACCGCTTTGCCCTTCGACAGGGGCAACGGGAATGATCGGTATGAGGCATGAACCAACCGGTGCGATGCTGCGTTCGGCATCGGTTGGGGAGGGAATCTGTGGTGGTCTTTTTATATATCATGTACTACTTTCTGCCGGCATCATCTACACAATACACTGTACATATAGAATTTAAAATGGCCACTTCGCAGCTCAAGAAGAGTGGAGAGTAAACAAGTGTACAGTAGACAGGTAGACAGGTAGACAGGTGAAAGTTCTCGGTACAGGTAGATGCCAACTGTTCAAACGGCAGACCCGGTACCGTCGGACGGAAGGACACCTTGCTCGAGACATGGAATGTATCATTCCGATTGAGATTATATTATTATTATTATCATTATTTTTCTTTGTTTATTCATTACTTGTAGTACTAAGGCACTATATATCAGTATTATCCTACTCTACGGAGTACACCTCAACAAAGTATCGTACGTGGAACATACGGAGTAATTGCTACAACCCGAGGGAAAACCGCGCACCGGTGGATCTGGCTCGGCGATCCGGATCATGAACGTCACCGGTCTGGGTGGTGCTGGGGGTGCGTGGTCCCAAGAGGTCCGTCTGGATCGCCTGGAATCAATCAATGCTCAATTGACCTGTATTTTCCATTCTGTCTATGTTTGTAGTCCTCATTAGTAGTCCCCTGCATGCACCCGCTTCTGCAGATGTACAGGGAATCCCAAGCTCAGCTCAGCCAGCTCTCGGCAAACGCGCAGATGCAGCTGCAGTCTACCTTGCTAGCGCCAAGCGAATGGTTTCACAGCCTGCAGGTCCTCGGGACGCCTCACTGGACAGCTCACGGCGGTTCCGATCCCTGCGACGATCGGGTTGCCTGGACGAGGACTCTGTACGCAGTCTTTGCAGTGACTTGACACTAAAAGGGTTGAAGTACGACTAACTAGATCTAATAGACAAACAAGATAGAATTAAGATGGATAAAATAAGGAGGTATGGATGTTATGCGGTGGATAATGCTGCTGATGCTGCTGCTGATTCGGGTGTTTTCGTATCTTGGTCAGGGTTGGGTGGGTCATGTGATCCCGTGATTGTCATGTGAAGTATCATAGGCATACACTATGTATCTGTATAATAGCTGATGATAATGTGATGCATCAAATGACAGTGAGTACCTACAGTATAGCCACTATGGTAACCATTATCACTACAAAATACAAAGGACAGTGTTAGCTGTGAGGGCTGGCTTCAATACTGACGGATAATACCGGGAGAATCTTCTTCCCTGTCCTCGGCTTCATATCAAGTTCCCTTATAGTTAACTAACTATCCATCCTAATCAATTGTACATCTACTCATGCACCTTAGACAGTCTACTCGGAGTACACTGATACACAATGACCGTCACTCCAAAAGAAACCAGCTTCGCCTCCCACCTCCTCTCCACATTAACCGCCCCAAACCCCCCTCCCACCCCCCGCTACTCCCCCGCCGACGTCCCCAGCATCAAGAAACAAGCCAAACGTCTCTCCACCACCCGCCTGAAGCAGCTCCTGCGCGCCGCAGAGCGCGCCCACGACGACCCACCACCGCCGCCGGGACTGGGCGAGTGCTGCGGCAGCTCGTGCGACCCGTGCGTCAACGATCTCTGGCGCGAGGAGCTGGCGTGTTGGCGCGAGCGGTGGGGGGAGGGTGCTGTCACGGAGCAAGAGACACAGAAGCAGCGAGAGAAGATGCCAGGGAGTTTTGACTGGTGATTGTATACGGAAGATGAACTGGCTATGATAATCGATATGCTACCTACCGACCAACCGCCTGGTCTCATACTCCAACACCACGCGAAACTCCCTCCCCGGCTCCAACCGGATCGTCCACTTGATCTCGCCATCCTTGAGCATACTCGCCTCGCCGCTCCCCGTCTCCTCGTCCATCTCGATCGGCGCGCGCGCGCCCTCCTTATTCTCCAGCTTCGGCTCCACCACATTCACCCGCAGCTTCTCGTCCTGGCTGACGGGCACCTGGTCCGACACCACCAGATCCACCGCCACGCCCTTGCTATTCTTGACCCAGCACGAGCGCCGGAACACCGCCGCGTCCTCGCTGGCAAAGAAGCTGCCGGGCACCCGCCGCACCAGCGGCTTCGCGTACGCCACCGCTATCGCCGGGTCCACCCCCAGCGACACCTGGAAGTCGGCGTCCGGCGCGCACGTCCCCAGCATGCTGCTGCCCAGGAAGATGCCGTCGACGGTGAGCCCGACCCGCCCGCGGAGGAGCTTCACGCTCGACGTGTTCTTCACCCGCGCCCGCAGGAACGCCGCCGCCCGTTTCTTCGGCACGATCAGGTGCGACAGCGTCACGTCCGGCAGGTCCAGCTCCGCCAGCACGTGCCGCCGTCCGTGGTGCGACGGCTCGATCGTGCGGGTGCCGGGGAGCGTGTAGGTTGTGGTCATGCCGTAGTCGTGCTTGATCGAGTCAAGGTGGTCGAGCGTCTGGCTGAGGATGGAGTGGTCGTCGGTGTCAGCGTCGGCGTCGGTGTCTCCTGAAGGCGCGCCCATAGCGAGCACGGGCGGCTGTGGTGCAGCTGCTGCGAAGACACTTGTTTGAGCAGGCTCCGGTGGAGCTGTCCCGAACGCACTCGCTGGAGCTGGCTGCGACTGCGCGGAACCAAACAGGCCCGGTGCAGGCGGAGGCGGAAGAGGTTGGCTCTGCGAACCAAACAACGACCCTGACCCTGTGGAATTGGCATTCGCATTCACATTCGCACCACCCTGCGCATTTCCAAAACCCCCCGCGGCGTTCCCAAACAACCCCCCAGTCTTCACCCGCTGCGCCGGTGGCCCGAACAACCCGCCACTCTTCAGCGCCGGCGGCCCAAACAACCCCCCAGTCTTCATCGCCGGCTGCTCCGGCACCCCATTCCACGTCGTCTCGCTCGCCTCCGCATCCAAGCGTATATGCCACGGCGTCAGCACGGGCACCTCCTCGTCGAGCCGCGACCACGCCGCCTCAGACGTCGACAGCGTGACCGCCGCGTCGCGCCACGTCTCCGCGCTGGAATTGAAGTACTCCGCGCGGTAGACGAGCTGCGCCGCCGCCGACGGCGTGTGCACGCTCAGCTCGTACCGCGGCGCCCACCGCGCCCGCGGCACCACATACCGCAGCACCAGCACCACCCCCATGCCCTCCTCATCACCCTTCTTCCCATCCTCCCCCTCCACAGGCGTCGCAACATCCCCATCAAGCCTAACAACAACCCGCCCCATCTCCCCGGTCCAGAACGCCCTGCGCTCCTCCCGCCGCCTTGCAGCCTGCTCGCGCCGCTGCGCCCGCTTCCGCCGCACAAGCTGCTTCTCCCGCTGCTGCGCCTGGCGCTGTGCGCGCGCGGCCTTGGCGCGCCGTTCCTCCCGCCGCCGCAGCCTGCCTTGCAGCGTCTCCAGCTCGCTCGATACCGCCGTCTCAGCGGCAGCAGCATCGTGGTGCGCACTCGCATCCGCCGCCCGCTGCCGCGCATACAGCGCCAGGAACGCCCCGACCTCCTCGGCGGAGCTGTGCTCCGGCCGCAGGGCGCGCCCGTAGCCATCGAGGAAGTCAAGGCTCGTCTGGGCGCTGGCTCTGTTGTTGCGCGCGCGGGCGAGCCGCGTCTCGGCTTCGGCGATGGCGGCGCGGAGGGTGGTCAGTTCCTCGTCTTCGTCATCTTCGGGGTCTTCTTCGTCAGAGGAGGAGAGGGAGGAGGAGTCATCGTCGGGCGGGTAGACGTCGTCGAAGTGTTCCGTCCGCGGGACGATCGCGGTCTGGATGTCGGTGATCGTGGCGCAGCCGGTGCCTTCGACGCGGATGGAGTCCGGGTCGATGGTGGGGTCGAGGTCGACGATGGTGAGCTCGTTGGCGCCCGGCTGGAGGGGTTAGTTGGGCTTTTCTCTCTGTTGGAGGGCGGGTACCTGGATGGTGGTGTGGATCTCGCGGACGACGGTGGCTCGGTGCGGCGTCAGCGTGACGGATTTGGTGGGGAGGGCGCTGATGGCGACCTCGGAGGTGAATATGTCGGCCATCCTGAGTGTAGTAGTGATGAAGAGAGTTGAGGAGGAGGAAGAAGATGAAGAAGACAGTTGAGATATACACGTGGCGGCCTAACGCCGCCACTTCGTATTGAGCCTAGTACGATGCATCTGAAAATGGTAATGCCTAGGTATACAGCTACTGACCCCGCCTACTCCACTGGTGCTTTTCTTCCCTTCTCCGCTGCTTCTCCTCGTACAACCGCTTGGCCAGCTGCTTGTACAGGAACGGCCGTCCCCCGTGGTATCTGATGCCGTGGTCCGAGTCGGTAAACCACTGCACCTGCATTTTCACCGGCGACACCCCTTCGCCCATCAGCAGATCCACCAGCGCAGCCGCGTTCTGGAAGTGCACATTGTCGTCGCCGGTGCCGTGTTGCACGAGGAACCCGCCGCGGACGCTCTTGAATCCCGCCGGGTCGTGGATGGCGCTGGTGTTGTAGCCGGCCGCGTTCGTCGACAGCGTCTTCATGTACCGCTCCGTGTACATCGAGTCGTAGAACCGCCAGTCGGACACGGGCGCCGTGAGCAGCCCGAGCGAGAACGCACCGCTGTTCGTCTCGATCACCTTTCCGGTGAGATAGCCGCCATAGCTCCAGCCCCAGATCGCGATGTGGTCGGCGTCCACCCACGGGAGCTTCGCCGCTTGTCTTGCGGCGTACACCTGGTCCTGCGCTTCCAGCAGCCCGAGCTGCTTGGTTACCTGCGACCGGAACTTGCGTCCCTTGTACCCTGTCCCGCGGTTGTCCACCGTCCAGGTAATGTACTCGAGTTCGGGGTCGGAGGAGATGTAGGCGTTGAATCCTATGCTTTGCCAGGACTTGCTGACCTCCTGAGCGCCGGGTCCGCCGTAGGGAGTGAACAACACGGGATACCGCTTTTTGGGAGAGAAACCCGCCGGCAGCCGCTGCATGACGTTGAGAGACTCGCCGCTCGGGAGCGTCAGTTCAAAGTACGTGATGTTGGGCAGGGTGTATTCTTTGAGCTTGGAAATGACGTCCGCGTTGCTGGTAATAGTGCGGAGAGGCGTGTCTTGGGCCACCGAGTACAACTCTTGGTAAGGCACATCAGGTCCTTGATACGTGAGAAGGTAGTACCCGGATTTGGAGGAGAACGACGCCGACCAGTACGCCGGCACCGTGTCGTCGACGAGAGGCGTGATCTGGAGCGTGCTGTATGAAACAGAGTACAGGTGGCGTTCCGTGCTGTGGTGCTGGGTCGAGAGATAGTAAACCAGCTGGCGCTCTCTATCGATGCTCAGGATGGAAGTTACCTCCCATTCTCCCTTGGTCAGGGCAACTGGGTCCCCACCGGAGACGGGGAAGAGATACAAATGCGCCCAGCCGGAGTGGTCCGAGATGTCGATGTAGTAGGACGTGCTGGATGCGTTGGACGAGCCGACGTACGCCATTGCAAGAAGATTATCGAGCCAGCCATCTGTACCGTCGCGTTCGTAGACGACCTTGGTCTGGCCTGATTCAACATCAACTGCGACAACTTTCTGCTGGTCTTGCACGCGGTTGAACGTCTTGACTGCCACGGTGGAATGAGTGTCGGTGATCCACGCCACTTCCCCTATGATCAGCTCGCTGGGGTCGAACGCATCGATAGAAATCGTTGACAGATCATTGTCGCTCAGTCGGAGGATGCTAAGTTTTACAGTCGGGTTTGTTTGAGAGACTTTGGGGTATCTGATCTCCAGCTCACGCGGATATGGAGGTGCCAGTTTCTGGTTGTCCATATAGTACGGCACGGTGTAGGTCGGGACCCCGGTCTCATTGAAGCTCAAAAACGCGAGATACTCGCTATCCGGAGAGAACCACAGGGCGTAGCGGTCTCCCAGAATCTCTTCTTCATAGATCCAGTCCGGGACGCCGTGGAACATGTCCGGTCCTCCGTCGTCGGTCACGGCGGTCACCGTGCCGTTCGCCCAGACAAACAGATTGTTGCCACGGACGAAAGCAATGGTGTCTCCTGTGGCACTCCACGCGGCGTACTGGAGGTCCCCGGCCTGATCAGGCACCAGAGGCGTGGTCTGGAACGAGGAGACATCCTGGATGTAGTAGTCGGCAAAGTAAGAATGGCGGTACTGCTTGGTGTAGTTTGTCGCCCACAGCACCGCGGATAAGTCCGGGCTAATCCAGTAACTGTACGAGTCTTTTGGCACCTGGTCGGCGGGGATCAGCGTCTGGGACTGGTTGGTGACGATGCTCTCGATCTTGAGGCTTCCGTCTTTGTCCTGGAAGACGTAGTCCCCATCGCTGTCGGTCGCGATCCATTCCACCGAGATGGTCGACGGCGAGATGACGGGATTGATCACCGTTTCATTGAACGTCAGTCGCTTTCTCCCGCCTCCAGCCGGTGGATGTGGCTTTCTGGGGTCAATGGCATGGGTGAAGCCGAGCAGGAGGAACGCGGCGATAGACAACTACGAGGATTAATTTGGAGCAATATTGGAGACTATGAGCGCCTACCTTCATGTTGCAGAGTCGAGCAGATCTGCCACATTCTGGACGAGAGGGAAAGGGGGTTTTTAAGTCGCACAGCAGGCTTATCAGAATGCGCTCTACATCCCTGCCTCGAGCTGCCAAGAATTAGTGAATGCTAGTGCTGCAACCCAAGACTGGGACTATATCCCGTTCACTTGCCTACCGACGGCCAGACGCGGAGAGAGACTCCTGCCTCGACAGTCTAGAGTATACATCGGATACTCAGTATGCTCCTCCCGTATTCGGTCCAAAGCAACAAGATGGAAGCCACGAAGGAGCACTACTCCTCCTATATCAAGACCTCAAGATGCCTTCTACCTGTCCTCACCACCTTCTCTCCCCACTACTCTCTTCTCCATTCAACCCTAGCATCACGTCTTCACGATGGAACGAGACAACAGGGACCAGAATGGCCAGAACGATCAGAATGGTCAGAAGGGTCAAAACGCCCAGAACGATCAGAGTCAGAACGACCAGGTCGGCCTGAACATCCAGGACGGCCAGGACAGCCAGGATAATATTTACCACCTTCCTCCTGTTAAAACATACATCGTCTTGTATTTCAAGGGGCTCTACAACCAAATCATGGCTGATATACAGAGGGTTGGCAACGAAATGAGACAGCACATTGATGAGGCGCAACAACAAATGAATCAAGGAGCTGCTCAAGTCGAACCCCTAGAGGTGAACTTTACTCCTGCCACGTTCAACCACTGATGGTCGCAGCAATCCGCCCAGACGAGATTCAGGCTGCTCATACTCGTCGCCTCGCTTCCCTTAATGGTGCTTCTCCATCAGCTGCTGGATCAAGCCGGTCGTTACTCCAGGGATCTTCGACAACATCTTGACAACCTAGTGGCTGGGACAGAGCTGCCGCGAGCCCACGTTTTTTGGGGAAAGCTTGTTTCGTGGTCTGACACTGTTCTTGAATTCTTCGACGCTCTTCTCAACATCTCCAGTCTTGTAGTAGAGTGGCTCCGTATCGCCCTCAAGGATACGCGTGATGCATGGTCTGGTGATACAGACACGAGCTCCTCTGATTCCTCGACCAGCTCTGAGGATGGTGGGGATCCCAGACCAGCAAAGAAACGGCGTGTTGATCAGCCACCCAAGTGCGGTCTGCATGCGGCCGGTGCATAGGGTCCGGTGTTGAGGGCTCACGAGTCTGATTGATCGGGTGCTTGACAGTTGGTGTGTGGTGTGTGATTGATGGGTTGCAGGGACTGTAATGCAGAATATGCAAGAGGGCTTATGGGATAGTATGGTTACCTCGGAGGAGAGCTGTCTTTCTGTCTTTTAAGTGTCGTGTCTGGCTTCACTTATGACGCGTGTACTATGGCAACAGTCTCATTCTCATTACAATTCTCAATGCCAAAGTGAGTTATATACATGGGTTGAAACGTAGGTCCTCACTATACTCTCGCAGTCATGTTGATCTTCCTCCACCAGACCATCCCCAGTATGGCCCCAGACAGCGGCAACAGCCACCACCACTGTCTGCTACTTTCACTTGCAGCTCGGACTGGCTTCCTCAAAAAGTCCGCCACAAGGATAACCTCCTTGCCCTCAGGGCTGACATCGGTCCACCGCTTCTCCGACTTCCACCGCACATACCCCCGGCGTTCATACCAATCCACGGCGCACACGCGCGGGACCTCGCGCCCCAGCAGCGCCCACAGCCCCGTGCCGTCGGGGCCTGCGGTCTCATCGTAGTAGTAGCGCTTGCTCATGCTGGTCACGGCGACGTACTGGCACCGCGGACTGCCGTAGGGCTCCTGCCCGGCCATCGTCTCCACCAGATCCATCGCCGCGCGGCCCAGACCGAGGGAGCGATACTCCGGGCGCACAAAGAACGTCTGGATGGTGAGGATGGAGCGATCGGCGCGCGCGAGTTCAGGGTCTGGCGGATCGGCGTACGCATCGAGCGAGATATGGCCTGCGCGGATCGCGCCGGTCTCTGGGTCTGTGCTACCAGCCTGGGGGCTCGTATCGGCCAGCGCTGCGGGGATGGTGATCCAGAAGAAGGATTTCAGCCCGGCGTCCTGCTTCTGGCGCCAGGCGAGCAGGGCGGCGTCGGTGTAGTCCCAGCCGCAGAGGCGGCGTTGGGCTTGGAGTTCGGCGTGTTCTGGGGGGTTGTGGAGGTTGATGGGGATGAGGGTGGGCTTTGCTGGTGCTGGTGCTGGTGCCATGGTGGTGGATGTGGATGTGGATGGGAGTTGGAGTTGGAGTATGGGGGATGGGGTTGCTCGTATTTATGTTGGCTAGGGACTCGCTAGTGAGTCTGTTTCGGGCGCTAAGCTATCCATTATCGTGATGGTTTATTCTGTGCGTATACATGACTCACATCTGTCTCGCAAGCTGATAGCACCGGCGCGCATATTGCCATATGGAGATTGATATAATAGTATGGTCAGACTGGTATGGACTTGATAAGACTATAGACGACGGAATGGATTTATGGCCTTGGGAGTCTGACCGTTCAGGACTAGATAGAATCATTGAATGTATGGTCAACAGAGGAAGGTTCTTCTCCTGGCAATGGTTATTTACAAAGTCGTAGTTTGATTCTGGTGTTGTGGCGATGTACATCCAGATGTCTACAGCAATGTACATATAGTACGTATCTCCAAACCCCGCCAAACGCCGCAAAAGCCGCAAAAGCCGAACCGGCCCCGTTCACTATAATATTTTCTCTCTAGTTCCTGGAGCAGATCATCCACTTAAGCTTTCGGATGCAGATTCGATCCATACGTGCATTCTGGATGCTCTAGTATGTAGGTAGGAATGTGGGCTGACGGTGGAGTGATAACGTCACTCCTGCGTCGCCGGAAGTATAAAAGCCCATCCCCCTCGGCCATCCTACTCTACTCACACTCTCCCATCCATCTACACTCCCATCACAACAACAATGAGCACCTATCCAACTGGATTCCGCGTCGCCCAAACCCTGGGCCTGACCGGCGCTGCCTGGCTATCCGGTATTCTCGCCCCTCGCCCCTCCACACCCATGCTCTCGATCTAACCAGCTGAGTTCCACAGGCAACATCCTCTCCCTCAGCATGCTGACAACCCCCGCCCTCCTCCAAACCATGCGCAACGGCGACCTCCCCACCGAGCTCGCCGTCAAGACCTGGCGCAACATGTACCAGCGCGGCCACGCGCAGAACCCGCCCATCGCCGCCGCCACGACCACCTGCTTCCTTTACTGCGCGTGGGCGGTGCGCGGCGGCACGTCGCTGGCGCCGCTGACCCCGCGCAATGCGCCCGTGCTGTACTGCGCGGCCGCGGCGCTGACCCTGGCCATTGTGCCGTATACGCTTGCGGCGATGATGCCCACAAACAGCGCGCTGATCGCAAAGGCCGACGCGAAGGAGCTCGGCGCGCAGGAGAGCAGCGAGGCTGTGCCGTTGTTGCAGAAGTGGACTAGGTTGAATGCTATTCGCGGGGTTTGGCCGCTGCTCGGGGGGTTGGTTGGGCTTATGGCTGCGCTGCCGTGGCCGTTGGAGTTGATCTAGGATCTAGGTCTTAATGGTGGATATGTTGTATGTTGTATATTAGGTAGTTTGGATTATGTACTTTCACATACTATCTCCATCGAATGGGACATTCTCGCCGAAGGTATACACCATCTGGAGCGCACGACAGCGCATACACCTTCTAGAAGGTTATAGTGGAGATCTACTACGCTACTATATTTGTCTAAGACAAGATATGGCCTAGATCCGAGTAAATAAACGAGTACGAGTGCGATCGCCAAGCAAGCCCACCGGCCCAGGCAGCCTTATATGTACATCGGAGCTGACATACGAATACGACGCGACGATCTACTATTTAACCCGAGGCACACGACAAGAAGAAGCCCTCCATTCATCAACAATGCCATGAGCAGTGATCCCGAGAGTCCAATCCCCAGGTACACTCCTATCCCCATACTACACCCACGCGACCCGCTAATCCCCTTCCCCTCCAGCCAAATCTTCCCTCTCGCCCATCCACCCCCGAAACCCCCCCAACGACTCCGTCTCACCCCGCGCCTCGTGCTCCAAATCCAGCAGCTTGCCTCGTCGACCGGTCGCGCCATGCCCGTGCTCGAGGTGCTGCGCCCGTCGCGCCTGGGCAGGACGCTGGCCGTCGGCGGCGCCGGCGCCGGCGCCGCGCGCGTGAAACTCTCCAGCCGCGGGTTATACATCGCGCAGAGCGAGCCCTTCCTCCATCTCCCGGGGTCGAGTACTGCGCTGCCCTGCGACGCGGTCGCCGCGATCTCCTCGCTGTCGCCGCGCGGGGCGCCAGCCGTCGACGTGCTGTATTTTGCGGCCGCGGACAGCTGGGAGGTGCATCGCTCTCCGCGCGGGTATCGCTTTCAGCAGATGGTTGCTGGTGGGCAGGGGAAAACGCTCGAGTGGGAGGAGCGGCCCCGTGCATCGGAGGAGAGGTTCGTGTTGAGGGTTGTTCCGGCTGCCGCGGAGGAGGCGGAGGATCTGCGGCTGGCGACGATGACGAAAAGGGGGATCAAGGTGTCTGCGTGGGATCGCGGGCTGGGCGCGTACTTAGCCGTCGAGGAGGAGACGGTGTATACATGGGTGCTGACGATGGGGGTGTATGTTGCGGCGCAGGAGGGGTGGGCTTGTGTATAGTAGTGGTTGGTATACTCTGGTATGATTTACGAGGTATGAGCGTGTCCATCATGGGTTCTATGATCTACCTAGCATCTAATTAACTACCTCCGCAAGGCGCTAAGCCATCCTCGGCAGCGTCAGCTTGATCTGCATCGCGAGCAGTCGCGAATAATACCGACACAGCGCCAGGTTCCCGCCCATAAACCACAGCCCCGGGTGCCCACTGCGCCGCCACATAGTGCGCATCTCGCCCTCCGCGTCCAGGCCCCAGACATCGTCGACGCGGTCGGCGACCGCATCGCCGAACAGCGCGCGCGCCTGCGTGCGCATGTTCTGGTACCCCGTCGCAAAGACGATCTCGTCGGCCGCCAGCTCCGTCCCGTCCTCGAAGCGCAGCCCGTGCGGCACGACCTCGCTGATTTCCACCCCCTGCTTGACGCGGATCTTGCCGTCGGCGATCAGCCGGCTCGCCCCGACGTCGATGTAGTACCCGCCGCCGCGCTGCAGGTACTTCATGAGCAGGCCGGCGTCGTCGGGCCCGCGGTCGACCTCGAACCCGGCCGCCGCCAGCCCGTCGAGCGTGGCGCGGTCGTGCGCGTTCTGCACGGCCGTCACCTTGACCTGCTGCGCCTTGAACAGCTCGGACGGGATGCTCCACAGGAACAGGTCGGCATCCTCGACGGGCGGGCCGCCCTCCTCGTAGAGCCCCTTCAGCCCGATGTCCGTGATGGCCGACGACGACACCACGCACGTCGAGCTGCGCTGCACCATCGTGACGTCGTACCCGTGCTCATAGTAGTCCTGCGCGATGTCGTGCCCGCTGTTGCAGCTGCCCACCACGACCGCGGTGCGGCCGCGCCCGTCCGCCGCGGCGCCCGGGAACTCGGAGCTGTGGCACAGGCGCGCGCCGCGGAAGCTGTCCATGCCGCGGATGACGGGCATGTTCTTCTCCCCCGAGTGGCCGGTCGCCTGGATGACGTGCCGCGGGTGCACGACGCGGACGGTGGTGCTGCTCCCGTCCTCGCTGCGCTGCTGCAGCTCGATCGTCCACCGCTGCGTCTTGTCGCTGTACGTGGCCGCCCCCAGCGTCGTGCGCGTCCACACGTTCAGCTCCAGCAGCTGCGCGTAGCACGCCAGGAACTCGGCCAGCTTGTCCTTGGGCGTGAACACCGGCCACGTCGACGGGAACGGGAGGTACGGCAGGTGGTCGAACCACACCGGGTCGTGCAGCACCAGCTGGTGGTAGCGGCGGCGCCAGTTGTCGCCGATGCGGTCCTCGCGGTCGATGACGAGGGCATCAACGTTGAGCATTCTGAGGCGCGCGGCGATCGAGAGCCCCGCTTGGCCGGCGCCTAGACAGTCAGTATGTACGGTTAACCTCATCTTATGGGGAAAGGGAGGGTACCGATGATCAGGACAGGGGGCTCCTCGCCCTCGAGGTTCGCATTGGCCGTGCGACGATCCTGCCAGTTGCTGCGGTCTGGCTGCGTGCCGTGCTGGACGCCGACGGGGCGACGGCGGTCCACGTTCTCGGGGATGTCCTTGAGCTCCTGCAAGGAGGTAAAGACGGTGAAGATCTTCCAGTCGCCCGGCTGCGGCTCCGCCAGACGGACGACACCCCTGCCGGAGCCGATCCCCGTGGTGACAGTGACGAAGAACTCGATGCCGGTAACATCGCCAAAGGCGTCAATAGGGCCGACGTGCGGAGCGCGCAAGGCGGACGAGCGGTCCAACGCGAGCTGCACCGGGCCCTGGTGGTGTTCCTCGAGGAAGGCGGCAATGTTCTGGCGGCCTTTGATGGTGCGAAACTCGAATGATATGGCGAGATGGTCGCGCCAGAAGCCGTCTTCTAAGAACAGCTGGGACAGCGCGGCGTAGTCTTGCTTTGCGGAGGCGGCGTTCAGCTGGGCGATTATGTCGGAGGCGACCTTGTCGGCGTCGACCGAGGTGGACGAGCAGGTCGGGGGGAATGAGCCGACGGGGACGTTGAAAGAGCCCGGCTCAATGCGGTCTTTTGAAGGCACAGTCATAGTGGTGGTGAGTTATACCCAAGTATATACTGTGGGGTGGATGCGGGGAAATATAGGAAGAGGACGAGGGATGTGGGTGTCTTAAATACTCTGTACAACTTACCCCGCCCTAGCAAACAGGACGGTGGCTGCATAGGTCCATCTAGACTAGTGGTTAATAAGATAGAGTCGGTCAGGCTGCTGGAAGGCATTTGTAGCGGTGGACATACATTGGACGGGATGGAGATCAATATGCAGACTTTCCACAACCGTGGTTCTTTGGGCAGCTGACAAGTCTATCTAGACATACATAAAACATCCTAAAATTGTTCAGGCAGTTCAAGGAGACACAATTCAGTGATATGACCACAGCAACTATCTATATCGAATTTCTTGGATCATAATCTCCCCATTTATTTTCAATCCACCGTGTCAACGCCTCCTTCGCCCCTGTTTCCTCCATCCGCTTCGCATCCCATAACACATACCCCCATCGCTGGATCTCTTCCGGCACATGGAATCCAAAGATGTTACTATAAGTCTCACGCCACAGCACAGTCCACGCCAGCGGTGGAAGGCTAGTCCAGATGCCATCGGAACCCACCAAAGCTGCACAGTCACCTTGAAACAATAGTGGGTCACGCCGGTCTTGCATTGCATCCCGTCCGGACGGGTACTCGCGCCGTCGATAGTACTGTGGCGTGTCGCTCAATGCGTTGCCAGTATCGTCGTCGAAGAAGCTGCCCAATGGCCATGCTATTTGCTCCTGCATGGTCGTCACCAGGTGGTCATGGTTCCGGATCCGGAATAGCACGGTGTGAAGCAGGGGTAGCCCTCGTGAGAGGACCGCTGTGAGGAAACTGCACCGCGGGTCTATGGGTTGATTAGCAATTTGAACGCATCGTGGAGATGGGAAGAATGACAGACAAACGCCCGTAAGGTCAAACGCCCCGTCCGGGGTGGGCGGCCGCTCGCCGTCAAACTTGGGGTTGTTCTCGTTGACATCCCAGCTGATCTCATCGAAGATCTGTTCGTATTTATTTCGGAGGAATCGGCAGACGCAAGCGACCTCCTCAACCTCCCATGGCTCGAAGGGAACGGCAAACAATGTCAGGATCTCTACCGATTCGAAATTGAGGTGGTCTGGCTCCTCGCTTAGATGCGCTCCCAACCCAAACAGATGACAACAAAGCTCATAGCGATAGAACGCGCGGAGAACTCGCGTCTCTTCCGCCGTGCTCAGCGGCTGATGTTCCTGCTGGGTCCCAGCGAACTTGTCAAGGTTGTCTAATGCCCAGCGGGTGAATTCCGCTACCAGCGGCTCGACGATAGAGGTGTGGAAGGCTATCATCTTCGAAGCCTCGTCGCTGCTTACTTCCTGCAGGACGGAATGTGGTGAGGATCGGCGGTCCTGGTAGGACTGGAGAAAATGCACAACGCCATCCTTGGTACGCTCCTTTGAGAAGCTGGCTGAGCTGGATTGCTGCACAAAGTACGCTTCAACCGCCACGCTGCGTAGCGTGTTCTCCAAACAACGACGGAGGAGAGGTTTTTGGTCGAGTATGAACTGCTGGTGGTAGACGGGCGACGCATGAGTGAGGGCCCGTAGGCCTTCAAAGTCCAGAGTGAACAGGATCTGCCGTCGAACTTCCGGGGGTAGATTTTCCAGCGGTGCATTCAGTCGGGGATCTATACAGACGATCTTCGTTTCAACCTGGGCTGGCTCCACCTGGGCTGCTGTTGGGGTTTTCGCCGAAACAGATGGACCTTTCTTGGATGGCCTGAAAGGTCTCACAGCCCGTTTGAATATTGACAGAAGCTTCCTCATGTCGAGTCGGTTGATGTGTGAAATGCTGTCTCAGGGGTGAGGGGATGGATCAGAGGCCCCATCCGCGATAACAGACGGCGGCAATGATGGCGTTGGAAGGCCCTGGCACCAGAAGAGTTAGGTCGACTTGGCCGACTGGGGTAACTCGCAGGTTCACTTCAGATAAAAATGAGCATGCCGAATCAGCAGAGGGATGCAGGATGTTGATGTTGGTCGGCGTTAAATGAATGCCTGAGCGAGCAGATCAGAGCGCCCTGCTTATGTAAGGTCATCACCATCCCTGCATCTTATAGATTAGATGTGCAGGCCTTCATTCCTGGCGCTACTGATGGGTTTCACCAGACATGCCGCGCGGCTAAATCATTTGGTACTATCAAAAGTACCCAAGGAGGTCAAGGTATCTATTTATGTCTTATCGCGCGCTAAGTGCGTGACTGATCATGACTGACTGCATCCATCTATACTAGGTAGTAGATAGCCTCGTACTGACACCATGAAGGCGCCATGTGAAACAACAATCTCTTCCAGCGTCAAAATCCATGCGTTAATTGGCAGTTGTAAATGGCGGGTCGATATAGTGGTGGCTACCAGATATAGCCTCAAGTGCTTTGCATGAGTGTTATTGGGATGCCAGTGTACTACTATCACATCTGGTTGGATACAGAGCAATCTCCTCCGGCAACCCACCCAGTCTTATGGTGTAGAGATGTGGCATAAAAGGCGACATGATTCCCGAGTACTTCCTGGGGTTCCGTACTTCATCAACCTCAATTGTTTCTGAATTCGCTTGATCGAAACGCTGTTCGTTTTATTCGCCTCCATCGTACACATTGCACCTCGATATAGCTCTCCTGTCATTACTTCCTTTCCGGGATTCACCTACATTTCCTTCTTTACTCCGTGGTTGCACATATTACATCAACCTCTGCATCTTCCAGCATGTGCAGGTCTTGCATGAGTCACGGGCGTTGGCTCCCAAACTGCTCAGACCGACGAGGCCCGAGAACTTCATCCCCTCCAGCTCCACCTGCTCGCCTGGTAAGAAGGGTTTCCTGGGAAGATCGGTCACTTATACGCTGACATGTCTCAGGTGCCGGTGGGGAGCTACCGCGCCCCTACAAGCCTCAGCAGGAGCGACCGCACCCCTACGAACCTCAGCAGGAGCGGTGCTTCAGCCCGAAGCGGTATATCGGTTCACTCCGCTGGAACCGGCAATTCCAGGGCCTCGAGATGGTCCATCGATTCCGCAGACACCGTCAACTCAGTGCACTCTTTGCAGTCTCTGGCTAATCAGATTAGCGCCGACCTATATCCACAGGAGAGGCTGGTCTCGCAGCTTAGGGACTGGCAACGGACTCTTAACCCTGCAACTTACAGACGACAGGTGCCGTGGCCCCCAGAAGTCAAGGCCGCTTACGACGAATACAAAAGGCTGGTGCATGTCTTCGCACAAGCGTGTGCAGCTTTTGAAGAAGATAGGGGACGGACGGCAACGATGCCTGAGGAGCACTTGGAGCGTGCGAGGTTGGCTGTTGCATGGGGTGAGGCCGCATTGAGGTACGTTCCTAGCTGGAATGGATGACTGTTCATTCCAACCCTTTACCTTATACCAGCTGGGCCCGACATGTCCTCGGAGCCTCAGGCAGGACCCGCCTGTTTAGGCCTAGCGCTTTGCCTGCTTGTGATATCAAGAGGCCTTACACAGGACCGCACCCACAACAACCATCAATCTGACCACCTCTCCTCGAGCTTCACCTCGTTCTTTCCTCCTGACACATTCCATCCGCGACCCGTGGCTGACAATACACCCCTTTCCAGGGCCGCCGAGGGTCGACTCACATTCCTCGACACTTATCGGAATGCATACAGTGGCCCCGAGTCAATCAAAAATCATATTAAAGAGGGTCAGAACACAATTAACAGCGGCAGGAGGGCTGTGAAAGAAGCAAGGACTAACTACCGCAGTATGGGCACCCTAGGCACTATTTTGGCAGCGACTAACCTAGACGATAATTTCAGAACTTTGGGAAAAGTATAACCGCCAAACCGACCCTCGCGTGTTTGCATAGCGAGATGCCGAGCTTATGTGTGTCGTATCTAGAGGGCTGGGGACGAGCAGGATGGGGCGAATGTTTCTGATAACTGGATCTTGTCAGGGCGAAGAGCCATTTGCAACGCACGCCGGCACGCTGGGGAGGAAGAGACTCTTTTCTTTCCTTCTTTTTTTCTTTCCCCCTTCCTCCACCCCCCACCTCTCCGTTTTATCCTTTGCTTCTTGTGTCTTCCTTTGCTTTTTTAGTTATTGGTGGGCTTTTGTTGTTTGCTTTCTGGTCTTTTCCACTTTCCTTCATATCGATTGTGTGGCTTGTGACTTTCTATCAGTATTGTTCTTGTTGCGATATTATGCTGTATTCCGTTTATCCGGTCTGCTAGTGTTATGTGTACGTACTTGATTGCATCGTGTCTTGGGATGTACATAAACAGTCGACCGCACCGCCGTGTATATATATCCAAACACGAGATCTGCTCTATGGGCATGACGTTTGTTCGTATCATATACCACCATGTTCCCTAACGGTATGCTTTCTTATATCCTCAGTGTCTTTGTGCTTACCAGCTCTCTCTCTCTCTCTTACCATCTGGAGTCAGATAGTCAAATGTCAATGCACCTAGTGCATGAAAATAGTTCCTCAGAATTGGTTATCTCTCAATGTCCCTTAAGATAATCAAAATTTAAGGCTCATCTAATAAGTAAGCATCATTGGTCTAGTGGTAGAATTCATCGTTGCCATCGATGAGGCCCGTGTTCGATTCACGGATGATGCATTCTTTTTTTGTATGTACTTTTCCTATCTTACCAGGATAGACGTACAGACACCGATACTATCATGTTGTCCCTTTTGATTCTGGTCCTTCAAGGCTAACCCCGCCTAACACAGGTAGGCAAGATCCAAGCACTTTGATTTACATTCGATCAGGTATACTAGACATCCCAACTATCCTGCAGCATCTACAGTTGATAGTCATCCGATTTACAGTCACATTCTGACAGATCCGAGTAATCCAATTACCTAGCTTGAAACAGACTACTATCCTACCTAGGTACCTACACTACCCATCGAAATCATGCATACTGCGACACAATCGCTGCGACCTCCGCTTCGCTCAGCTTTGGCACCCCCAGCGCATCATTCCAGAGGTTCTCCTCCGACAAGAGACCCCCATAGCCCTCTCCAAAGAGAGCACGTCTCAAGAGGTTCAAGGCAAAAACCCGATGGTTCGGATTGGGTTTCTGCAGCTCCTCAAACGCCTTCTTCTCCAGGTCTGCCGTGCGGACTTCTTTCTTTGGCACCTGCTCCTTGCCCGCCATCCTAAGCAGCTCATTCTGGGTGATCCTAGCGCTCTGCACAAACACCGTCTTGTTCCGCGTCGAATCGAGGTCCTTCAACACCCCCGCGACGGCCTTACCAATCCCCGACAACGTAGTGGCGCTGAACTTCCGATCGCCCCCATCGTAGACTTCCGGGTTACTAAAGTTCACCAGGAATTTCGTTTGCAGACCCCAATCAAGGAACGGCCCGGTCATAATCAAAGTGTAGCTTGTCTCCGAACCCCGGCGCAGCTGCTACCTCCTCCAGACGTTTCTGAACCGCAACCTTGTCGGCATACACCGGCAGCGCCGCCGCCTTGGGGTTGGTCGTGTTGCAGCCCGAACTCAGAAGGAATGATGCGCTTCACCTTGGCGGCCGCCGCGGCGTTGACCCAGGTTGAGGTGCGGTTCGAGGCCGACCTGGCCGACCGTGATTACCAGGGCGTCTTGGCCCTCCAGCGCGGCTTGCAGGGAGTCAATGGAGCTGTAGTCCACCTGCGCTACGCGAACATCGCTGCCGAAGGCATCTTTGGCAGAGCGGGTGAGAACGGTGAGCTCGAACCCGGCTTCCTTTAGTTCTTTTAGAACTGCTGGCCCGAGGTTTCCGGTAGCCTAGCGACCTGGGTTTAGAAGATATGCAAGGCTGGGTATGGGTAGTGATATATGGGAGAACTTACACCGGCAATAGCAACTTTAGTGGCAGACATTATGCTGGAATGGAGTGAGTTTCTTTGGATTGGGTTAAATGTGTTGGACACTGGCCATGGTATCTACAAAGCACCTCTATATACCCTGAGGAAGACTATTACGCCAGCGATCGATTAATAAATACTGCGGAATTGCCCGTATGTGTTTATTAATTGATCACGCCATAGTTTGTAAGCAACTTCTATCACACTCTTAACTATCTACCTAGTTAATTCGTAGGTATAGCTGGGCCTTGTATACATAGTTTCGGAAGTTCCGTTCGGGACACTGAGCGACATCCGCTTAGTCAATATACATTTGGACCTAGATAAAAAGCGATGTGTCCCTATACGGAGTACATGCCCGCTGGATGTGATTGACGTGGATGCGGAATTCCCTGCCACATTAGCCCTACAATAAGTCTAAAACGCTATCAGCTTGACCATAGATCATTACGATAGACGGGATTCCTCTCTGATCAAAAGGCAGGATTCTTGGCTAGCAGGGTACGCACACCGCTGCATTGGCCTGGCTTCACATAGCAAGAATTCCTTGCGGCATAAAAGATGGTAGGTCGGTCATGGAAATTCACAAAAAACTACTCAGCAAGAAAATGATGACAAGGCCGAGGTTTCACTCGCGCACGCAATGCGTAGTAGAACGCGATACCGAATTTAATTCGGGTCTCTTCTGTGAGGGAGTTAGTGGTGGTGGAAATGGTCCTAAGGGATGACTAACAAGTCACCCTCAACCCACTCGGCCACCTTGCCTAATTTGTAATAGTCGACTCTTTAATTCTTGCCCTGTTATTTACATAGTTCAACTAAGGCTAGGAGATATCATAACCGTGCATTCAAGCTGGTTGACTTGCGTTTCCATTGTCTTTCGCGCTTCGCAACTTGAGAGATCACTACAGATGCAACCTCTGTCAGGTCAATGAATCCCATCATCAATGACTTTGGCGGCAAGAGTTTAGAGGATGTCAGCTTCAGCTTCATCTTCGGCCTCGGCCTCGGATGCTACGCCTGATGTGGCAGGTCGATGCTGAGTGAAAAGATCATGTACTCCTCCCAGATTACAAAACTCCTGCTCCTGGGATGCGAAGGATTCCAACGTAGCCCTTTGGTGTCTAGCGGTGGATTCTACCGGTCCACTTTCTGTTTGGGGCTCGAACGCTATGTGGCTCCGGGTGCTGTCGTACTTTGCGTCGCGCTCATCTATGGCTTTTGTCATGAGCTCCTTCATTTCATCGAATTTCTCCTTATCAAATTTCTCGGCGCACCTCACCCTTTGCTAGAGCTCGACTGCTGTGTCCTCATTTTGCCTTTTGGTCTCCTAGGAAGAAACTGTAGAAGCATTAGAAGACCCCGAGTGAGTGATCCGCCGATTCCCTCGATCCTCTTAATGGCTTCCACACTACCCATGGTTCTTCTTAACCAGAGTTGGACACCATCGTCAATGTCTCCAGTGCTGTATTTGTCTTTTGGGTGATTTAGCCGGACCAATATTCGCTCTGACTCGAAGTTCCTTGGTAAAAGCTACACGTCCCTGTACAAGTACTGACATCTCGTTCAGACCATAGCCAAGATTTGAGGGCAAGTTAGTACCATACGCATCTAGTACCCCATGATGAGTTTTGAATGCTTTGCAAAAGGGAGCTTCAAGCAAATTGCAGCTGATCTGATACCGCTCATCGTCGGCGGTGGTACCTTGAGGGAACCCCCAAAGTTTGAGAAAGGTCACCGTTTGGTGGCCGTTTCCGAGCCAAGCTATATAATAGAGTAGGCTGGCGGTGGAGTTTTGCAGGACTTTCTGTGCATGTTGACAAACTATACGCCTCCATGCTAAGAAGCATTGACCGACGTAGAGTCGCAATCACAAAATATGCCGATCATCGGTGACCATGGCTGCGTATCGTAATGGCATGTTCCAAAGCTCCTTGCTATGGATCTGCACGGCATTGGTCGTGGCCAGCGTGTTTTTCGAGACTTCCTTGCCTTGGAGGCTATGGAGATGAGGGTTTATCAGTTGCACAAGATAATTTGCAACCGCGTCTATACCACCATGTTCATGGATAGCTCCCGGGTAGTTGCAATGATCAGACAGAGATCCAGGACATATACCCCGCGTTATCTCCCCCAGCATTTTTTTGCATAGAGTTTCTAGTTTGGAAAGATAAAACTCTCTTGCAGTAAAATCTCCTATCCCTTTGTGAGTACAACTATCAAGATGTCATGAAAAGAGCTACGTACATCTCTGACTGATTGCACGATAGCGAGCCATTTTGAATCATTATGCTCTGGGGAAGGAACGGTTAAGTTCAGATACATAAACCCATGGTCCTTCGGCTGTTTACGCTTCTTGTATGATTCTGGTGATGGAGCAATGTCCGCGGAAGCAGATATATTAGGGTCCATGGAGCTGTCATGCTTGCTGGATTTGCGCTTCTGATGTGATTTTGATGAAGCAGCAATGTCTGTGGGACCAGATGCATGCGGTTTTATGGAATCGTTGAGCTTGCTGGGCTCGCGCTTCTTGTGCGATTCGGGTTGTGGAATCCATTCAACATGCGCTGTTTGCAAAAACCAATGAAGTCAGCAATAGTCATTATGTATAATATTGAGAGTATTTTCATGTGGTGACTCACGACCTGGGTCATCTAGGCAAACATCTTGGTGATGCCCTTTGGTGTGGCAACGCCGACATCTAAACTTGGTGCAGGAGACAATGTTGTGAAATCCCTTGCAATAGATGCAGAACTTGTTACGAAGGCAATATCGGGTCTGGTGGTTAAACGATTGGCAGTGTTGACAACACTTTCCGGGGTTGTATGGCATTGTCACACGGATAGAAGAGGGACGATGGAAAGAATTCACGAGAGATTGGACAAGTGCCGAATCTGAAAGGACGAGCAGAGCCTGGACGGATAGATATTACTAACAAGTAAGGTATGAATCTGAAGACAGAGGGCGAAGGAAGTGGTGGGAGAGGAAGGAAAGAGAGCGATGGAGAGGAGGGCGAAGTGAGAGGAAGGAAAGAGAGTGATGAGAAGGGGGAAGAAGTGAGAGGTGGTAGGAGGGCTGTTAAGACACACTGTTTGTTTCAAAAACTACAAACGAGGCCAATCCACCTGCGCGCTGGAGACAGTCGTCCAGGCGATTAGAGTGAATGCTACTACGCCTGTGTCACACCCAGTACTTCCAACATTCACCAGGTTTTTATACCAGGGTGCAATATTGACTCAATAATACTACAATTCTTGCTTAGATAGATACTTAATATACTCACAATTACGAAGGTTATCTTAGGGGAGATATAGGCTCTCATAAATAAGAATGGCGATTCTAGAAACCAACAGATACATTAACAGAAGCCAAATAGACATGACATTTTTCTCTCCATTAATTCAGGCTAAATTTATTAGGTAGTCTCCTACTGCAAGATGATGTACTACATAGACTACCGTCAATTAGGAATCAGCCTATACGGCACAAGGTACCATCGACAACCTGCAGCCTCAACTCTAACTATAGAAGCTTATATAATAAGGCAGCACTCACTTAAGAAACCAACCCTAGAACCATCAATACTAGCTAGGACTATCTCCCAAGTCAAGGACAACCTTCCCTTTACCCGACAGCTGATGCATCCATCACACCTCCGACACATCCGAGCATCGCCTCCAGACAGGCTAGCCGGCTCTACAACACGGTACATCTCGCCACGCGCCGCTCACCACCACAGAGACAAGTACCGGTACCTCGCCAGCCCGTGATCACCTCCCTATTACCTAACTCTAGCCGTTCGCCGCCCCCTCCCCCCTGGCCAGAGGAGCCGCAACGGGCCCCGGTGATTGGAGCAAGCGCCGCCGGCGAGCACCTGGCATCGCCACCCTCGGGTCATTCCTCAGCCGCAGGCCGCGACGAACGCCTTACTCTGCTGCCTAGGTGTTGGTGGATCCTGGCACGCGACGGCGGGAGGGTGCGACGCAAGGGATGGCGCATGGGCTGTTCTGGGTGGTGGGCTTTAAATATAAGCTTATCTAGACGCTGGCCTAAGATGTATAGCGGGTTTGGGCTTTCCAACGACACTCGAGTTGATTTCTAGCTCGATATTGATACTCCTAGCCAGCTCCGATGAGTCGACTGCCCTGAAAAATGCGCAGTACATCTATGGACTCTGCAGATTCTAGGGCTAATCACGTGCGGGCATCTAGGGCTCCAGCCTGTGACGTCGGTCGAGAGACGGACACAGGCACGACACGGCAGATGACCGGCGACGGCCATAGTCAGCACACGGGCTGGGTTAGATCAGACACACGCCAGGGGTGGGACGACCGTGGGACACGGACGCAGCCCGGGTGAGCAGGGACCGAGTGACTAACAGCTTCCCTCGTTCGTAATCAGAATAAGAAGGCGAAAACGAACTAGACAGCCCTAAATTCCTACCCCATGTACTCTGGCGCGACTATGACGTGGCCCCCGCAGACAGCGAGGTGATAGACAATCCATGCTTTATGGAGTAAATACAACGAGAGGACAAACAAAGGACGAGAAAAACTCTGCATGGGATCGGCTGCCAGCGGCGCTAGGAGACGGGAAATGATCACATATCGTGATCGTCCTGGGGGTTGGTGCAAAGACCTATGACGTTGGACGGACAGACGATCCAGAAGATCCATCAGCGTGCGGTGTAGTTATACTTCGTACTCCGTAGAATTCCTGCTCTTTGTCGCCTGCTTCCATCAGGTTTGCCATTGTCTGACTTCTAGAATCCACCTAGTTCCATATAGTTACTCAGTTCCGAGATCCGCACAATTAATCAGCAGAAGGAAATACGGATTAATGGCGGATGCGCGGATAACCGGGCCGGGCAGAATTGCCTGATCAGGATCTTCCAGCTTCCCCTCCGTCAGAGCCGCTGGTGATCCAGGGTTTGGATGAAAGGTGACAAGAGGTAAAAAGATGGAAAGAAAAATCTTCCAGCCCACCTGGAACCAGAGAAACCGGACGCCAAAGAGGGTCCCGATGCCGACCCGATGTGTCCCTATAGGGCAAGGATGCTCCCCAACGGGGCCTGCTTACAGCCCGGATATGTTGTCTAGCCCTCCCGTATGCGGCATGGGAACTAACACCACTAGTAAGATGATCAAGCATTTGGGCGCCAAGGATGGTTGTCTTACAATGAGTATTTGACTCATCTGTTTGTCTTCTTCTTTCTTCTCGTACTCTGTACCATTCGGCGGACTGGGAGACCCACTGTATACTTCCTCCGTAGGTACTCCGTATGCCCACTTTTCTGTTCAGGACTCTAGTCCTAAACATGCAGGAGAGTTCCACTCCAGCTCTTGGCGGATCCAACAGAGCTTGGGAAGTACTAGGCCAGTCCCTGGCGATGTATGGAGTCCGGAGTATACGGAAGTAGTTACGGAGTATACTGGTTGTCTCGGTGTTTGGTGCCGCCCAAAGTACCAAATACTAAGCACGACGTATGCGATATCACACGCACGGTTCAAAGAGGGGGCCACTGCGATGGTCAAGGATTTACAGGAATTCTTCGAGTAAGACTGTCTGTCACTCCTCCAACCTCCTCCAACCCCTCATCGGGACGATCAAGAGGGGGAACGGGGGTCTGTGAGGTGCCGCGTCCTAGACCCCTATCACCACCGAGCTGTCCAGAAGGATGCAGTCACCAGGGGGGGAGATTCCTGCGAGACCGCCATTGCATGGCGCAACGACGGGGGGAGGTGATTATTCTTGTGTGTCACTGATTCGGGGTCGTCTGCCGCCTCCTCCCGTGTTGCGCTCACATCCGATACTTCCGATGCTTTCCAGATCTGGTGACAATAACCCACTGTGGCCATCACTAACTCCCCATGGCAGGTCATATGGCAAATCCATATTATTACGATCCCCCCAACGGCACCATGGCGCCGTTGGATCAAGAAGAAAAAAAATTCCATTGTGTTGCTTATAAATTGGAGAAGCCCCGCTCTGCTTCGTCCTCTTGCATGAGATTGTCTGACCAAGCGGTATACCTTCAAGGATAAGCAACGGAAAGAAAAGAACCAAATATTCCCTCTGACTCACCGAAGGATTTCGAAAAATACTACCTACCTGATCGAGAGTCGACTACCTCCCTGCTTACATATCCACTGTCGCTTTCTCCATCGATTCTGCTGATTCTTTCTTTTCAACCTACTTATCATCAATTTCTTTCCGCAGCACCTTCCGAACCCAATTGGGACTAGAATGGCCACCATGACGGAAACCCAGACAGAACCGCAGCCAGTGTTGGCGTCGCGCGACTCTGGTCGGAGCTCCGAAAGTAGCTCCTTGGATGCGATCGCGCAGGAGAAGCAGAAGCTGGCGACCACCAGTGTGCGGGTGAGTCGACGCCGTGACGGGTTGCCGGACCTGCATAACTCGGCATCGCCCAAGCGGTGGAAGACCTTCTGGAAGTCCTTCCGGTATCTGCAGAATCTCACGCCCAAGCAAGTCGATGACTTCATGGCATCGTACGTCATCTACAATCTGGACTGGTCGGACGAGAAGCAGATGGTGGACGAGCTGGGCCCGAACTATCAGGCGAAGGTGGGCGAATGTCTGCAGGCGTACTATGGCGTGTTGAACCACCTGTGCGCGCTGGGTGACGTGGAGAAGATGTACATTCCGCCGTTCATGAGCAAGAAGGCGACCGTATTGGAGAACCAGCTGCTGTATGAGGAGTCGATTGCGGAACACATCGAGCTCAAGCCAGGCGACCGCGTGTTGGATTTGGGTTGCGGTCGGGGCCGAGTGGCCGCCCATATGACGCAATACTCGGGCGCGACCGTCACGGGACTCAACATCGACCCCAACCAGGTCGCCCAGGCGCGTGCCTTCAATGAGAAGCGCGGCTTTGCCAGCAACCAGTTCGTCGTCCAGGACTTCAACTCCCTCCCGCTGCCCTTTGAGGACAACTCCTTCGACGCCTTCTATCAGATCCAGGCCCTCAGTCTGTGCAAGGACCTCTCTGCCCTCTTCCGCGAGATCTACCGCGTCGTCAAGCCCGGAGCCAAGATCTCCTCCCTCGACTGGGTCAGTCTGCCCGATTACGACCCATCCAACCCCGAACATGCCGAGCTCATGCGGCGCGTCAAGCCGCTCATTGGCGCCGTCGGCACCCCGACCCCGGAGATCCTCGAAAAGGCCATGACTGACGCCGGCTTCGTGGTCACCCGCTCCGACAACGCCTCTGTCGGTGGCCTGCAAGCTCCGCTCATCGACAAGGTCGACTTTTACTTCCGCTCCATGCGCCAGGTCATCCTGGGCCTGGTCAAAGCCCATGTGCTGCCTCACCACTTCAAGACGCTGATCAATCGGCTGTGTCTGGATGGACAGGCTTTTGTCAAGATGGACAACATGCGCCTGATCACCACGAGCTATCGCATTATCGCCGAGAAGCCTCTGCAGTAGAGGGTTTGGTCTCCTTTGGGACGGCCACTAGGATGAGGATTCTTCTCCTGGAACGAGTCGACGAACCCAAGGAACAAAAGATTCCATCGACCGAGAACACGTGTCTACGATCGAACGACCCGTCTGTGGCCGCTTCTCCGCGAGGAATGAGCAGTCACCCGTCTGCTGGCTAGATGAGACGTCCAAACGATCGATGTGCAACGATTCGCCATACGCCTAATATAATCGATGTCTGATATATTCCGACGATGCGAACACGACACGTTCCATGGGTTTCGGGCCGTCAGTTCGAGAAAAGTTTCCTTTCCTCTTTTTTCGTCGTTTCGCACCAGATTTCGATACCCTGTCTTAGCGACCGTCCTAGTATGTTATTGTGTGTTCTTTTAATTCCAGGTGAGGATGCCTTACCCTTTGGAGTGGTAGCATGGTTTCTGACATGGCGCTTAGATGGACTGTTCTATTGCATCGGTACATATCCTACGTTTAATTGGAGGCGACTGGATTTGCTCATGCAAGTCCATGCCTTTGGCCACTGAGTGGCTCCATAGAGTGATTTTTGATGATTTTCTGGCTGGTTCAGCTTGGACGCTGTTGCGTGCATATTGTGCATATTGTTCTTGGAGTGGATTTGCGGATACCCTCTGGGCTGTCCTTTAGAGGTTTACCATATAGACTAATGGATTCTTTATTTACATCTTCCTATCGACCAGTCTAGAGCTTGTGCTTAGCTCGTGCTCAGTGCGTGTTCCCACGCGGCGACGGGACTCTGACGTGGGTCTCCACCGCAAGGAATCGCAGCCATCCATTTGCGCACGTTCCGCCAGCGATCGCCTCTATGGGTTCGTCCCCATCACCTGCATCCCGGCGTCCCTCGACACATGGAAGAATGGATGGGTGGTCCACCTCGATCGATTTATTCCCGCGTCACGGTGGCTCCGTTCCTGACCACGCCCCTCGTCATGATAGAAGACCCTTTCCCTCGCAATGGTCTCGGGAAGATGACCTTGCACCGCACCATCACCAAGAACCATGACGACAAGCTTCCCTCGCTGTCATCTCCCACACGCCGATCAATACTGGAGGTCCCACCAGATCGTCATCCTGCTAACAAAGTTTCGTCTGGACGTTGAGGTCATCGGAAAACTTCGACACTGTCTCCGTCGTCAATAGACACCCGGCATATCGACCATGAGTCGACCACAGTCGCTCTTGGAGGCCGAAGACTGGCCTCTACTCCCTGCACGACGCCAGAGTACCATTTCCGCTTCGACTCACTCCTCCGGTTCCGCCAGTTTGGTATCCTCGCCGGCATTCGCTACGCCGCTCAGTCCGGCGTCCTCCTCGCCTGGGTCGTGGTCCCGACCCTCGCCCGCTTCCTTCTACGATGAAGTAGTCCGGCTCCCGCTGAGTCCGGCTGTCACAGTGTACGTGGGTGTGTGGAGCGGGGAGCAGAGGCGATGGTGTTAACGAGGGATCCCAGGTCCTTTGTTCGAAATAATAAACTCTTTCGCCTACGATACACCTATATTGATATCCGCAAAGACGCAACGGGGAGCTTGAAAAGCCTGGAGCTGGGCGGAGGCGTCGGCCAACAGTCACCTTTCCTCCATACCTGTAAGTTGTGCGTCTGCGTTCGGGGCTCTCGTGCTCATATCCACCGTCAGTCCACACGACGAAACTCCCCGTCCCGCACTTGGAACATCCCAAGCTCCCCGACGAACCCTCCCTCCGAATCTCCTTCTTGGAAGAACAGACCGTGCAGACGGCGCACACGGTGTTTATGACGCAGTTGTCCTACACGTTCGAAGAATGGCGGGGTAGGCCTTTCCTTCATGTGCCGAGGTCACATACTGATGGCCGACCAGATTGTGTGCAGTTCCAGGAGCTGATCCTCGCGTCGAAGCTGGTCTTCATCGCCGGGATCGCCGAGGCCAAGTCGAAAGGCCGGGGGGAAGAATGCATCAGTCAGAACCTCCGTATCCTGCGCGGATACAACGGGAAACAGGTGATTCTGTTCTTTGCGAATTCGCAGCGGAAGGAGCTGAAGCGCTACGTCTCTATTCCGCGTACGTTGTTTCTGCACCCTCTTCTCCACCGAGTCACTACTGACGTCGTTAGTCAATTGCGTGGAAAGTGTGAGCCCCGGAAAAAAAGCTGGACGACCGGTGGTGCTGCAGCTGCAGCCGAACTTTGAGATCCTCGCAAAGATGAGGACGTTACAGATCCAATTCCTAGACGATACGGGTATGAATGCGTTCTCCAGTTGGTAGCTTGTGCTAATGGTAGCATAGATCGGATCGGATTCTGCCAGTTTCTGGCGGATCATACGAGGTGAAAAAGCAAACGCCGGCATGGGCGGGACTGGCGAAATTAATGGCTGGCTTTTCATATGTGCGGCGCACTCTAGAACAGGCGCCCTTAATACCTTTTAATCACCCGATGGTATAGTGGATGTTGCTATAGAACGCGCCCCGCCAATGGAAGCGCCGAGTGGGCGCACCCCTCGTGTTCCCCACCCACGTGGACCGAAGACTGGCCCACACTGTTTATGCTTATCACTATACTCCCTACACAGCATTAAGACGCCTGTCCCAACAATGCATCTTATAACAATGCTTCGCCCGCATGCCATTCAGCGCTCATCCCTTGCGTGATGTCATCCAGCCATGTCCAAGTTCCGTTCCCGGCTCTATAAGACCGATCGCGCGCGAGATTTCGACCATGAACAGGTATCGTCTCTCGTCTATGGAGTAGTGTCGGTTCCCAGCTGATTCTCCCAGGATCGCCATGTGCGCATGCGACAGGTCTATGAGACCGTCGATCGCCAGTCGTATCAATGGATCGTGGTCTTGGTAGCCGGAGTTGGCTTCTTCCTCGATGGATATACCGTTCGTCACATCCTCCCTCCGCCTTGAACGGCAGGCTAACCTCAGCAGCTCTTCGCCAGCAACATCGCCCTCCCCATGCTTTCCTATGTGTACTGGAAAGATGAGATCTCGTCCATGCATCTCACCTACATCAATATCGCGACTCTTGGGGGCACCCTTCTCGGACAGGTGCTGTTCGGATACCTCGCGGACCGCAATGGACGGAAGAAGATGTATGGCGTGGAACTGGTTCTCCTCATCACCTCCACCCTTGGCGTGCTCATGTCGTCGACTGGCGCCCATAACAGCATGAACATCTTCGCCTGGCTGATCTGGTGGAGAATCATTGTCGGCATCGGAGTTGGAGCAGATTACCCACTGTCGGCGGTCATCACCTCAGAGTAGGTGCATTCCATCCTCTGCTCGGTTTTGTCGCTAAAATGCCTAGATTCGCCCCGACAAAACACCGAGCACGGATGATGGCCTCCGTCTTCTTCATGCAACCCCTCGGTCAAATCGCCGGCAATTTGGTCTCTCTCATCGTGGTCGCCGCCAGCCGAAGCCAAGGCTACGGCGACCTTACCCGCACGGCCGACAGCATGTGGCGATGGGTTATCGGCGTCGGCGTCGTCCCCGGCGTGATCGCAACGCTCTTCCGGTTCGTCATCCCCGAGACGCCACGCTTCCTTCTCGAGATCGACGACGACCCCATCACGGCCGAATTCGACGCCACCGCGATGTTCAATGACCCCACGCCCTCCATCGTCACCTCCCCGTTGCACGACAATGACAGCTGGAGCCACCTCCCTCTCCCCGCCATCTCCCTCGCCAGCCAGTCCATCTGCGAAGAACGCTCCCCCTCGCAGACGGCCATCATCCAACCGCCCACCCTCAACTCCCACTGGCACCTCACCAAGCGCGACATCGTCCAGTACTTCTGGACCGAAGGCAACTGGCGCACGCTGGTTGCGACCTCACTCTCCTGGCTGCTCCTCGACTTTGGCTTCTACGGCATCGGCCTGTCGAATCCGCAGTTCCTCGCCAAAACCTGGGGCTCGCTCAAGCTCCACGGGCCGGCCCCGACCTGGAAAACCGACGACTCGCCCTCCGCCGACTTCTATCAGATGTTCCTGGACTGCTCAACCCACGCCCTGGTCATCCTCAACAGCGGCAGCTTCCTCGGCGGCCTCCTCCTCATCCTCGTGATCCACCGCCTCGACCGCGTCGGCCTGCAGAAATACGGCTTTCTCGCGCTGGCCGCCCACTTCATCGCCCTCGGCACCATGTTCATCACCGTGCATAAAGAAGGCCCTGTTGCCGTGGTCCTCTACATCCTTGGCCAGGCCCTCTTCAACTTTGGTATGTCCCTCCACCCGCCGCCACCCCACGAACACATCCCTAATGAGGTCAGGCCCCAACGCAACAACCTACATGATCCCAGCGGAGATCTTCCCCACCCGCTACCGCGCCACCTGCCACGGCATCAGCGCCGCGGCCGGCAAACTCGGCTCGATCCTGGTGCAGGTGCTCTCGGCGTACTACAAATTTGGCTCGGGCGTGGGCGACGAGCCGACCATCCGCCACGGCTGGATCCTGATCGTCTTCAGCGTGTGCATGGTGCTGGGGGCGGTCGTGACGCATTTCTGGATCCCGCCGGTGCAGCGCGGTGACGATGGTCGCGGCCGGCTATGGGGCGGGCGCAGCGAGACGTTGGAAACGTTGGCGCTGGGTCGGATGGGGTGGAAGAGTCGGTATGCGGTGCGGCTGCGGGGGAGGAGTGGGAGTAGTGTGTGATTGATGTACATTTATTTCGGTTGTTTAGAGTATACCCTAGTGTATTTGTTATCCTTTTACTGATCTGTGTAGATCGACATTTGTTCATCCAGGTAGGCCGTGTTCGCGACATAGTAAGAAGAGGCTGAGACTGTCCAAGAGATGTTAGGCTTATAACACAATACATAGTAGACATAATTAACTCAATAACACAGGTAAGAATAACACAATAAAATACTAATGTAGAGGCTAAATAACACAATAACACAGCGGCAAGGTGGCCGAGCGGTCTAAGGTTAGTTCCCCGCTTATCAGGCAGCCTTGAAGCTCAAACTAACCAATAATAGGCGCTGGATTCAAGAGATTTCCTCTTTCGGAATTTCCAATTCCGTCCACTTCCCAGTACGCGTAGCGTGCGCGAGTTCGAATCTCGCCCTTGTCAATATCTTTTTTCTTTTTCTTTCTCCCTATGCTTTACCGTCGCCCTACCTCACAAGGCAAAAATCTCACTGTCAAGCCGAGCAAACGAACTATATTGAGAACTGTACCTATAATCCACTACGTACCATCAGAAATAGCTGTATTATCTTTGCCCACGGACAAGCTACCAGGAGGACACTCTGAACCAAGGCAGTAACCACTCCGTAATATTCAGGATTATGATCGCCTCGCAAACCGGCAACAAGGCTCCCCACACAAACATGCCTTATCCAACTGTCGCCAGTAATGATCCGAATAGTCCACCGTGATCTCCGTCCCAGCAGAGACCCCACGAGACACCACGATAATGCGCTCTTTTCCCCGCCAGTAGAACCGCTGGAACTGGCTGTTCGGCCGACACGAATGATTGATGAACCGGGTGAAATTTCCCATCCGCCCCTGGTAGATCTGGTACCCCCGACTGCGCGAACCACCCAACATCACATCGACGCCCTCGATGCCGTTCGTGACGAGCCCGACGAACTCGCCGATACCCACGCCGCGGTCAAAGTCACACCGCGCCACGACCCCGTTATTCTTCCCACTGGCCGTCCGGAACAGCTGCACCGGCACATGGCCGCGCACGCCACCAAACAGCGCCGGAAAGCACACGCACTGGTTCTGTTCGATCTCATCCGACTGCCGCTCCTTGCACGCGGGGCACATCCCCGGGTCCAGCCCTGGGACCACGCGCGGATCGTCCGCGCCAAACACGGCTCGGTCAACCACGCACTCGTCGATGAACCGATACCCGAACCCGTCGGGGGCGTTGTGCGGCGGCGGGAGATGCGCGTAGGTCGACGCCAGCGGGACCGCCGGACCGCCGGGCACCGTCACCCATTCATGCGGATGGCCATGGTATCGCCGGGGCGACCCCTGCCCGATGACCTGGGGCAGATCCCGCCAGTCCGGGTGGAGGGTGTCGGCGACGAGCTCCAGGCCGGACTGGATGGATCGGAGCCGCGCGGAGAACCCATCGCCAAACCCACTCCGGTATTTGCAGAACCGGTACACGCCGGCGCTGGCGAAGATGAGACTGGCCCAGCCGCCGGCGTCTTTGATTTCTTTGTATCCGCGCCAGATTGCGCTAGAGATGTTAGGCGATGTTCGTGACCGGGTGGGGAGGGCTTACACCCGGTTTCGGAGATCCTTTTCTTTCCAGTTGAGAGTTGCGCAGGCCTCCTTCAGCGCGACCATCCGGGCCTCCGTCGTTGAGAGATGGGGTTTCTCTAGGCGGATCACGGCGATGCGGGCCTGGTAGCATTCGATCCAATACGCCTGCACGATCATCTCCAGCGCGCGGGAGGACTGGCTTTGGTTGTAGTATTTGAGGCAGAGGGAGTTGACGGCTCGAAAGACCTGGGGTTGATCAGTGAACCATGCTATCGATGTTTCTGCGGACGACTTACCTCATCACTGACACCGGTGCGGACGTCGACAGTGGGCTCAATGACCTGATCTCTGCATTAGCGGAGGTGAGAACTGGCAGTGAATGTGACAGACCGAGGGAACCCGATTCAGACGAACAGGCGAAAATACCTGCCGCCATATGCCCGCGATCAGCTTGTCGGTTGACGTGGGCTCCAAGACTGGAGCAGCCGAGTCATGGCCCGGCTTCTTGCGTTGCGGGAATCGCGTGTCACTGTGCACCTGGCGGATGGATGGTTTCAGTGACGAGGGATCTGCAGCGGCAGTAGTGCTCTGTTCATCGCTGTTGGACTCGGTTTGGCTTGCAGTCGATGCGTTACTTGCGGGGGCTAACCGTAGACCGCCGACGGTCTTTCGGCGCTTGGAGAGACGGGTGCCAATGTCATTGTTTGGTAAGGACTGTGGAGTTAGAGGATTGCTCCCATGATACTCCTAATGCTCGTTGTTAGGAAGGTTACAGATCGTTAGTTCATATCAGATGCGTACGTTTGGACCTGGTGTCGTTGTCTCGGTCAGTTGGGGTAATGGACGCCCCGTCTGGAGATCAATGCATCCCTAGCGGCTCATTAGCAAGAACAACAACTTTGCTTCTTTCACATGTGTACCAGAAGAAGGGCTCCATCGCGTGCGGCCGATGGCGTTGTACTCAGGCAAGCTTCAACCCTTAGAAAGAGACGGTCACGCTGCCCGTGCTCTTTTCCGATATCATCAACGGCCGATGACAGTTGGGATGCAAAGTTTGGATTTTGGAAAAGAGTAGACAGCTGGGACACTACAGACGAGTCCATAGTGATGACCACTGTCTTTGAGGAGTGAAAAGGTTGGCTCCTTATGCTTGGGGATCCCGCTAGCCAAGAATTCTGCCCGGGCAGAAGATTTAAAGAGTAGGTCGGAGAGCATCCGGTCTCTCAAAATGATCTATTGTCCAACCAATACCTGGTTATATGCTAAGGACTTATAGGTGGGCTGGCAAATATTGAGATTAGCAGAATCACATTCTAGGAATAGTTAACTGTTGTATACTGATTCTCCTACATTTGCCACGCTTGTAGTAGCTGAGTCAGCCGTGTTCACCACCATGACGTTATCCAAAGTATCACCAGTTATCATACTCTGGGGATGTCACCAGCAATTGCATAGACAATGCTCATAGGGCAGCATTGCTAGCTCTGGGTCAAGCAGCTACATGCAGTCTCTCGCTGATATAGGTTAGACATTCGCGGAGCCTGAACCCCATCATTCACCAGTCCCTTGACTCCATTCTATACTTCATCCCCACCAAGACGGGATTTCCATACCACCCCAACGAATTGTTCATGGCCAAGAGTATGCGCTAGAATTTTCCAGGACAGCGGGCCAATAGATATAAAGCGTCATCTGGCGCCGAATGTTTTGAAACCCATTCTCTTCTTCTTCCCAGTTACCATGGCGGAACCTGATCCCAACCGGAAGGCTTCTTCCATCTCTTATACGTACGACAACCTGACCGGATGGAGGCGACTGCGTCCCTTGCGCCTCTTCCGGGGTATGTATCACGATGTACGCCGTCGCCTGCCATACTACTGGAGTGATATCCGTGATGCCCTCACCTACCGCACCATTGCTAGTACCATTCGGATGTACTTTGTCAAGTAAGACACCCGTCGGGCTGGACCGGAGGTACATACACTGACGAATGCAGCATCCTCCCCGCCATTGCCTACACGCTGGACATGTATCGCCGCACTGGCGAGTTCTACGGCATCAACGAGGCGTTGTTCTCGTCTGCCTTGGCTGCCATGGTCTTCAGCATTCTAGGCGCCCAGCCACTCACCATCGTCGGCATCACAGGTCTCATTTCCTTATTCAACTACACGATCTATGATATTGTCGTCCAGTACGAGCCAGCCATCTACCCAAACTTCATGTGCTGGACCGCCATCTGGGCTGCCATCTTCCACTGGATCGTCGCTGTCTGCAACCTCTGCGATTACATGCGCTATGTGACGGACTTTTCGTCCGAGTCTTTCGGTGCATATGTGGGAATTATCTACTGCAGTAAGTACCTGAGTTCGAACGCGCCGTGAGACGGGGGTTAACGGCCACAGTCAAAGGAGTGGAGGAGCTGGTGAACGAGTTCACTGAACATGGCTCAACGGCCGGGTTCATGAGCTGCATGATTGCCATTTTATATTTCCTGACGATATACGGCCTGGAGATGCTGGGATCCAGCACGATATGTCGGCCGTGGTTCCGGGGGCTGCTCGCTGATTACGCCTATGTGGTAGGTAACAACGAACGCCCCATGGATGGCGCGTCTGACTGCTACAGATCGGTACCATCTTCTGGGTTGGTTTCTCGCACATCCCAGGGAGCCTGAAATCCACGCCAATCTCTTTTGTCCCCATCAGCCGGGCGTTCTACCCTACCCAGCCCCGCGGCTGGCTGATTCATTTCTGGGAGCTCGACGTCAAATGGGTCTTTGCTGCGTTGCCTTTTGGGTTTCTGGTGATGCTACTGTTCTACTACGACCATGTAGGTGTGTTAATGCTGTTAGCGAGACAAGACGCTGATTTCTGTAGAATGTTAGCAGTCTCACCGCACAAGCGAGACAATTCCCCCTGAAGAAACCGGCCGGGTTTCACTGGGACTTTTTCCTCCTTGGCTGCACGACGTTTCTGGCAGGAATCACCGGTATCCCCATGCCGAACGGACTAGTTCCTCAGGTAGGTTAACCCCCCTGTCCCTATGACCGCATGCTGATATAGACAGGCGCCAGTACATACCGATTCTCTCACCATCTACGAAACCGAACTGTGCCTGGTCGCCACAGAAGAAGGGGAAGGCGCCGAGCTCCGTCGACCCATAGTGAAAGCCACCGCCGTAGTGGAGCAGCGTGTCTCGCATTTCCTCATGGGGCTGGCCATCATCGGCACCATGACGGGCCCGTTGCTGATCGTGCTGCATACCATGCCTGCCGCCGTTTTTGCGGGCGTCTTCTTCATCGTTGGTTGGGGTTCCATCGAATCAAACGGTATCCTGCAGAAGACGATCTTCCTCCTGCGCGAGAATCGCTTCATCCAGCGGGATGAGCCGCTGTTGCGAGTAAAGCGGAGGAAGATACTGCTGTATATCTCCTGTCAGGCGATCGGCGTGGCTGCGTGCGTGGCTATCTCGCAAACGATTGCTGCCATTGGTATTCCTCTTGCTCCTGCAGGTTCTTGTTGCGCGAAGAACTAACGCTGGACAGGCTTTCCCATTCTCATCATCGCGCTGATCCCTTTTCGTGTCTGGATTATTCCGAAATGGTTCAGTCAGGAGGATCTGGATGTCTTGGATGACTTAACGGCGAATAACAGCGCCGTTTTGGCGAGCCTAGGTGGTCCTCCGCGATTCCCTGGTGAAAAGGAAGAACACTACGGCTTGGAACGCAGCTACTCCGAGCATAGAAGGGGGTCATATCGCCAACGTGCTGGGAGCATTCATCGCTAGGGTGTGCATTAGACTGGGGCGAAAGGCAAGCGTGGCCGGAATATGAGAAGATACGACATGCGGCCAAGTGCAAGATCTTGTGTCCTCTAGGATTCCATATTATGAATTTCTACGGTCACTCTAATCTGATAATCCAAAGTCCCTTTGACCAACCCAGTAGCCTCGTCCTTCTAAAGTATACAGCTACTGTGCTAGGGTCATCTTCATGTTCCGTTTTATTTCTGTTAGTCAGACAATATTGCATCTTATAGAAACTCGAATACCGACTCTAATATCTATAGTTTTTTACTATTACAGTTCCTACGGAACTAGGCCGTATTAATAGAAACTCTACTAGAAACTTCGCTGGAACTTCCTTGCTCTTATAATGCGGAAAGGCGTTAGTCCTGTCGGTCTGAATAACCTGTCTCTACGAGCACTTCCCGAGCACATGTCGGAGCTGTTAGGAATTATGTGCGTGCTGTGAATAATCATGTGCTTCTCAGTGGCATTCTCCATTGTGCCGTAACTGGATAGTGTCGGACCCGGCTGGTTTCTATGCACTACCGCGTTGCTATCGATCCCAGCTTTCATACTTGTCTTCATTACTATGAAAGAACGATTCGCTAGATGGTATTCTGCTGACTGAGAGAAGTCTTTAATATTACAACATAGATATCACTAGATGCTTCGGCAGTCTATGGTGGCATGATGGTCATTTGGCCTACAGTGGATAGCGAGAAAGAAGGGGCTATGTAGATATTTCTGCACTGCGCGTCCTGAGCTGTGGTGAAACTGGCATCTTGATGACTTGAAATGAAAACAAGAATTTGAAAAAAAGTAATCCTACTCCATCTCGATGTCATTGTCGAGCACAGCCTCAAAGTTGTCCGTGTTATCTTCCCGCAACTGTACGAAAGCCGGGTCTATGTCATGTCTCAGGGGGCCACAGAAGGGGCCGTCGGGGGCAGCGGCAGGGACCCCAACTGCGGCAACAGCTTGCTGCAGCTGCAGCTGCAGATCGCCTACCTATTGTTGTCGCTGTTGCTGCTCTTGTTGTAGTTGCTGTTCATTCTCTTGTAGTTTTGTAGGATGCCACCCCATCGCCGCCGTGGAGGGGACCGCGGGGGCCCACGTACTGGCGGTGCGAGGCCACCTCCTGGAATTTATCAGTAAACGAAGTAGCTTTGCTTAACATTCCTATATCTTACGGCACGACCCTATTTTTATTAGCATAACTGTATAATATACTGCAGTAGGCTGGATGTTGACTTACAAGGGCCCGAAGCCCTTCCACCATTTCGGTGGATCGCACGCCAGGGCTCTCAGGACACATTCTTCAAATAGGCTGAGCTTGAAGGGAATTCAAGTCAGCATACCTATGCTTGAGTGTCTTCTGCGATACACTTCAGATATCGCAATAATATCTGCGATCACTGGCTGCCAAAGGACGTAAATCCTTTAGTGCAAGGCTGTAGACGTAGTTTGACAAAGAGTATGTATGTGTGTGGATGTAAGAGAGAAGAGAAAGTAAGGGAGAGTTGGAGGAGGAGGAGGTGGTGAGCTTTATATATTACCTTATTCTGCATACTAATCACTTCTAATTCCTTCCTCTGGACTTCTCAACCATTTCACCAACAGAATTTATACCTAGAACCATATGATCTATCACTGAGACAGAGTTACTTTGATTCGGGAGTTACTAAGGTGTGAGTAACTGAAGTGCAAGATCCCTCCTTACCGACTTGATAACTTCACCCCGACGTATATTGAACTCTATTATGTGAATTTGTCTATCTTGCCACCGTTGTCAGAGACCTCGACCTCTTTAATGAAATGTTCTTGGCCTTCGTCGCCTCTTTCTGCAGAAGACAGAGACACTGCCAGGGCCTGCGTGAACCAAGATCCAATGAGTACATCATCCCACGCTCCATGTAACAGTGGCCCTGGACAGCATACATGCCCTTTTCCTCCAGTCAAGACTGTTCGATAAGACTCCAGATGAGCTGGTGTAACTAGTATACTATGTATCTGTTGTATTGCCTCAGACTTTCTTTTACCTCCTATTAGCCTTATATCTGTTTGTAATAAGACTTCAGATCGCTGTGAAGGTAAGGTGGATAAAAAGAACTTGTCAACTCACATTTATATATTACACCTTACATACCACTAAGTGGGTTGCCCATTTTGGTAGTATAATGGTCATTTTGGTTGACAGATCCTATATTGAACCTCCTTGTGCTATTCTTGGGTTTCCGGATACCGCCAAATCTCGGTAATCCTTGGGCCATGGATTGTGCAGAGCTCTTATGTTCCTGATAGAGCTTGTACAATCGTCGCATTGGCATTAATTAATACATACAATTGCCTATTCCTCCATCTCTACGTCGGTGTCCACGACAATTTCATAATCACTCTCGCTGCCACTTGGCAGCGGCACAGAGGCCGGGTCGAGGCGGGCGTTGGCGGCGGTGCTAGGTCGCCAACCCAACAGCCCCGTGGAGGGGACCGCGATCCGACAGTCTCAGGCTACTTCGTGTGACTTATTCGTAAAATAGTCCGTTTTGACTTATGCTCCCACTTCTTATACTACGGCCCTATACAATGTTAGTCTCACTGTGTAGCATATTAGAGTAGGCTGGATGTTGACTTACCAGGGCCGAAGGCCTTCCACCATCTCGGTGGATCTAATTGCCGGGTTTTCGGGACACTCGCGGCCAAAGTGCTCTGAGGCACCGCACGTGTAGCAAAGTCGGTTCTATACTTAGTTAGTATACAGCTGTGGGAACTTGGCTTAACCGCAGGTTTCTCTGTTTTGAATCATACTCTTGATCGATGGGACTAGCGCCCTACGCGCCCATACATAGAGCTGGTCAGCAAGCAATCAAGCAAGCATTCCTCCTGGTCCTTCTGGCACCATCTTAAAAGCCGAAAGACAAATCGGGTGACCGACAGAATGAAAGTCTGTATGTGTGTATGCACAGGTGCTTGTGTATTTAAGTAAGTAAGTAAGTGTGTGTGTGTGTGTGTGTGTGTGTGTGTTAGAGAGGAAAAGTTGGAAGATGAGAAGGAGATGAAGTGGGAGATGGGGTTGAGGGTGGGCTTTATCTACCAAGTCCCCTATCATTACATATTGAAGTAAGTCGTGAGATTGCTTGAATGATATCCCTTTGGCTCTTCCCTGGAAGGAAAAGTAAATAGAATCTGACCCCTAAACTGACGGCGGATTCACCAGTCTTCCTTCGAGCTGGCGTCACTTTGACACCTCATATTGCATAACTGAGTTACGTGCATTGAGATTAAGAAAGATATATTGAATTCCTTAAGTGAAGCAACAAACTGAAAGTCGACGGCTTGCAGGGTTACGTGCAGTGTATACTCCGCAGTAAACTTGCTTGCGGATGAATTCGCACGGCAGATCTCCATGTTATCTGTGTCGGCCAACTGGACCCTGGGCCCAATGAAGGACTATCTTCATTAGCACGGAGGTGTCGTTGTACTGGCTCATGGTGAGTGCATCGGGCTCTACGCTCGGATCCGGGCTTCCCGGTACCTACGTTGCTCATTTGACATTTTCGGCTTCATGATTCACAATATGTCTTCACCAGGTCCAGGATTGAGTCCAGTGTATTCCTTATGCGCGAAAGTACGATGGTTCCCATCTTCACAGCTCTTCTCCCACATACAGATGTATTAACAGAATAGGGTATCACACAGAAATTGGAAGTCTCTGCCCTATGATGGCTACGAATAGTAAATGAGCCCAGTGTGAATGGACACCTTCTTGACCCCCGTTAGCTCGATCAAGTCCTTCTATTCTGGGAATCATGGCCATTATTTGGATGGAAAGCCAGAGAAAGTACGCTCATCTAGTATTCAAAGGGAGTGCATGACACCAGCCTCCGTGTGCAGGATCTTTTATTGGCTTCATTGTGTACATGCTGTAATTTTTAATAAGCTTTTCCAGTCTGCTGAAGAAAAGGGACAATATACCATAGGAAAAGGGCCTCGAAATACTCCAAATCAGTTCTTCGTCAGGGACTCAGAGGATCATCGGGCTGCGACGGACATTGTGAGAGTGCCATCGAGTCTATAAAACGGAGGGTACCCCGTTCTGATTCCCAGTCTGAATCCAAGAGACGGAAGCAGTCCGGGAAGAAACCTGACCGTCTGCAGAAGAGACCCTGGATGTGTTAAGCTTTAGGTGAGAATTCCAACGAGCCGGAAAAGCGGACGATTCACCGTTCATGATATCCAGTGTTGACCGAACACTAGAAAGGCGAATGTCCCTCTGCGGATCAGGATAACGAGCTGTTTACTTTTGTTTGGAGACGGCACCGCATGTTCTATTTTACAATAGGTCCTTCTTTAGAAGCCTTTGTGATCCGCCTTTTATGGGAACCTTTGCATAGCATTGAAATACCACGGCATCGGGCAGATGCGATATGAAAGGGAATTGACCGAGGGCCCAATTCGGATTATCCGAACCTATGTTCTCGTTGCCACATGAAAGATCCGATATAGTGGTGAGCACACTGAAAATGTGACATCTGTGCCATATCTACACAAACGTACTCCGTGAGCAGAGAGGCGGAGCTGACTGTTGGAATGGTAAAGAGAAATTCAGTAGTTAGACGGACTAGAAAAAGACGGGCTATATTACTGGATGAGTGTCTCCCCATAAACTGCCTGATATGGCATAAAAGGACACTTCTGGTGGTGGCAGAATACCTGATAGACCTGGATTTCCGGTGCAAGACTAGTTGAACATGAATATTGAAGAACAGAATGGAGAGCCTCAGTATATATGTGCTTGGCGCGATGTTAGCAGAAGTTTAGCGCCCAAAGGAAAGATTTTGGAAATTGTAAGAAAGGTCCGTAAAATGCAGACAGCTTGATCTACTCCCAGGATTGGAAGTCGAAAGACAAGAGCTAGGCAGCAACAACTTCCCTATATACAGGACGAGTTGACGGCATGGATCTGCGGTGTGGCGGGGGGAGGGGGTAGATACAGACTTAGTTGGCTCAATTCAGACCCTACCATGCAATATGAAAATACCGGGTGGTTGGAAGGGGACTGTAGAGGCAGAATCTTGTTCAATCAAGTCATTATAAACTATATCGTCATGCTGTTAAGGCAGACCTGACCTGCCCTGCACTTTTTGCATTCCCACATCGTCATAAAGCAACAGTTAAATTTCCATGTGACTGGACCCAATGTATCATTTCTTGCTGGGAGTCGATGAAATGCTGTCTGGCCTTCCTGCGCTGGTGCCCAGTCAATGGCCAAAGGTTACAGGGATGGCAACGGATCGTCCATTGTTATCGCATCGCTGTACTGTAATAGAACCACCGAAGTCCTTTATGGATGGGGTGGCAGACCCATACTATTTTCGGCGTTACAAGCCCTAAGTATAGGTACCGTATACTTGGGATCCAACATCAATATTTGGTGCTAGATGACAGCTGATATATCTGGGATACATTCAATCTAACCCATTCTCATTCTACTATCTCTATTCAATGCTCCCAGGTTTCATTACACCCCAGAATCAGATGTTATGGGCTGGCGTACCTGAAAATGACTTTGGTTCCTTGAGTGTAGCGGTCAGAATATCAACAGATGTCAACGTATCGAGTTTGGAAGAAAAACGAATATGTCCATTGAAGCTCACGATAGTCAGAATGATTGCAAGAAGATCATTTTCCATGGAGCAGGCGAAGGAAGGCTTCTTTTCCAGGTTTATGTTAAGTCATATACAAATTTCAGCCATTTTGAGCCCTTTTTCAATAGAAAAAGCGATGGTAGTGTAGTGGTTAGCATCCCGACTTCCCAAAAGGGTAATATTCCCTCGGAATAGTCGGTGACCCGAGTTCGAATCTCGGCCTTCGCATTTTTTGCGCCAGGAGTTGGTGTATAGGTGGCATTTCAGATATTGTATACGTGGCGTCATGGAGAGCGGAGCGGGGACGTTCTGCCACCGCCTTTCAAGCCAATTATCACGTGGTATCTTCCCCACTTACCGAGATTCGGCGGTATCCGGAAACGCAAGAATAGCACAAGGTTCAAGATAAGATCTTATCATTCACCTTATTTTCACAGCGATTTGAATAAAGTCTTCTTACGAACAGCAAGCAAATTAGCCTGGATTCTGTATATCAGGTCATTTATTTTTCACTACAACCAACTGGTCCAATGTCTTCTTATAACTCACACTTTCCAAGATACCGGAACGTCTTTTGAGGAGCATGTGGTCATGGAAAACACAAGAACTGTTTGATATGATTTAGCCATGTTTCTTGATCAACACACGAGGGCGAATCTAGATAGCGTAGTGATCTTCCAAGGATCACCCCCGCGTCTTTCTTAGTCTCCTTCAATGAGAGAAATACGCCACGAACCTTCATATCAGATATCAAAATCTACTGGATACGTTCTATCTCGTCGTGGCAATATATTTAGATAAGAATGCAACCCGTGAACGGTGCTGGGCCACTCTGAACATACCCGAAATTCCTCCTCTCCCCGTAGACGCACTTAACTAATGCAAGTTGCTTACGCCGGCGGGACTATGGCCCTGTGAACGAACCATGAAACCCAGAGACGGCATTACGGACTATAAGTAGTCTGTGATAATTCGCAGTTGAGATTGACCACTACGTCCATTCCATCACTTGGCTTCTATTCCCCACAATGTCCTCCGCCGTCCTTGATAAAGTGCATATCGTTACCGGCAGTGCTTCTGGTATGGGCCTTGCCACGGCACAGACTCTGCTCCAGCGGGGTGCCAAAATAGCAGCATGCGACATCAATGAAAAGAACCTTGAGGAATTTTACAATAGCCTCGAGACAGCCAAGAAAAAGGTCACGTTGACAGGCTCGGTGGACCTGAGGAATAAGGGTGACCTTCGGGAATTCGCTCAGCAGGCAAGGTCTCGTTTTGGAAGTCTACATAGTGTAGCCAATTTTGCAGGCACAGGAGACCATGAGTTCGGAACAGAATCGGTTTGGGAGACAGGTGATGACGCGTGTGAGTTGATCATGGACATGAACCTTAAAAAGATATTTAAATCCCTCTCGGTGGTGTTGTCCCCTGGGTTTTTGGAGCCTGGTGCAAACGTGGTCCATACGTTTTTCTAGGCGGCAATGACCCGCGGCTCGATGTTACCCTTAGTCCTAGAGATTCGTAGGAGGCTTAGATTGCGTAGAAATATCAAACACACGCCGAAACTCCGTAAAGACTTCCCTGTCATCCACTGCGGACTTAACGGGGTTGTGATGACGGAGACCGATCTTGCTGACATTGTTCACCACCCGGACAAGAGATAGTTCAAGTTGTTTCTTTTCCTGTTGCTTTTGATCTTTGAAGACTTGGGGAGGTGGAGTCCGTATCCAGTCAAAGAACTGAAATTTAATGACTATAACTAAACTGGAAAGGGTCGCTTATACATTAAGATCTCTGGTTGAGCGTACAGTCGATGGAGCACTGTAGACCATGAAGCAATTGAAATAAGAAACCTCTCAAAAGTAAAGCAACAACTCATCTATTATGGGCTTCTTTGGCTTGATTGCAGTCAATACGAAATATAATGCTATATCTAATTCATTTGTCTATAACGAAATTGGAAGGCCATTACGGTATTGCCAAATTTCTAGAAGATAGGATTTGACTATAACCGGAGGCTGTGCATCGTATCTGTCTTAGACAGAGACAACTGAGATTTCCCACTTGTAACTGAAGGCCGCTGACAAATTGGAACGCAGGCAGAAGCATTTCAACTGCCGGATCCAGTGCGTCTTGCTGACAGCCAAGAAATGGACCAGAGCTCATCAGCCATGGAAAGGCCTTGGTACATGTATACACGTTTACCAAGATGCCATTTTCGCTGGAGTTCGTTGGTTACACAAGAATATAGCTGCTGAATACGGCTTTACTGGAGACGCAATCAATTGTCAAGGCGAGATGTTATGCCAGTCAGTTCTTGTAGATGACGCCTACTTGCTTTGCCTTGCAGTCAGACTACATACTTGGCACTGGTTCTTCCCAACTTGTAGGATCAAAATGATCGTTTTCCATGACGTTGTGGCTGTGTTCTTTTCTATGAATAAGACAACAGAAAAAAGGGATTATGGATATTTGTTTCGGTGTAGGGAGATTCGGTACGAGCGGATCTCAGTAATTGGACATATCTCAAGACCCCAAGCTGACCGAGACGAAGCTGACGTCTCCCTCTCAGTCGCCAAGAGATGCTCCATTTTCATGGCTATGGCATATACAGGTGGGCCAAACGGGATATCCATAACTCGTTGGCCGAGGGAATGAGGTCTGCTTGAATGGTATAAATACATCGTTGCTGCTAACAATCACTGACCATCCTAAGGGCATTTCCAAGCATCAATTGTTGACATGAAGCTATTCTATCTCGCAAGGGTCTCTGCAGTACTTTGGTTCCTGACACCCATAGTAGGTGAGTATGACTATACTGGGTGGTAATGACACATGATGAACATGAACAGCTCATCATATTTCTTCTTATCCAATAGCACTCCTCAATGGGACGGTTCTTTACTTTGAGACTCCAGCCATATATCCGATATTTGAAACTATTCACGGACCATCCCAGTTCAACATTACAGTCCGTATTCGAGGGTTTGAAGAGACCCTTGCCTTTGTGGTGCAAGACAACCTTGATATCACAAAAGCAGACAGCCGCGCACAGTATGTGGATATTGGTGGTAATGTCAGGGACCTTAAGCCATTGATCGACTCGACATACCAGATAACCAAGGGCTCTGTATGGGTCAAATCCAACGCTCGCCAGTCATGGGAAAGTGTTGGATGGGCTCGATTTGCTGTGTTTCAAGATGAGGAGTCACCATTATTTGAGGGAACGTTCACATTGAGTTCACAAGAGTATCAGGTTCGTGTCCAGCCGTCTGAGGGTTCTGCGCATAAGAACCAGCTTGTTGCGTATCAGACCTCTGATTCAGAAACCTCGAGCACCGAATTTCCGATGGGAGATATGCTCTGTACGTCAACGACGCAATCTATGCTTCAAAGACGTCAATCCTGGGATGAGAGCAGCTTGACAGACACCATTGGTGACACCTCCGGCTGTCCATCTACCAGACAAGTTGCACATATTGGCGTTGCTACCGACTGCTCGTATACGGCCAATTTTGATTCAGCGGAGGCCGCGCATCGGAATATTCTCAATGTTGTCAACACTGCCTCGGTAGTTTTTGAAAACAGCTTCAATATTATGCTTGGACTACGCAACCTAACCATCAGCGACGCATCTTGCCCCAACAATCCATCTGATACCACAGCGTGGAACTCACCATGCTCTCACGGTGACCTAAACTGGCGACTACGGCAATTCTCCTCGTGGCGCGGCACTATTGATGATAGCAACGCATACTGGACGTTGTTAACCGGATGCCCCAATCCCCAGGGAGAAGTCGGCGTGTCCTGGGTGGGAGCGTTATGCAATACAGGCTCGTCGAACTCCTACTGGTCTCAGTCCGGTGTGGGGGCCAACATTGTAGGACGTACTTCGACAGAGTGGCAGGTATTTGCGTATGTCATTTCGTTACTTTAAAGAAAGATTGTGTTGTCGCCTCCGCTGACTTGCAAGTACAGCCATGAGTCGGCCCACACATTTGGGGCTATCCACGACTGTGATTCCAGCGCGTGCACAAGCGGACTTGATCGAAGCTCCGGATGCTGCCCGTTGTCTGACTCCACATGTGACGCCGGGGGCCAGTACATCATGAATCCAGCCTCGCGAATGGGAATGACACGTTTCTCTCCTTGCACTATTGGGAACGTTTGTTCTGGACTCCGCTCGGGCCGTATCAACACACGTTGTCTTGTAGATTCTGTTGGTCAAAGTGAAAATGGCAACAACAGCAGCAGCTATTGCGGAAACGGGATTGTTGAAGCCGGGGAAGCGTGCGATTGTGGCCAAAACGCCTGTAGCAGCATCGACCGGCAGTGCTGTGATTCCATGACTTGCCAGTGGATGGGAGGAGAGCAATGTAGTCGGAATGTGCCTGGTGGAGGCGGTGGTAATGCGGGTAGGAGAACAGAGACTGCCGATGCCGGGGACGTCTCGACGTGGGTGCAAAATCACCTCCGGCTGGTCATCGGTTTATCTGCTGGAATTGGTGGCGCAATTGTGCTGGCGGTAGTATTGGCCATTATAATATGCTGCTGGCGACGCCATAAGTCTCGGGGCAAGCTAGATGAGAGTAGCCTCCCAACTAGAGACCAGGGTTAATGGGTTTTTTCAAGAGTTCTATGCCCTGATAGGTTCTATGCAGTTCTGTGGAGTTATCTAAAATTGCAATATCCTGAAAGCCTTGCTTCCTCCGAATGGCAGGTGAAGGAATATGTACTCGAGTCAAAAGATATGTATAATAATGTTAACTTGGCAAGATATCATATGACCTCTTTCGCAAAAAATGTAGATGATGAGGCCATCGAAAGACGCACTTTATCTCGTATACAGTCACGTGAGATAAAAGGTACGAGTAATTCTGTAAAGAGAAGGTGGGTCACTGTTGTCCAGGAAACCAACACGTGATGTCCCAAACAAGAAACGGCCTAAACAGCGCACGATCAACCCGACAGCTGCAAGACTCCATCCTGATTAATATCGCGCCACCATCGACCCCCTCCCCTGCTTCCGGAGGACCTTTATTACGCCAACATTTTGCGGAAATTCTTGATGCCTCATTGACAGCAGCGCGCAATGAGAATTACGGTGCACCGGGATCGGTATTGAATGTTTCCTTGCACCACCACAACAAACGACACAGCGAATCCAGCTATCTCCGACCTTACCCACCGTCTTCAATCCGTGACTACACAGCGGATGCGCTGAGCCGATCAAATATACCATCAACTACAATGGCTCGAGCTGCTGTCATCCCCGCTACTTCACCCCCAAAACGGGGCGCCCGCACGACGAAACGCACAACCGCAAAGACGACAACGACGGCATCCAGATCTGCGACGAGCGGAGTCACAAAACCAGCACCAAGGACAAGGACAGCTACAGCTTCGACGGTTGCGAGCCAAGCGAAGAGGGGTGTGCGATCAATTTCTAAGCCGACCAATGATGATAACACAGACAATGAGACGGATGATGAGATCGGTGTGATCGAACAGCAGAAACCAAAAACCACAATCTCTAAGCCACGGGGACGGCCACCTACGAAGACAGCTTCTACCAGTACTTCGCGTGGTCGGAAGGTCACGGCGACCGCCGCTGCCGCAGATACTGATGACAGCGAAGAAGATGAACTGGCCCAGGCGGAAGAAGCCCCGAAGAAACAGGCTGGACGACCGAAGAAGCAAATCCCCAAGGAAGAAGAGGCCCCGAAATCCGAATCGGCTCCCCGACCCCGAGGTAGACCCAAAGGATCTACGAATAAGACCACGAAAGCCGCGACCGCTGAAAAGGAGAGCTCATCCCGGACCCGGGCAAGAGCTGGTACAGACGTGAATTCAGCCGGAGGTCCCAAGGAGGTCTTCATAACAACAAACTCTACCATGATGAAATCTAACCTTTTGCGCGGCCCGGCGAAGAAGAAGAAAGTCACCTTTCAGGACTTGTCGGACTCTGAGGATATGCTCGAACCATCCCCTCCTGCCGGCAGGAAAAGAGCGACTGCACCAGGAAGACAAACAGGCCTTGCGGCTAAGCCAGCTCGCAAAACTACCACTACTTCAGCCAGAGGTCGGAAACCGGCAGCGACCAAGAAGACTGCATCGAAGCCTCTGTCGCCTAAGAAGGCAACCCAGGTCCCCAAGTCTTTATCTTCATATGTCAGCTCCGACGGTGAAGATGATGAACTGAGTGGCGCTAAGAGTCCGATCAAGCTTGTTGTCCACTCCCCCCAGAAACACGGATCAGAAACCACCGGATTAAGCTCGCCCGTGAAGAAAATCAACTTCACCACTGCCCAGTCGCCCAAGAATGTCGATGAGAATGGAGAACCCGTGTCTCGTCCGCGTCGATCCATCGACTTCAACGATACAGCGTTCATGTCCAGCCCTGCTCGCCGACCAACTCCGTCGCCCTTCAACTATACCATTAGGGAGACACCTAGGCGGGCTGGGATTGCTTTTCGCGATGATACAAAGCCAACTGCTCAACCAAACTTTACACCAATGCAGGAGTCGCCTCTGAAGCTCTCTCCCAAGAAGGCAAATCTGGGCACTCCCCGGCTGGGTGGTTTAAGCGTTCCCGATGATCAGCCATTGTCTCAGCCTAATTTCACACCTGGAAAGTATTCACCATTAAAATCGTCACCTAAGAAAGGCCTCTTCGGATCGTCCCTTATATCACAGGCCCTCCCGCAGGAATCTTCTACCCCCTTCAAGTCTCGAAGTCTCCTGATGAGTCCTGCCAAGAAGATCGCTTCTCCGTTCAAGAGTTCCATTTTCGGAAAGACTTGCCCTCTTCCGGAAAGTCCTCAATCTGCACAGAATGGGCAGGAACTTGATGCGACAAATGTTGAGCCGGCTCATGAAACACCCCTCCGAGGTGCGGAGCAGGACGAAGAAATTGAAGCTAACGACGACACGAATGTTCAAAATGCGATAGATCGAGACCCCGAGGACGTGGAGGCCGACTATCCTTCAGGAGACAAGGGTCATGAGCATGACTTGATTGTGACTGCCGATATGGGTGCCGATCAGCCGCCACCAGACCTCCAAGATGACCAGCCTGAACATCTTGAAGAGGCGGGGACCGAAGAGGACATGGCACCTATCGATGAACCAGAACCAGCTTCAACCGATCATGATGATATCAGTCATGATGAGCCTGAGACAGAGCTAGGCAACAAGGAAGGGAGTGGTTTCAAAGAGCTTGAGCTCATTGAGCAACTTGACAACAAAGAAGAGGGCGATTTGCAGGAGCCAATGGATGTGGTCGAAGAGAAAACAACGCCACTTGAGCACGATGCTAATGGCGAGGACGCTGAAAAGGTTGCGGAGCCTGAAGGTCATTTTGAGATGACCGAAGGGATCGACGAACTTCCAGCGGATTGGACCTCTGATAACGGCGAGGAAGACCAAGAGCATGATGAAGCCATGACCGACATACAAGCTGCTCCAGTTGTACAAGAGCATGCTGAGCCCTTCCAGGACGAGTCTTCCCCCATTTCAGATGAAAAAGAACCCAATGATCTGGGAAACAGCCCAGACTTTGAAGCAAATACGCCACCCGCCTCCCCATTGAGCCAGGACATGACCGAGGGACTTGAGGATCCATTTACCGACGGATACCTCGCCAATGAAACTCGGGTAATTGCCCAGGAAGTGGAGGACGATGAAGAGACAGCACCTGCTGTGGATGGCGGTTGCGATGATAAAAGGACTAGGGAAGATCGTAGCACAAACTCTGCCACGAATGACGAAGAATCTCTTCTGATGTTCGATGCTACCGACCACGGCTCATCGCAGCCCCAAGCTCTTACACCTTATGAGATCGACGAGAGAAGAGACAGCATAGCTTCTCAAAAACTGCAGCATTACCTTCCATCAGCACCCTCTCCGCCGAAAACGACTGAATTCCCTGGATTCCCTGAATACCGTGACCCTGAAGACCACATGGAGTCCATTATGGAGGATACAGTGTCTGTGGCTGAATCGACAACCGAATTGTCTATCCACACTGAGAAGGAGCCCACGTCTTTAAAAGAGAGTCAATTACCTCAGCGTCCAGAGAGACGCCGTAGTAGTGGCCCTCGGTTCACCCTGTTGGCAGAGCAGCTCAGTGGATGGAAAGCTAGCAGCCCAGAGAAGTCCGAAAAGGCGCGTCCACGAAAAAGAGGGGTGTTCTCCCTAGCTGGTAACTTTAAGAGACCCAGCGATGCCTTCAGCATCACAAGTGATGTGGCTTACCCAGCTCTTTCACTGGAGGAGCCCCTTCTCCCCATCGATTCGCAGGAAGTCCAAGTTAAAGACGAGGGCCCGACAATTTTCGAAGACCAGCATGCTGAGCCGGGCACAATTGAAGACGATATCCAGGAAAATTCGGAGCTTACCAGACAGCCTTTGTTTGAAATATTCAGTGATGCACAGGCGGATGCATCCGAAGGGGGTATGGAACATACCCCAGCCGCCTCAAGCAAGGGGAATAGTCCCGCATGCTCCCCTCCCTCCGCCCACGAGCCGACCTTGGAGGAAGAAAAGGAAAACCAGAATAGCCTTCTTCCTGCTCCCGCTACTCCGGCTAAGAACATTAGCAATCAAATGACGTTTCATACGGTCTCAAAGGTGCCTCTAAAGCCAGAGGGACAGATATCACCTTTGAAGATGCCCCGGAAAAGAGGTCGTTCTCTTTCAATGGCTTCTCCCCTGCGGTCTTCTCCAAGAATTCGGAACATTATTGCCTCCAGGGAACAGAACCCTTCCGCTGCGCCTTCTCCTCGGCCCCAGCGAGTCGCCACCCCACAGTTGAAGTCTCCCAATATTTCCCGTGTCAGGAGGAGCATATCCCGCCATTCTGGGGTTACCAAGGCGGCTTCCCGGTCTCCTAGCTCATCCAAGACACCAGGACGAAACATAAGCGCCTGTGAACAGGTCCTGCGGGGGGCTGTAGTATATGTGGACGTCCATACTACGGAAGGGGAGGATGCTAGCGGAATCTTCGTTGAATTACTCAGTCAAATGGGAGCCAGATGCGTGAAGAACTGGGCATGGAATCCGCGTGCAAGTTTATGTCCCCAGGACGAGCAGGAGCCCAAGGATGGTAGGGTTGGAATCACCCATGTCGTCTACAAGGATGGCGGCGTGCGAACACTGGAAAAGGTTCGACAGGCTGGTGGTGTCGTGAAGTGTGTTGGAGTCGGCTGGGTTCTTGAGTATGTCATCCTTCTCCAGCGCTTGCCGAAGCATACTAACGTGGTCTAGCTGCGAACGAGCAAACAAATGGCTCGACGAGACTCACTACGCTGTCGACAGCTCGATTATTCCACGAGGCGGCGCAAAGCGCCGAAAGAGCATGGAGCCTCGAGCGCTTAGCAACGTCAACGGTACCCTTGTGAAGACCACCACTGGCCCCTCTTCCGGCAGCGGGCGTCGCTGCGGCGCGGACTGGGACTCCATGGAGGACTTCATGCGACACACACCACCGCCTCGTGAAGAATCCACTTCGTCTTCTGCCACTCCAGAGTCTTCGAAGTTCCGTCTGGGCCACCCTGAAGCGGATCAGGAATACTGCCAAACCCCGAAGACTCCCGGCTCGTCTGCCTACGACTTTGCCAATCTTGATAGGATTGGCATGTCCCCTGCAACGCCCTTCTATCTGTCACAACGATCTCGTCTCGTCCAGCAGACCTGTCCACCTAAACAAACCCGCCAGGGTCTCTTTTCGACCCCGAGACAGACGGCAGAATCGTCAAATCCTTTGCGCGCCCGTTTGGAAGCTGCGCGACGGCAGAGTTTGGCCTTCAAACCCCGTGTTGGAAGCCCACTTATTGAGTAACTTACTGGGTGGATATGAGCCTTTTACCTGTACTTATCATTCTTATTTGGTCCGCGTGTTGGGCGTTGGTTTTCACTGTTTTGTACATACCCCTTTAAGGTCTAGGATGTCAACCTTGTTTGGAATATCTTCATCTACCTTACAGTCGTAGTGCTGTGCTTTCATCAAACGTGAACGTCCTAAGAAACCTTAGATATTTATTATTCTTTTATGAATAACCGAGAGTATGTTTTGTGCGCCCGAAACCAAGTTTTCCCAAAGTCCCATACACTCCAAAAAGCAAGACATAGAATCTGGATCAGCAGATGTGCTAGAGAGCCGCATCAGCTTCATCCATTTTGCGATAGAAACCAGCAACCAAGAAAGCCAGTTCAAGAGCCTGCTTCTCGTTCAATCGCGGATCGCAGAACGTCGTGTACCGCTCACCCAAGCCCTCCTCTGTCAGACCGGCCGCGCCGCCTACACACTCGGTGACAGCTTCACCGGTGAGTTCGAGGTGCATGCCGCCCAGGAAGGAGCCCGCGGCACGGTGGATCTCCAACGCCTGGTGCAGTTCGGAGAGGATGTCACTGAAGTGGCGCGTCTTGACGCCGGTGGGGGTGGACTGCGTGTTGCCGTGCATGGGGTCGCATTGCCAGACAGGGATGTGGCCGGAGGCCTGCACGGCGGCGATATGGGCGGGGAGGTGATCGGCGATCTTTTTCGCGCCGTAGCGCGAGATGAGGGTCACCTTGCCGATCTCGCGCGCCGGGTTGACAACGTCGAGGATGCGGACGAGCTCGTCCGGGGCCATGCTGGGGCCGATCTTGATGCCAATAGGGTTGGCGATGCCGCGGAAGAACTCGATGTGGGCGCCGTCGAGCTGGCGCGTGCGATCACCGATCCAGAGGAAGTGCGCGGAGGTCGCGTAGTAGTTTGTTGGTGGCGGGTATGTGGTTGTGTCGGAGGGGGTCTTGAGAAGGCGCGTGAGGCTTTGCTCGTATTCGAGGGAGAGGCCCTCGTGGCTGGTGTAGATGTCGACGGTTTCGACGCCGCGGTCAGTGTCGATGCCGACGGTGTGCATAAAGCGCAGGGCGTCTTTGACCCGGCCCACGATCTGCTCGTACTTCTTTTTAATCGATGGCGTGATGACATGGCCCAGTCCCCAGTCGAGTGGGGAGTGCAGATCAGCCAGGCCGGAGGAGAGAGAGGCGCGGATGTAGTTCAGGGTGGCGGCGGAGTGGAAGTAGGCGGAGACGAGTCGAGAGGGATCGGGTTTGCGGGATACGGGGTCTGCGGCGAAGCCGTTGATGTTGTCGCCTCGGAAGGAGGGCATCTCTACACCGTTGACGACTTCCATGGGACTCGATCGTGGTCTGTCAATCTTGTGAGCGGGAGGGTAGACAGGGATTGGGGTAGAGAGAGACGCACTTGGCGAATTGGCCTGCAATTCGCGCAATCCGGACGACGGGTCGATTTGCGCCTGTTGATGGTTTGTTAGATGTGCGCGTCGATGAGGGAAAGCCAGTGCGTATGTACCCCAGATTAGAACCAAGCTCATCTGTAGGAGGAGCTTGACTTTGGCTTCGATCATGTCTTGGTTACAGTAGTCGAAGAGTTCGGCGCAGTCTCCTGCATTACGAGATGCGGTCAGGGGTGGCTTCTGAAAGTGAGACGCAGAGGGGATCGTACCTCCTTGGAGGACAAAGGCCTTGCCGAGGGCAACATTTTTCAAGTGCTTCTTCAAGCTGACAATCTACGAGAGTGAGTATATGTCTTTTGCGGCCGGGTGCAAGCTACATACTTCTTGCGTGGTGACTAGTGGGGGTAGCTTTTGTAATTTGGCCAGCGCGGCATTGACACCCTCAGCATCATCATAAGCAACATCCTGCTTGATGGGTTTGGAGACCCAAGCTAAACACGTCAGTAAATCGAAGGAAAAGCGCAAACAAGCGACTCACAGCCAGGCGCCCAGTCAGCTGTCATAGTGGGGGGATCGGCGTGGGTAGATAGATCGATGACAATCAGGGACCCGATGGGAGGAAACGAGCGGTTTGAGGCCGACCTGGGCTCACCAGAAGAGAACGTAGACGAAACAGCCGGACTGAGTCAGGGTGAGAAACAATTGACAGCAAAGAAGAAGAGAAGGAGGAGAAAAGAATGAAGCAAACAAGAGAACCGAAAAAAAGAAACTCTAAACGGTTATCCGCGGCCTGAGTCATCGACTATGCCCGATCGGGCAGGAGGCGTGACCTCATCTCTCCAGCTCCCTTACTTCCATCAACTCCATCAACGCGCTCGTGTCTTGCAATTATCCTTCCTCGATCCACGCCCCTCGCTCACAACATGTCTGACCCCATCCCCTCCGCTGCTGCAGACCCCGATGCCACGCAGCAGCATCTCCCCGCCAATGCGGAGGACCGTAAGGCCGCTGCCGCCCTCTCCTCCCTCACTACAACCGAGATCACCGCCGACTCGGCTGCGAAGCCGCCCTCATCGACTGATCAGGAGGCGCTGGGGAAGGCGATGAGTCGACTGGAGATTGCTGCAGGTCAGGGTACAGCTAAGAAGCCGACTGGCGACGCCCAGAAGAAAGAGGCGGAGGTGGTCAAGAAGAAGGCTGTTAAGGTTTCCTCCGAGGACGTCAACCTGCTGGTACGTTTGCATTATGAGAGATATCCGTTCGATAAGACAGGATTAACAGGAAGTCCAGGTCGACCAGCTTGATCTGAACAAGATCAAAGCGACGGAGCTCCTCAAGCTGCACGATGGCGACGCCAAGAAGGCTATCAAAGCATTTATTACCCCGGCGGTTGGAGCGTAAGGAGACAGCCATTTGGCGGGGAAAAGGGTATGTATGAATGACGGCATGAATCATGAACACTGCAGATAAATGACTGTTACGAAACAATGCAATTGCTTTCCTGAACCTCTATCGAAAGACATATCTCATAATCCTCGTGGCCTAGATCCCGACTCAGGCGTCAGGACCTGTATCCCGGGTCTAGATGTATATATTCTGACAAGACTCAATCTTCTTCCTCCGGCTCTGAAGGCTTCTCAATCCCCCTACCCTCGTAGATCTTCCACAGAAGAAGCCAGCCCACCAACGCCTCTACCGCCAGGAACCACCATATACCGCCGACGAGGTTCTCCTTGAACCCCAATCCCAATCCCCAGCCGCCGACGAACGGGCCAAGCGTGCGCGCCGCACTCGATATACTCTGCGCCACCCCGTGAACGGTTCCCAGCACTGACGCATTAGTAACGCTATTATTGACCAGGATGATCGCCGCAGGCAGGGAGAACGTCCGCGAGATGACCTGGAGGCCGACGACGACGGTGAACGCAGGCCACACAAGCCACGGGTACCGCGGAATCACCACCAGGAACGGCATCAGCGCATACGCCAGAGGCGAGAAGGGCAAGAAAGCCCGGAACGACGTGAGCGTTCCCAGCCGAGACTGCACCTGTGGATACACCAAGATCTGCAACGGAAGACCGATGACCCCGATGATCGCGGTGGCTAGTCCCACACGAGACGAAGGCAGGCCGAGGCCGCCGCCGAAATGGATGCCGTGGTGACTGCCTTCCGGGGCTCGCGGAGCGGAGAGGAAGACGAAAGTCATGGCGTTGAAGGCGCTCATGTGGAACGCCAGGAGGAAGTGCGCTAATAGAGTCAGAAGAACGTTGGGCGTCCATACTTGCCGGAAGGAAGGACGCCTGTGACGGGGCCGAGCGCGCGCGCGGGCCGGGGAAGGCGGCAGAGACCGACTCGCGACGCTGCTGTCGATATACACAGACTCGTCGTCCGCATCGCTGATCAGCGGCCGGTAGTACCGGGGTACGCGTCGTCGCGAGAGATTTTTGGCCAGTGCGCGGCCCAGCTTGCGACCCCAGTCATGTCGATATCGCGCGACCTCATGCGTCTCCTCCAGCCCGAGAAAGACCGCCACCAGCGACATGAAGATGAACATAGCACTGAGGAGATTCGGCAGTGCGAACGGCCAATGCTGCATCCAGCCCACACCATCCGCGCCTCCAAACACGGACCCAGGGCCAAAAAGGTGCGGGTAGTTCTTGACCGGATCAGCCAGCATTCCACCCAGCACTGGTCCGATGATCACACCGATGTTGAAGCACATGGGCAAGAGCAAGAACGCCCGCGATTGATACCTAGTAGACCGGTCAGCCCCCGCTCGATGACAGCGCCCACCACCGCAAGCACTCACTTTTTCTCCTGAATGATCTCTGCGATCATCGTCCTCATCACGCCAACATTACTATTCACCACCCCTCCAAAGGTCCTAAACACGACCGCAGCAGCAAACGACCGGGAGAACCCAAAGCCCAAACACGAGAGACACGTGCCCAACAGACCGATCATCAACACCCGTTTCCGACCCATCCACTCCGCATCCGCGAGTCGACCCCACCAGACCGCCGTGAGGAACTGTGCGGCCGTAAAACATCCCTGGAGGATACCCGCTTGCGCGGAGATCGTCGAGTCAGGCAGAGAAGGGTTGAACGACCGGAGCTGGTAGAACATGTACGCCTGCAGAGAGGTCTGGGTGAGCGGCTCGGACAAGCGCGCAAACGTCAGGATGGCCAGTTGACCTTTCTTTGGTAAAGACGCCCATGTTACGGGCTTTTCGCTGGCGGACTCGGGCGCGCCTTCGTCGTCGCTGATCTCATCGTCGTCGCTGTCGCTCGGAGTATTGATAGACAGCGGTCGCTGATTGGCAGTGATGGCTGGCGCGGGCGCTAAGGATCGCCTGTGATCAGATTCTCCTTCGTAGATGACGGTATGGACGCTGTCGCTATCATTGCTATCGTGCTGGTTGCGATCTCGGGACGTTCCGTCCGCGGGACGATTTACCTCAGCCGAGACCGGGTCGACATGTTGCATACGATGCGGTAGTATATTAGATTGCTGAGAGAACGGCATAAACAAGACGGTGCTAGTCGTAGAGGACTGGGGAGAAAGTAAGATCGAGAATGACGGTGGCGAAGTTCGCTTCGAAAAGAGGAGAAGCAGAGAGCGTGGGGAAATAAGTCCGAACTTGGTCTGTGCGAGTTCGGATATATCGGACTAGAACTACAGATCAAAAGCATGGAATAAATGGATGCAGTTCATAATATTACCCGATAACAACGCATCCGGTATCCAACCCATGAGAAAAACAAACACTATCACAATCAATCCTATTGTAAACACCAATGCAACAGTCGCAAATGTTCAAACCCAAAGACTGCAAACACCCAGAACCATCAAGTACGATCACTCTCCTACTATAATCAGTTGCGCTGACTGCCGCCAGACCGGCCGGTCATGTCCATTGTGCTTTCGATGCCCTCCCACGGAAGCTCCTCGTCGTCTTCATCATATTCTGCTCCCACGTTCTTCTGCGCGGACTTGTCCGTCGTGGTGGTCACGTCGGTGGTTCGGTTGGCTCCAGCATCGATCCCAATCGACTGCAATGTCATCTCCATTTCCTGCTCTGACATCTCATGGCCGGTCTGCTTCTGGCCTTCGAGTACATCATACAATGCATAGATTTGGTCCGCTTTCATGTCGATGTCTTTCAGGATCTTTTCGATCTTAGTGCCAAGAGACTTCCTCTGTCTCTTGCTCAACGATGCATCCAACTTATTGTATGCCCCTTGGTAGGTCACAAGCTGCATCTTTAAGTGTGACAGTTCATCCTCCAAAGCCTTGAGCACAGTGGCAAGTGCTACTGCTGGAGGCTGTGCAGGACGCAGCGTAGGATCTTCATTGTAGGGGGAAGGCTCCGGCATACGTTCCGAGACCGGAACGGGCTTCGGGATCTTGACGCTTTGCCCGGTGTGGTCACAAGTAGCACCAGGGACCGAACGCTTGCACACCGTACAGTTTTTACCATTATGCTGAGTAGCACTGTCGAGGGCGCGCTGCGCCGATTCTGGCAGCCGGCTAGGGTTCTCGGCGATGGCGTCTGCATGGTGAAGGGTGATGTCAGGTAGAATAAATGCGGACGTCATGTCCTCCACGGCATGGCGCCGCCGCCGAGGCGTCGCAGCATGATCCGAATGGCGCCTTTGACGGACAATCGGGACGGACAAGCTGTCCTCATTCTCCGCGGCACTGACTTTGGAGGTAGCCGTCACGTCACCTATCGCAGAGGCAGGTCGACTGGGGATCTCCTTGGTCTCCTTCAAAGAGGATTTCCGAGGAAGAGTGGTCTTAGTCGTGCTTCTGCGAGTGGAGTTCTCGGTCTCGTTGGCGGTGTATTCTTTAGCAGTGTTGGAAACACGTCGCTTCCGAGCCAACCGCTCCTCCTCCAATGTCTTCCGAAGCTGGGCAATCTCACGTTCCTGTTTCGGTCAGTACGGTGATACCACCGGGGGCAAACTTGGACTTACATCGACAAAGCTCAGGAAGGTCACGTCTTTATCCGTTCCAGAAGACTTCCTCGTGTTTCCAGTAGCTTCAGCAGTAGATTCCACGGGCTCAGTAACATCGATTTCCTCCACAACGACCCTCTTGACACGTTGCTTGCCAGTGTTTGACTTTTTGGAGTGCGGCCGAGACTCATACTTCTCCGACCGTGACACCGCAGGGCCCTTCGAGCGCGGCAAATCAATTGAAAACAACTCCTCATCTGCTCGCTCCTTCTCCAGTCTAGAGATCTCGCGATCGACTTGATTAGACACCATGGCGCGAGACTCCTCCCGGCGGCCCGACTTGGAACGCGAACGCGAACTCTTCTTACTGAGTTCTTTAGTTCCACGGCTCACAGTCGCGCTCTGCCGAGTGTTGGTCTGGCTATCATCGGTGCCCTCCTCGGTTGCAGATGTTTGTTCCGATTCCAAGGTCTCTTCACGAGTCTTGGACGCAAACGAAGCGAGTTTCGTCAACTGAGCCTTCAGCTCCGCGATCTCTGCTCGAAGATCCTCGTTCTCAGCCTTGAGGTCTTGCGATTCAAGATAGGCAACGCCCAGCTGAGAAACGGCCATGTCACGCTCGCGGTTCAGCTTCTTCAATGCTGCCTCGTGAATCTGGGCCTTGCGCTCCATGATGTCGAGCTTGTTCTGCAGAGCGAGGTTCTCTTCTTCCAGTTCTGGCACAAGTCAGCATGGTAGACGGCTCACTGGTGGATGATATGCTTACTTTGGTTTTCCAAAACGCTGTCTCTCCGATAGCCTTCTCGTTCCGTATCATACTTGGTGCGACTCTGCTTATCCTTACGGGTCTTTCCGGTCTTGAGAGCAGCATTCTCATGCTTCACTTCCTCAATCCTCCTTTCTGCATCGGCCTTTGCCCTCTCCAGCTCGGAGACCTTGTCCTGAAGCAGCCGCAAGGACACGAAGAGAGCCTTCTCATCCTCCGGGATTGGCACCGCATCCAGGGGCATGTGTTCACGGGTCAAAGACACCTCGGGGATATCATGCGGGGGAGATACAAATCGCGTGGTGCGCGCCCTGTTTTGGCGCGAGAAGACAGGTGTACCGTCCTCATAGACACCTGACACCAACTCCGACAGGTTGGGCAGATCCGGAAGGAGGAATGACTGCTGCGTACCAGTGTCGCCCGCAGCGCTGACATTACGGGAGTTCTTTCCTCTCCGCATTTCTCGGGCATACGCCTCCTGTGACGCCCTCTCCACTGCATCGACTACCTGATGATGCAAGTTCGCGTTACCAAAGCGCGTAGCACGCGTATTGCTGGCAACCGCAGCAGGACGCTCATCGCCGAGAAAAGAGCCATCGTATGAGTCGCGGACCTTGGCATGCATCTCGGAGAGTGTCCTCCGCTGGTCCCTGCGGTTGGATTTGGACTGGGGATCAATGTTCTCTTTGTGAGCAAGGCTGGCTTGTCTCAACTGGGCGTCTTTGCGGAGATTCTCGCTCACGGCGCGTCGTGACGTGTTGCGCATTGCGGATTTCGGGGGGGTGTTCGAGGTCGGGTAGTCGAGACGCACGGCAGGAGAGGAGGAGCGAACGCTGTTTTCAATGCTGATGTAGGAATTGCGCGAGTCATCCAGACGACGCGTCGGCTTCGTGGGACCCCGTCCTAATTCAATGGAAAACTCGTCATCGCCATGGTCACCCTCTTCCTCGGAGGTGCCGATCTGGGAGAATTCGGGAAAGTAGCGTTCGAGCATGGAGGAATTGATGGCGTAGTCGGGCTCATCTTGATCGGAGTTATGGTTCTGTTTTCTAGCGTTGCTCTTCATGGCTGGAAGTTTGGGGCTGTCCTCGACTTCTCTTGTCGACGCGAGGGCTTCGTGTTCGGGGTCAAAGTCGGAGCCGAACGACGCGAAGCTGTTTCCCGTGACGTCGCGCGACATATTGGGCGACGACGCGAGACGGGATAATCGAAGGGAGGAAATGCAATGGTCTGATCAGGTCCTCTCTGGCATCAACATTGGGCGAGTGTTCCGGTGTTGTGGTGAGTAGGAGAAATCGAGGTGGATTGTTTATGAGGCGCGTCGGTCACTGCGGCTCGGCAGTTGGAGCAGAAAGCGACAACACCACCCTCGTGGGAATTCACAAGGATGCAAATAATCGGAAGATAGGATGTAGTGGATGACCAGCACAATAACTCTAAGTTCACACTACCCGCTGAGGAAAATGCCGGGATGATAGAGCTGGTGGGAGGAAAATAATGAGGAGGCTGGGGTTCTGGTCAGTGGTTTGCTCTGGTTGTTGTTGATTTGTTTACGTTCCGGATGGTGGATCGGAGGACAGACCGCCTTCCGTTCGACGCTTCCATGTTCGGGTACCTTGCCGCATCTTAGGAACAACCCAAGTCCAGGGATCTATACCAGCACAAAATCATCATAATCAACGCTATCATTCTTATTCACAAGTATGTTCAGCCGCCTCCCAATCTACCAAAATCCCTCTTTATACACATACACAGGGTAAAAACAAAGTTCCCCGCCTCCGAACGCCTTGCTAGTTACTTAGATGGTAATGAAATGCAGTCATAAAGTTGTAGAAGTGAAGGAATAATGCTGAGAAGAAAATGCAAGGTCGTAATGTCGTGCATTTCCGCTCTGTTGATCCAAAACGAAAACACGGTTTAGATGCGAGTAGATAATTGCGTAGCCCGGGTTATGAGGACGGTGAGGTTGTATGAGGTGTGATAGACTCGCCGGAAGAGGTCTCCTGGACTTCATGCTGAGGAGGAATTCTCGGAGAAGTAGGGGTATTGCTGACGGGGCTCGCGGCGTCAATGTGAATCGTGGGTAGCACTGTCAGTTCGCGCAGACGAGGCACATGTTCCCCTCGATCAGCGACGGGGCTTTCGTACGGCGGAGCTTCACCCCAGTCTAGATGATCATAGCTTGGCGGAGGAATGTGATGTGCGCCAACGTCACCTTCCTCTGGTTCCGACAGAGAAGGGCCTGTAGAGTGAGAGGAGCGCGCATGAGAGCGGATACGCGTCAGTCCATCCGTTTCCGAAGTCCCGCTGGCGGCCGACTGGACAGATGAATAGGATTCGCCCCGGGAATGTATGTTCGTCAAGGTTGCGGTCGATGAACGGTCGGGATTCTCGCTGCTCACCGCTGCGGCGTTGGACAAAAGTGGGTGACGGTCAGAATCGGTCGAGCTAACCCGGACACGGGATCCGTCATGTCGGACGTATCCCAGCTCCGCGTAGCTAACACTAGAGATCCTCCTGTCGCGTCCACGGGATTGCTGCTCTGCAAGGGCTGCTGTGGAGCTCAAATTCGGCGTGCTGCCGTTTGCCGACGAGCGACTCTGAGTACGCGCTCGATTCTGTATCCGGAGCTGTTCAAGACGAATAAAGTCACCCCGGTCGCGGGCTTCCCGACGCTCGCGACGTCGCTCCTCCCGCTCCGCCAGCTCCTGCCGTCGTTGTTGGCGAATCTGGTATAACGACTCCATCAATTCCTCTCTGCGTGCCTCCTCTTCTTCCGCGGTCTCCGGGAACTCGACGACGACATCCATGCCCCCTCGTTCTCCTTCGCGCGCAATGACTTGCTCTGTTGGCTTGGGGCTGGAGGAGTAGGGAGGGAGTGTAATGACCGACCGCACCGAGGTATCACGACGGACGGTGACATTGGTATTCATCTCCGATCCTTCTTCTGCAGGCGTGTTCGTCGAGGTTCCACCCTCGTTCCGGTTGATTGCGGTTTCATTAGGAACTTGGCCATACGACGCCCCACCCCATCGATTCCACTTGTCCTTCAAATATTTTCCCGGGATGTATTTAGGGCGACAGTTCATTCGGCGGAGAGTGCGTAAGGCGAAGTAGGATAGTATGATGACGCCGAGGGCAAAGATGATCACAGCGGCACACTAGAAGGCCGACAGTCAGTGACGGAAGCGCAAGTTTGACACGCGACGTATAGAGATACTCACAATGACAAAGGTGTTCGTTTTGTTCCCATTTTTCGGGCCTGTGTCCTTTTGCCCCGTGTCGGACGCATTATTCTGACGGGTATCGAATCTGTGGAGATCTTGGGGGGGAAGATACATGTTGATCGAGCCCGGGGAAGGTCAACTGGGGTAGTCGAGCCGTCTGTCGGGACATGCAGCAGAGAGAAGGAGTGGTATGTATTTGCAAACCCGGTCTGATGTATATACTGTAATAAGGAAGCTGGAGGTTTGCCCAGCGGCTGGAAGATGTCAGCCTGGAGACCTAAGCTGTGCGGAAAAGGCGGATGAAGTGGCCAGGCCGGGGACGGTCTCGGCGACGATCAGAGTGGCATGGGTTGCAGGACGATGACAAAATCTATGCAATGAGTGCACCGCTCATAGGTTGGATATATATGCATGCAGCTGGGGGGAAGAGGAAGAGTAAGGCTCATGGCCACGAGACTGGGAAGATGTACGGAGTAGAGAAAGATCGAAGCGAAAAAGAAGGATGGAAGAGGATGGAGCAGTCCAAGAACAAATCAGGGCAAGACACTAAGAGAGCGCGGGTTCGGGAGTGATTTCATGGTCAACTAATCAGGCGCTGGGGAAGAGTGGAAGCAATTGTGAGCGATGGGTCACCGAGGCTGATCGTCTTTGGATGATGTGGCTGGGCGGGAGGGAAGGCTGGCAGCCTGGAATGTTGGCGGCTGTCTCCGGGTGAGAAGACTTCTAGAAGCCCCTTTTGACTGTTGTTCTTCTGTTATTATAGCCAGGATGTCTAGTCTAGACTCTGTCTCGGGAAGCTTGGATATTACTCTGGAGTAGAGCAAGAGGAAAGTGATTAAACTGATATTTATCTGAATCGGCGGCGTTTATTTTTAGAACACATGATGGCCTTATGCAGCTTAAGTAATCATCCGGCTGTCGCCAGCAGATCAGCGTTAACATTAACATAAATTCTTAGTAGATAAGAGATACGTACCTTATCCATGATACCGTTATCCAGAGTAACTATGGTTCATTGGTCCACTCCTTAAACTTTGATATACTACCTAATATTATTGTTCACTTCGTATTCAATGGCACTATACAACATCTACAGTAGCTAATCTCCAGTCCTACACGAACCATTGTCAATTAAGTTCTTATATTCATAAATATGCCGCTTTTATCCCTCTTTGACAACTCTTCTATACATCTTCTCTGAACCTATCTACCGTAGTGATGGAAGATGAATGCCCTCACCTGCCTCGGACTTAAGCTCCCACGCCGGAGATAGGCCTCTAAGTCCGCAACCCTGAACATTCCCAATGTAGGACCTACATTTCCTTAGCTTAGCACATGCCACTTCCCCTCCCTGTCAATCAGAAAGCTTAGCACCTTCATCTCCTCTTATCTCTATCAGATCCCCTCACTTCAGCCACCACCTCCTCCAGTCATCATGTCGTGTCCCGATTGCTTCAGTGGCCATGTGCATGATGGCACTCCCCAGGGCCAGGTGACTAAGCTCCATGGACTGGATGTCTACGTTGCTGAGCCTGCTGGAGGCCCTGACGCCGTCACCGGTATCATCATCATCATCCCGGACGCTTTTGGATGGGAGTTTGTCAACAATCGTATCTTGGCCGATCATTATGTCGAGAAATCGAAGTATAAGGTCTATCTGCCTGACTTCATGAATGGTATGTCTCCGGCGTCGGTGTTGAACGCAGAAGGTGCTCTCGATATACTCACTATCTTCCACTAGGACGCGCCGCTCCCGCATGGCTTGTCGACACCATGCGTGCAGTCATGAAGACCGATACCATCTACGATTGGCTGACCAAACCGTGAGCCTCCAAGGTCCAGAAAACTGACACACACCTGCTCACTACGTGCCTTAGCTACCATGTGGCATGTGCCGCCGCAGCCTTTGTTCCATTCATCTATTATAATAGTCCTTCCAAATCCTGGCCCGCTGTGCAGTCCTTCTTCGCCGCGGTCCGTCAAAGCGAAGGTGCCCAGCTACCCATCGGAGCCGCTGGTTTCTGCTGGGGCGGCAAGCACACCGTCACTCTCGCGCACGGGGCTGAGATCAACGGTCAGCGCTTGATCAACGCTGGGTTTACCGGTCACCCCAGTATGCTGGACATTCCGAAGGACATCGAGAAGATCTCGATCCCTGTGAGCTTTGCCTTGGGCGAGCATGACAGCGCAATCAAGCCGGCTCAGGTCGCTCAGATCAAGCAAACTCTGAATGAAAAGGAAGAGAATGTGGCTAGTGAAGTGAAGATGTATTACGGTGTTGGTCACGGCTTCTGCGTGAGAGCGGATACCAAACTGGTGGACGCAGACACCCAAGCAACTGAGGCAGAGAATCAGGCCCTGGCTTGGTTCAATCGTCATTTCGCGGACTTTTCATCCTGAGGAATGTTTTGTTATGGAAATGGATGTATTCATGTCATGATTTGTGTTCTCCGGCGATTTAGTCGCTCGGTGTATTTTCTTCCTCTTCAGCTAATGTCTTCAATCTCCCCCCCGTCTGTTTGCAGAGCAAACTGTACGAGCCTGTTTCTTTGACGCAGCCCTGTTCTAAAACAACCACATTGTCTGCAATTTGCATCATCTCCCGTGCATGAGTAATAATAATGACTGTCAGCCCCAGTTGTGACGCAACGAGTCGCTGCACCGTACCCCGAATGACGTCTGCACTGGCCGGGTCAAGGGCAGATGTAGCCTCATCCAAGATTAAGATCTGTGGTCGTCGAACCAAAGCCCGGGCAATCACCACCCGCTGTGCCTGGCCGCCCGACAAACCAACACCCCCATCCCCGATGACGGTACGATACCCCTGTGGAAGCGATGAAATGAATTCATCGATACCGGCGGACTGGGCCGCGGCGCGCACATTGTACGATGAGCTCAGTGGGGACCTTTCGTCTAGGCCGTAACATATATTGTTGTGGATGGTACCGGGGAATATCGTAGGCTGTTGTGACACGATGGCTATGAGCGAACGAATTGTAGGGATGTGTAGTTGTCGAATATCGATTCCGCCGAGCAATATACTCGGCCCCCTACCTGTCGAAGGAGGGGTTTCGTAGAGACCAAGTAACAGCGAGGCTAAGGTGGATTTTCCTGAGCCTGACCGTCCCACGATAGCTGTACACGATCCTTCTGGGATATCGATTGATATATTCTTCAGCACGGACGCACCAGGACGCGATGGATAGTGGAATTCTAAATCAGTGATCTTCACCGGAGCGACTTTTGAGATGCCCACAGTGCCGATGTGTCCATGGGAAGATCTCTCCGGGAGATTGGCCAGTCGTAGGAGTCGGGATCCCATATCTCGCGATGTGCTGATTTGAGGGACTACTGGTGTTAGTATATGTATCTGGGAAATGTAGATCGGGCACTCACTCCAGGAAAGAACTATGCTGGCGTATCCGATGCTGAACAGGAGCATTGAAAACACCGTTGTTATGTCCTGCACCTTGTACTCCTCTGAAGACACTAGGATGGTGCCATAGTAGAATATCAGCGCTGCATGGCTGTTAGTGAAATGGAACACGATGGATCTGTGTACATTAACATACCACTGATGAACATGACCATAGACTCGACGAGTCCGAAAAGGAACCCTGTATAGAATGCCTTTCTCAATCCCGCAGCTGTACACGCAGCCGCAGCCTTCAAATACTTCTTATGAAAGAACGGTTCCAGTGTCAAGGTCCTGATCGTACGGATTTCCGCGAAAGTCTCAATGAATATCTCACCCGCAACGGCCCCAGCCTCATTGCACCGTCTCTCCCACAGCCCAGTCGTCCCCTCAAAGCCTCTCGTTATCGCGTAGATGACAGGACCACAGGCCAAGGCAATGAGCGTGAGTTTCCAGCAAACAGCCAGACTCCATATAAGAGCCAGGACGCTGATTGCGACTGCCAGCAGGACAAACCCTCCAAATCGACCGACAATATTTCGCATTTCCTCCGCGTCCTGGCCTAGACAGGCGGTTATCTGGGACGGGGCATTCTCTTCTTCCTCGAACCACTTCTTGGGCTGGTCGAGGACACGACGGAAGGCCTGCTTTCGGAGGAAATCCACCCATGCCTGGCCGACTAGCTCGAGGTAGTAGTGCATGAAGTAGGAGACGATTCCGTCTCCTATCGAGACTGCGAGGACTACCAAGGCCCATTTCATGGCGTTGGAATGCGTGTCGTAGAAGGTTTGGAGCAGCTGCGATAGACAGTAGGAAAATACTGGAGTCGCGCATGCGTGGGCTAACGTGCATATGCAGCCGAATAGAAGGCAGATGCGTTGTTTGAGATTCAGGCTCGGTAAGATTGTTAGCATGATCTGGCCTAGGGAGGTTGAGTGGCGTTCTTTTGGGTGATTGGGTAGGTCATCTAATTGTATGCCAGGTGGGAAGATCCCCGGGCCTTCGTCGTGCTTCTTGTTTTGCCTTGAGCGTCCAGACTCCGGGGCCAGCCTGGAAGGGCCTACGCGGACGTGGTTCGCTCTATAATTGTCTGCCTGAGTGCTCGGCGCGTTTGACAAGGTCTTTTTCCCAACAGCACCATCATCAAGGCTCTCAGTCGAGCTTGTGGAAGAGGCGTCAGAAGATATCCAACCATCCTTTTCAGCGACATCCAGCTTCGAGTGACCACCACCGCTGGCACTTTTTGATGTAGTATGTTTTTCATGAGAAAAGTACTTCTCTGTTCCTGGTCTTGTCTTCACCTCGTGCCAATACCCAGCATGGAAAACAGAGCCTTGTTCCATGATGTAAACAAAGTCGTGCTCCAGAATCTGCGACATGTCATGGGTGATGATGATCGTGGTCTTCCCTTTGCGCCACTCGCGGATAGCCTTCATAACCTTGACACGATTCGCACTATCCAGCGCACTCGTGGGTTCATCCAAGATCAGAATCGGGGTGTCCCTCAATCTTGCCCGCGCGATCGCGACCCTCTGCTTTTGTCCGCCACTCAGAAAGTTACCACCGTGACCAACACAGGTGTTGATTCCATTCGGCATGTTGTCAATGATACTATGTAGCATGGCCAGTTCGACGCAGTCATTGACATCTTCATTCCGGATTTGCTTGTAGTCCCACCGGCCAAAGGCGATGTTCACGAGAATGGATTCATTGAATAGGACGCTGCGCTGTTCAACCACGGTGATGTTGTTTCTGATCCAGTTTATATTGAGCGTCTGGATGGGATTGCCGTCTATCAGGATCTGGCCTGATGTGGGCAGGTAGAAGCGTGCGAGAAGCTGTCCGAGGGTGCTCTTCCCAGATCCGCTTCTTCCAATAACAAAGGTTGTCTCTCCGGCTGGGAAGAAGAAGTTCACGTTGTCGAGACGCAGTTTGTCCGGTTGAGATGCATAAGCGAAGGATAGCTGGACGTGAAAGGATCAGCATGTGGAAAACTATCCATTCTATCCCTGAGCTTACTTACGTTGCTCACTTCAATATCCCCTTCGCAATAACGCGGGTATGCCACACCCTTCATCTCACCCGTGGCTTTATTCTCCGGGTCCAAGGTTAAGATATTCGACAACGAAGAAGCTGCAAGCTTCCCCTTTTCCAACAAAATGACCTGCGGCAACACCAGTTCAATCGACTGAGCGGCGGACAGACATGCCCAGAAGGTTCTCAGAACCTCGCCCGAGGACAATTGGCGGGACCTCGCCAACGCACTACCATACCAGAACCCTTGGACAAACATCCCAAACATCATCAGTCGCACGACTGAGATTTGGAACGCGTTGAGACGGGCATGGCGAAGATACTGGGATGCCGCCCTCTCGGTTTTACTAGCAAAGTTTTGGGCCTCAATCGCCTGTCCGTTGAGACACTTTACCGCATCGATCGCGGACGTAGTGCTATTGACGACTTTGGATGCCTTTGACAGTTCGTCTTGTTGTGCTTCAACGCTCGGTTTCATCTTGGTGGACAGAAAAGAAACAATACCGGAGTAGATGGGAATGCCTGCCAACGTAACGAGCGACAAGTTCCAGGAGGTGTAGAAGGCCAGGCCGAGGGATGTGATTGTGCGAAAAGAGTAATGCAGCACTAGACCTAAAGGCTGTGACGTTGCCATTTGCAATTCATGAAGATGGCTGTCGCCGCCAGGGCTTAGACAAAGGCAGAGTTATTGCGAATGGAGACTTACGCTTGAACACCCGACAGGAAGGCCCTGGACCCATCTTGTAAGCTCTCGAACCACTCTTGGTCCTTTATTAACAACCCATCAAATAGTCTGCAGCGCGCATTTGCGACCTGAAGCTCCCCAAAGATCACGAAGGTGATGAAGTAAAGCCCGTTGAAGAGCCAGCCTCCGGCTCCTACACCAGACAGCGCGACGCAAAACTTGGCCGTAGTCTGGGTTAATTCTTCGAAAGATAGGCCTCCTCCCCCGAAAAGTGTGAACGCGTTAAAGATATCACCGAGTACATAGGCGAAAGCAGGAGTGGCGAGGCTTGCTATGAACGCGAAGAGAATCGCTAAAGTCAACGTTGAGATATGTTTTTTCGTTGTAAAACTGAATAGTGTTATCCAACTGGGCCTCCAACGCATTAAGCGATTAATCCCATTAGAGAGGCCCATTTTTGGGATGTTTCTGGGGGTGATGTTGTGGTAGACTCATGGATGTTGACTCGAGACATGTTGACGTGGGACGGGCTGAGGGTATATCCATCTGTTGTTGTCAACTTGTGACTACTGCAAGTGATCGAGAGCGAAACACATAAAGAACAAGGAGTTGTAGGTTGATTGAAAATCATCACCATCGATGCCCAGTGAATAAGGACGTAGGTAGAAGAGTCTAAATGCGGTAATATTGAAAGATCGCGGGGATGCCATTGTTCTTCGGCCACACCCCGCCATCCTGTTGTGACCATGCACTCAATGCATTCCATTAACTTCCCAAACAGTACGTACATGTCCATCTCCAGCTCCGCAGGCCTTAAAATAGAACCAAGTACGTCGGAAGAATCAAACACCCTGCTACCAGTGACCCGGACAATGTCAACACTGCCCGGGTTACACTCATCAGGTAACATAGCAAGACCGCTGCTCAATATCCATCCTGGCTGACGTATTCCACCAAGGTATCGATTGGTCTCGGCACTAGCGCTGTCGGCGCTCCGGGTATCATCTCTCCCATAACATCTCAAATTGATATGATTTGAAGTGAGGACGGTCTATATCTATTTCTGCTGAGCCCTTTCGTAGATCCAGTCGTTCAGTCCGGCGCGGTTTCTGTGAATGTCAGAGTATGTCCTTCTTTAGCGGACACATAACCTACCTAGCGATCTCGATAGCGTAGAACTGCATGCGCATAGCTGTTGCGTTTGTTAGCCACCCGCCACTGACGCAGAATTCAAATCAACGGAATCACCCACCAAAAATCGTAGTGTCTCTGTCATATTCGACATTGGGGCTCGATCGGAGCATCGTTCCAAAGTTGAAGTCGTTGATCTTGCCCTCATACTGGTTGATCCAGTTGCGCCACTTCTCCTTGCCCTCCTTGCTCTTCATCTTGTCTTCATCGATAGTCGCGGCGGGGTCGAAGTCAGGGAACTCCTTCTTGAAGTGCTCGTGAATCTCGTCGTCAATCTTGGTCAGTCGAAGTTTGGAGCCGGGGACCTTTTTCAGGATCTCCCAGTATGTCTCCAAGTGCTGGACGGCTAGATGGGTTAGAGTAAGCGGGATGGAAGCAAATGTATAATTCGCATACCCTTGACAGCGAACTGCTTCTCCATCTAGGACAGAGTTAGTATTAGGAGAAACCGGCGCATTCTCAGAAAGAGCACTCACATCCTCCAAGTTCTCCGCGGTCTCGGGGTCGAAAGGCTTCGACATATTGGCGGTTTTGCAAGGGTAGATGTTTAATAATTCAGAGTAAAATAGATGGGTAATTGGTATGAATAGTGTAGATTCAACAAGCTGCGGGGTATGGAGAGTATATAAGTTTGTTGATGAGAGTTGATAATGGTAGAATTGCCCCGCGATGACTTTTTTTTCTGCCGGGCGGGAACCTGCCGCCGACGACTAGACGCTTCCACCAGGCCCCACCGCTTTCCAATCCGTACGTCATCCAGTTCGCCAGTTGGCGCTCGCCCACGGACTGGTCAACAATGCCCCGCTCGGGCTGCGTTCGGCCGTCCCCGCATAACATCACAATTCATCTCCTCGTCTCATCTTTGCCCCGATCATCTCAAAGCCTTTTAATATAATTCATACGTCTTCTCATCATGGATCGCTCTAAGAAACCCTCCGCCATTGGCGTGGGAGCCTCCCTTCCCCAACCGACCATTTCCTTTCGCGATAACACTGTCGAAGCTACCCTTCCCAGCGGCGAGTCCGTCACCGTGCATCTCTACGGCGCCACAGTCACCTCCTGGAAGCTCGCAAATGGCAAAGAACAGTTGTTCCTGAGTCAGAAAGCGCACCTGGATGGCTCTAAGCCCATCCGTGGCGGGATTCCCGTGGTGTTCCCGGTACGTCCGCTGCCGCCGAGACCTCAAGCATCAAGCTGACGGAGTTCGTTCGGACATGTAGGTCTTCGGCCCTCCGCCGCAGAACCATGCGACATCTGCGCTTCCGCAGCACGGGTTCGCCCGGAACTCGACTTGGGAGTTCCTAGGAAAGTCATCGTCGGAATCGCTAGGTCGGGACCGGAAGGATGGTGACGATACCGTCAAGCTGGATTTCGGATTGTCGCACCCCATGCTCAGTGCCGAGTTCCAAAAGGCGTGGCCGTATGAATTTGGTCTGGTGTACAGTGTGACCTTGACGAAGGACAGCCTGGAGACGTCGCTGCAGGTGCAGAACAAGGGCAGTCAGAACTTTGACTTTCAGGTTCTGATGCATACGTATCTGAACATCGAAGTATGTCATATCACGAGTCGCATTGTTACAGCGAATTATTGGACAAGCATTGCACAGCATTACTGACACCAAATAGGACATCTCCCAGATCCGTGTGAAGAACCTCGAATCGACTACCTACGTCGACAAGACTCAGAATGCCTCCGTCCACACGGAGCAGTCCCCCGCGCTGGAGATCAACAAGGAAACCGATCGTGTATACAAATCGCTGGATCCCAAGGTTCCCATCATCGTGTCTTCAACGGTCGACGATCAGCCACTGTTTTCCGTTGCGCGCCAGGGCCTGAACGATGTCGTCGTGTGGAACCCTTGGATTGAAAAGGCCAAGGGAATGGCTGATTTCGGCCCCGACGAGGCGTACAAGAACATGATTTGTATCGAGGCGGGCTCGGTGGCCAGCTGGCAGACGCTAGAGGCGGGTGACTCCTGGGAGGGCTCGCAGATCATCCGCGCGAGGCTGTAGAGCTCTTCCTTTTCTAGTCTGTAGTGGATGGGAGAAGAGAGGGTTATACTTGTGGTTGCCCACCGTTGAATATCTTTGCTGAAACTTACGTGAGACGAAAATAGACGTTATGACAATTTCTGCGAAGAAATATACGTAGCGTACTCATCTCTCTAGTCGTACCAGACATCCTTTCATCCTACAGTGAAGTACTACAGCACGCTCCGCGCCCCAAAACCAGTCCCAGTGCTCTCGGTGATACCCCCATCGATGACCAAAGCATGAGACGTCACATATCGACTAGCTCCGCTCGACAACCAGACAACACCGTTGGCCACATCATCGCTAGATCCCATACACCCCATGGGACAATTATGATCGAGAATCCTCCGCGCCGTCTCCCGCTCCTCCTCGCTGTCACTGCGCGCAAAGTTGTCCACGAGAGGAGTATACATCAAACCAGGCACGACGCAGTTACACCGGATATTGTCGCGTCCATACATAACGCCCAGCGCCTTGGTGAACCGAATGACAGCCGCCTTGGCTGACGCATACGCGATCTGGTGCTTGCCTAAATACCGCAGACCCGCGATAGAGGCATTGTTGACGATATTCCCGCCGCCCTGTTTCTGCATGATGGGCAGAACATGGTGGCACAGCCGGTACACGGAGGTCAGGTTGACGTCGATCTGGCGACTCCAGAGGTCCTCGGACATGCTGACCGGGTTTCCGGCGGCCGTCTGGCCGACATTGTTGATGAGGATATCGATGCGGCCGTGGCGCTGCATTGCGGCGGCGACGAGCGCTGCGACGTCGGATGAGCTGGTCACGTCAGCTGCCATCACGTCGATCACTGCATTTGCGTTTTCGTTCAAGAGTCGCTCTTTGGTGCGTGCGGCGGCGTGCAGGTGCAGGTCGCAGCCGAAGATCTTGACGCTGTTGCGCGCGAGGAGGCGCGCTGTTGCGGCGCCGTTGCCCCAGAACTCGCCGTCTTGTCGTCCGACTTGGCCGATGCCTGTGATGAGGGCGACCTTTCCTGCTAGGTCGGGGTATGTTGGGAATACCTTAGGCGTGGGGGGTGCTGTTTTCGACATGGTGGAGAGTTCGGCTTTATAGATGGGTTGAGCTTGGTGTAAGAAGCAACAAGAGATGTTTGTAGTAGATACTGGAATGAATTGATTTGAGGGCTGGACTAGGTACCGGTTAGTGAACCCCTCGTCCTATATTTATGGAAGAAGAGCAGCGGGGAATTGTTAGACTAACGTTCTCCGCACGGAGAACAGAGCGAAGGCCAACATTCTTCCTGTTAATATGCAGACCTGATCGGTTGAATGCCGGACTCACGGCGGAAGGCCGAGATCACGGTGGGTGGATAGTATGGCGTAACATGCTCAAACTATTTCGATATTGTCTATTGCAAGGGTCGCCCGCAAGAAGGATGCATGTAGGACTCGGATCACCACATATTGCATTGCCCTACAAGATAAGGACTATGTACAGCAATTTCCGACACAGAATATTCATGAAGGCCGTTAAGGATACCTAGGAACCAGGATTCTCACTACAATCCCTGCACCCTTCCGGCTCAAAACCACAGCCCGCCTTTTCAGTATCAGAAGCTGCAAGCTGCTGCGCCGCTTCGATGTTATACTGCGGGCCCCGATAGTCCCGTCTCCCTCGGAAAACCCACCACAGCGCCGTCAAGGCCATCAAACCAGCGGTGATCACGCTGGTATAGTTCATATTGTGGGCCGTCACGGGCAGAACAAGTGGGAAGCAGAAGAACACAACCGTGACCAGGATGTACGCCACGGTGGCAATATTAACCGCAAACCCCACACGCCTGCCTAGATAGAACGGACCAGGCACGATATTCTTCCGTCTGGTCAGCAGATGCGGTACTATGGCGCCTAAATAGGATAGCGTGCTGAGCACGATGTACGACGAGACTAGGGCTTGGAACGCGGTGGTGCTGCCAATGTATATACACCCGAGACCGCTGACCATCGCTCCCATAGCGACAGTCGCGCGCAGGGGCACGTTGTGTGTTGGATGCACATTGGCGAAAAATGAGGAGAAGGGCGTCGCGTTGTCGCGGGCCAGACTCCACCACATGCGGCCGCCGGTGACGAAGGTCCCGATTAGGGTAGGGAAGGTGGATAGAAATAAGACTGCCACGAGCCCGACAGCGCCTGTGTTAGAGCCTGTCGCTTGTCGGTAAATCTCGGCCGTGGGGAAGAAGCCGATGTTGCTGTGGAATACGGCGTCTAGGTCTTGGATGGAGTAGAATAAGGCGACGAGGTACACGAATGCGGTGGTGAACCCTGTGAGCAATTGAAGCATGATGCCTTGCGGGACCCTCAATTCGGGCCTTGGTACTGAATATCATCGTCAGACAAGTCTTTTGGAAATGTATAGGGCGGCCTCGTACCTTCTTCGGAGACATGGCTGATGCAATCGGGCACTCCTACTGCAAATGCAGCGTTCAAGAGGCCCGTCAAGAAACAGACCCCATCGGGCCAGCCGCCGGTCCTGTTGCTATATGTGCTCCAGACACTTGCATTTGTTGCGTGCTTTTTCGGCATAATAGCGAGGACCGCAATGGTCACGATTAACCCTCCCATGGAGAGGATGAGTGCGACGCGGTTGATCAAAGGAATGAAACGGTTGCCAAAGCAAACGATCGCACAGCAAGTCCAGATGAGCAACTGGAGCGCAACAAAAACCTGCCAGGGGTGCCATTTTGTGTCGGGGTTTCGCAAAATGTACATCGCAACGACTTCATTGCCTAGCATGGAGCCGACGGAGCATCCGGAGAGGAGCCAGGCACAGGCGTTGAGATAGCCGGTGAAGAACCCGACCACCCGCCCATGTTTCCTGCTCAGTACAGATGCCCAGTGATACACCCCGCCGGCCGATGGGATGGAGGAGGCGAGCTCCGAGAGCGATGCGGAGATCAGAGTATAGAACACACTAACGAGGATGAGTCCATACAGGACGGCCATGGGACCGCCATTCTCCAGAGCCGTGACAATCGTGCCGCCGGTAGAAGCCCACGAACTGTTTCTGTGTGAGTTGATGCTGCAAGCCAAAGGGTGTATGTACTTACTTTGCGATGACAATGCCCAAACTGGTCAAGCTGACTAGATCAAAATTCCGAACAAGTTCTTGCTTGTGGCCTAACGCGGCCTCCAAACGAGCTGCATCCATTGCGTCTATCCAGCTTGATCTGGTTCAATAGGACAATTACTGGAGATATACTTGGACGATTTGCTGGTGTTCCATGGACCAAGAGCAGATTGATTCTAGAAATGACCGAACTGAATGCATATCGGATTCCACACATGGAATTTTTCGTCTCGTTTACGGTGGTGAAGGCCGATGCAAGGGAGGCGGCGGCCATATGGTCGCCACGTGCAGTTCCAACCGGCCGGAAACCCGCGGGTTAGTGCTAGAATCCCCAAAGAAGCATCGTTGCGAGTCAGAGGAAGGGCACTATTCGCATGGTTGTCTGAAACCGGGACAAGCATCCCATACCCACGCCGTCGACACAGCCCCGATGCTGGAGCCGAGGCCATCTGTCGCTGGGCGGGGTCTGCCCTACCCAAGCAAGGGCTAAACAAGGAGAGCAGAGTTGGGCAACTCTCGCCACTGGATTGTGAGCTAGAGTGGCTTGTCTGGTTCTACGGCTGAGGTCTGTGCTAGTTGTGCTTGACTCCCCATAGACTGACTGTCCCGGCCGGCTACTACAATGTGAAGGCGTCCGGGATTTGGATCGGTATGTGTAGGCCTCATGTCGATGCGCTTACAACTTCTAGAGGTTGCATTTTTAGTGTTTGGGATGCTAAACGCACCTTTAGGAATGTGCTGGTGGTTGGGGCCCCGCATGTTCAGGCATACAAAGAATGTTCTTTGTATTACTGATCGTGGGGAGTGGTCAAGGCAATATTACTGGCTTTATGAGGTGGCCTAGCTTCCTTTCATAAGTTCATGGTGTAGGAAGAAGCCCGTTGGTGATAGTGTCATAGAAACACGGTAGTGACATCCTGGATATGTTAGGACAGCGCTGGCAAGGGATCTAGCAGAAAGTTCTCTAGACGGATACCTGCACAAGCCGAATCAATCGCGATCAGCGACAAGTATATACCTCCTCGAATACTCAGTACGGAGCTCAAAGGCCACTCTTTGACTTCCACCAAGTGCTGACCGCCATTTAGGGTTGGGAGGGAAACCCAACGTGGCGCATCAACAAACAAGCCGACAAGCAGCCGATCACCAGAACGATCACCAGATTGCTCGTGCTTAGACGAACTAGCGGAAGATCCTGCTGTGGAGATCGGCAAGTCACTACTGTCGGCCAGTCCAGACTCGACGCCATCCAACTTCCCTCGAACAGCAGCCGGCGTTTGCTCAACCTCCACCCTGCACGACGTGCACGCTTATAAACATAAAGAACTCGGCCATTACTGCGGGGATCATCCTCTTCCACTGAGATCGACATGGACGGTGTCACCGCAAGGACCATTCGGACATGAGGGTTTAATTTGAGACATCAAGGTTCAAGGAAAAGAGCTCGCACGATCGTCACTTGACCCAACCGCTGAGCCGAGATCGTGACACAGACTTCACGCTCGCTTGGAGGCCGGCCATTCATTCATGCACGATAAGGACTCGCTCAGTAGCCCTGGCTGCCTTCGGGTTGGAATCCTAACTGGCATTTCGCGCAATCTCCTTCGCAGAGCCCCTTGATTCGCGGTTGACGTCGCGCTTTACGTGGCGACCTGGGTCTACAGTCCCAAGTCACACAGCCTTTGATATTCACCAGCAGACGCTCTCACAAGAAGGCCATGGTTGACTGCGGTGCTATCTACCTCTTGCTATTAGGGCGGTATCTACACTCTTCGCGGTTGCGGTATACCGTGATTGGATGTGATTCCTGGCAATGAACCCACTTATTGAGACCGTGATGGCTGTGATCTCCCTTGCTCTGAGCCATTCCGGTTACACCATCCCCTTGCGTCGTGCCCGGCGCGGTGAGATTGCGATGGCACACTCCCTCCGCGCAAGTCCCCTTAGGTTTCTCGCTTAGCTGTAGAATGCTCATAAGCAACCCTCGTGCATGCACGGCCTGAAGCTATCATGCTGCGGTCTATCGTGCCGGTGCGAATAACCTCCAGGTTTCACCCAGCTATCAAGCTGACATCATCCGCATTGGCTTGGATCATGTTTCTTCCCTTGGCTGATATCCTACATTTATGGGGAACTAGGATCCTGAGGGCTGTCCTGCGGTTGAGCCTTCCCTCGACTGACCCAGAGCGATTTCAACAACATGGGTAACACGTCGCCCACCCCTCGCCAGCTTCTGGTGGAAGCAGTGGTGTTCTGGAGTATAGCTGTCGTTCTCGTTGCCGGTAGAATGTATGCACCCTCGAGGGGACTCGTTTTGCGCGCACAGGACAAGGCTGACTGATTGGACCAGCATATCTCGAACGATCGCCAATGGATCGATCAAGCGGCTAGGTTGTATGCCACCCTCGCCCTCGACTGGACACGATATATGCACTAACTCGGTGTTGCAAAGTCGATGACTATGTTATGAGCGCGACCTTTGTGAGTATTTTCGCCGTCTCTGTCAAGCCGGACACGTCTCATACTCGTCCTCTTTAGTTGATCTATACCTCATTGTTAATCCTCATCCAAATCTCCGCGCGCTATGCGACCAACCTCATGGATCCGGCGGACTACCCGCAAGTGCTGGCCGACCCCAAGCAAGTCCAGGATCGCATTTTCGGCAGCAAAATCGTCATCGGCCTCGAACAATGCATGCTCTTTTCAACCTGGGGCGTCAAGATTTGCATGCTGAGCTTGTTCTGGCGCCTGACCAAGAATCTCCGCTTACATCTATACGTCAAGTGCATTGCCGTTTACGCCGCGGTCGGCTTCGTCGTCATTATGGTCACCTACTATGCCGTATACTGTCGGCCATTCTCGCAGTATTGGGCCATGCCCGTGCAGAACATGCAGTGCGCGACCTACCAGCACTACTCCATCACGCAAGCGGTGTTCAACATCTCGTCGGACGTGGCGATGCTCGCCGTGCCCATTCCCCTGATGATCAAGTCGCAGCTGCGGACGAGGAAAAAGGTCCTTCTCATCTGCATCATGAGCCTGGGCGTGTTCACGATCGTCGCTGCCATCCTCAACAAAGTCTTCAACTTTGCCTCGCCGCTGACGACAACATACCAGATCTGGTACATCCGCGAAGCTAGCACGGCCATCTACGTGGCCAACCTGATATGCCTGTGGCCGCTGCTGCGGAAGGTCTTTGGCCTCAAGGCGTTCCAGCACAATAGTGCCCGATACCGCGAGAAGAGCCCGAACGCGAACAAGGAATGCTCGGGGGCGTCCGACTCGGGAGGCACCACGGAGAATAGCTCACAATCACGCTCGTCCTTCTCGCTGCATCGTGCGCTGTTGGCTCGAAAGGTGCTGAGGGGGTTCGATCCCATGCGAAAGTCCGATCAGCCTGCAGACAATCCGGGGGTGCTTGACGAGGTGGCCAAGGGTGACAACGGAGCTAAGGAGACACCCCCGGATGCCTGGGACCAGGTGACTCCTGTCAGTCAGAGCAAGCAGCATTCGTTGATTGACATCGAGGCCGGAACATTCAGACAGTCCGATCAAGCGTTTAGTCCTGAGATTGGCCGAGAACCTCGATTTCAGAAATGAGACCACCCTGCTTGGAGGCGCGAGTACAAGAGGAAAATGCAATCACCTGGCGGGAACTGTTTGTCTGATCTCACGGGCCTCTGGGGATAATGGCATTTCTCAGCAAAACGGCGCCCGGGGGAGCGGGTAGAATGGCCGTGAAACTAATCGGCGCTCGCCTCGTCTCACTCGAGGAGTCCCGATTGCGGGAAAAGGTCTTCTTGCACAGAGGACAACAGGCCTGCCGCTTGGTGAGCCATGGATCCACGCAGGACGAATGGAAGATGTGTCCGCAGGTCAGGGGTCGGATCATGTCGCCCTCCTCAAAACCGTCCATGCAAATAGCGCACAAAAAATGCGAGTCTTCTGGGTCAGGGGAGACGGCCTCACTGCCGTCTTCGTGGGCATCTGGATGCTCCGAAGCTGTTCCAGACTGATCATGCCCTTCTGCCTCTGGAGGGCTAGTTGGATGATCTCCGGGTGTGTTATCCCCGCGATGCGCGATCGCATCGTCGTCTTTGGAACAGTCCGACACGGTCGAGTCGCGTTTACCAATCTCTTTCAGGTCAGCATCGTGTTGGTGGCGACCCATCCACCAGGCGCTATAGTTTACGAGCGGGAACTGCTTCTCGACTTCACTCCGGGAGATGACTCCGACGAACCCCCTCGACGCTACCAGACTCTCAGGGTCCAGAGGGTTGTCGCTCTGGTTCTGACGGATATAGCGATGTCTGGCGCCCACGATCGCCCTGTCAGTGGATCAAATGGGTTAGATATAACTCCAGCGGAGTTGCGGGATGCCAACCTACCAGATGAAAATGAAGAAGATGGCGACACATAGAGGTGCTAGGTAACCGAGAGGCGCCGCAGGGTTAGACTTGTCCTCCGACCGGGCATACATTACCGACATGGAGCTGTCATCGGCAGGATAATATATGCTGCTTCTGTTGTTGTTGCTGGTGCTGGTGCTGCAGTATATAGACGATAGCTTCAACTACATCAACATAACACCAGCATAGTTGAATAGATCGGGAAATGACAAACTACCCCAGTTTCCAGGCAGATCAACAGACCCACCGTGGAGCTTTACAAGAGCTGGATCCAGCAGCCTGGGATTATTCTTTGACGAGGGAGTAGAGGTCCAGAGTGACATAGATGACTGTCAGACGGCCAAGCGACGACCCCGCATACACAAGCCGAGAACCATGGACTGCGCGCTCGTGACCAGCTTAGCGAGAACGGTCCAGTGGCGTTAGTCATGGTGACTAGCAAACAGACGTTATCGAGTCTACTATCATATTATTGTATTATCATCATGGGTTATCTGGGTGGGTATCAGCATATCAGGCTTCCGGAGCCCCGGACCCAGCGCGACCCAGCCGGCCAAGACGCCCAAGAAACCATGAAAAGGGGGTCAGAAGGGAACATACCAGCGCTGCTGGCCTAGGTTGAGGCGTTCTCTGCGTGGTGTGATGGTCTGACGCTAGACTCTTTCCCTCGTATACGCCCGACGATACCCATCACCAACCGCTCTCAAAGGAATCACGTTGAGGATGACCAGTCTATCTCGACAGCCTCGTCTCCTGTTGCACAATGATCTCTCCAGACGCTCGGCGGAGCACTGCCGCATCGGGCAATGGCCCAGAATCGCCAAGAGTCCCGCGCCGGCGGCCAAGAGCCCTAGACGACGGCTTTCATCTGCGCAAGATGCTGGGCACCACTGCCATGGTACCATCCCCGGACTCGCGTGGCGCAGTGCTCTCGTCCATCGCCAATCCACACCCTGAGTGGCTCTATTGCCAGCGCGCGACCAAGGATTTCCACTGTAACCTCAGCTTCCGTGCACTCGACCGTTCGGCCATGTGAATGGCTCCCTTGGCTTCGCCCCCGTCCAACACACGGCAGAGGGAGGGAATATGCCCGACAGACCGGCGAGGACGTTGGGACGGCCAAGACCGTTATCTTACTGGACTGCCTCAGAATTCCTCAAATATCAACGGACTCCGGCTGGTGCTGGTGCTGGATGCATTAAGAGCCTTAGCATTCATTGCCGATCCCATCGACTTCTATTGTCATCTCTCTCTTTTCTACCATAATCCAACCATCCCCAGGTCTGTGTCCTCAAGATGGAGACGAAACCGGATCTGGAAGCGAAAGCTGTTGATATAGGCGGCAATGGCAGTGATACTTCGCCGCCTCCCTATGTCACGGACAACACCGTCGGGGCAATCGAACAGCACGAGGAGCTCGACTTCTGGACGCGCAACGGATTGAGCCTCGACTCGTTCAAGCGTCGCTCTGGGGGTGTGGTGCTGAATCGTGATATGAAAACTCGTCATATGCACATGATTGCCATCGGCGGATCTATCGGTGCTGGATTCTTCGTGGGATCAGGAAATGCCCTGAGTACCGGTGTATGTGTTTCCCGTCCACACTCATTGCGTTGGTCGTCATGTCTAACGGTCTAATCGTGTAGGGACCCGGAACACTGTTCCTCGACTTTCTGATCATCGGTGTGATGATGTTCAACGTCGGTCAGTTTGATCCCCTGCTGCTGTGAGGAATCTACTAACCAGGCTTCCTGTAGTGTATGCACTCGGAGAATTGGCGGTGATGTATCCGGTTTCCGGCGGTTTCTACACGTATTCAACCCGGTTTATCGATCCCTCCTGGGGCTTTGCCATGGGCTGGAACTACGTCTTCCAATGGGCGATTGTGGTACCGCTAGAATTAACCGTCGCCGGAATGACTATAGAATATTGGCAGGTGGACGTCAGCGTGGGCGTGTGGATCACCGTCTTCCTCGTGCTGATCATCTTCGTGAACATCTTCGGCTCGCTGGGTTACGCGGAAGAAGAGTTCTGGTCGTCGTGCCTGAAACTCGGCGCCATCATCGTCTTCATGATCATCGCCCTCGTCCTGGTCTGCGGCGGCGGCCCGTCCAGCGGCAAGTACGGCGAGTACTGGGGTGCCCGTACCTGGTATAACCCCGGTGCCTTTCGCCACGGCTTCCGGGGCTTCTGCTCGGTGTTTGTCACGGCCGCCTTCTCCTTCAGCGGAACCGAGCTGGTCGGTCTGGCCGCGGCCGAGTCCAAGAACCCGGCCAAATCGCTTCCCGGAGCCGTCAAGCAGGTCTTCTGGCGTATCACCCTGTAGGCCTTCCTCTCCGTCTCTCTCTGTGCCAGCATACTGACCTGCACAGATTCTATATCGTGGGTCTGACCTTTGTCGGCCTCCTTGTCCGCTCCGACGACAACCGCCTGCTCGGCTCCGGCGGCCTCATCGACGTGAAAGCCTCGCCCTTCGTGCTGATCGCCCTGGACGCCGGTCTGAAAGGCTACGACAGCTTCATGAACGTCATCATCCTGGTGTCTGTGCTGTCGATTGGCGTGTCGGGCGTGTACGGCGCCTCGCGCACGCTCACAGCCCTCGCCGAGCAGGGCTACGCACCCAAGTTCTTCACCTACGTCGACCGCTCCGGCCGGCCGCTCATGTCCGTCATCCTGATCATCGTCTTCGGCCTGCTCGCCTACGTCAACCTCGACGCCAGCGGCGACATCGTCTTCGCCTGGCTGCAGGCCCTGTCCGGCCTGGCCGCCCTCTTCACCTGGGGCTCCATCTGTCTCGCGCACATCCGCTTCCGCCACGCCTGGACCTACCACGGCCACTCGCTCGACGAGATCCCCTTCAAGGCGGTCGGCGGCGTGTACGGGTCGTGGTTGGGCTTGATTCTGGTCGTGCTGGTGTTGATCGCGCAGGTTTGTGCCCGTCTTTGATTTTTCTCGGTGCTTGCAGGCGGTAGCTAATATGAATGCAGTTCTTTGTCGCCATCGCGCCGCCCAAGGGCGGCCTCAACGACGCTGAGGGCTTCTTCCAGACGTACCTCGCGCTCCCGGTTGTCCTGTTCTTCTGGCTCTGTGGGTTCCTGTGGAAGCGCGCGGGCTGGCTACGCACGCATCAGATCGACGTCGACTCGGGTCGTCGCGAGGTCGACTGGGATACTATCCGCGCCGAGCGCGAGCGGGTCGCGGCCATGCCGGCCTGGCGACGCATGCTCAACTTGGTCTTTTAGTTTAATAGGGCTGAGAGAAGGATCTCGGTCAGGGCGTTGGCGTCGGCTGCCCGGTTGATGATCGGGTTGTTGGTTGTAGTTAGGGAATATGTGTGCTTGATTGTAGACGCTTTCTTTTTCCACTAGTGCTCCGCGCTCTCGGTGCATGTGAGCGTGGGGCGTATTTTCAATATATGTATCTTGTATGAGGTCTCATCGCTTGCTCGAAGATGTCGAGTCTGTATAACGAAAAGACAGTCTGTAAGTGTAGGCACAGAAACTTGTCGACTGCTCGGCTCTTTGGAAAATAAATATGTTGGTCTATCATACACGACAAAGCTATGTATCCCATAATAAGTACTGGCACATCAACTACATCTTTTCTCCTTGAGCAGGCAATGATAAGAGATGCAGCATAAGACAAGATATCCGAAAGAATGATAGCAACAAGGATGGCATGATAACACGGCAAAACGCTGGAGTGAGCTTTTCTTTCTTTCAGAACATAACCAGAACAATTCAAAAGCTTAGGATAAAGCGTCACACAGGTATAACCTAAGAACAAAAGGAACTTCGATTCAACGCCTTCGCTATGCTAGTAAATCAACCTATATTCCTCCTCAGCGCCTCGTGGGCTTCCACTCGAATATCGAACAGCAGATCATCGATCTGTTTGAGTGCACTGCGGTCCAAGGTGGCAGACTTTGCATCATCCAATATTTTCTGCAGGGAGGCTATGATTCCCAGGTTGTTGGGTGTTGCTTGTGTCTCGGGAAGGTTGGTGGTTTGACTTGTGAGGGATCCGATTTGTTTCGAAGACTGTTTCTTCGTTCCCTCTGAGAGCTCATCCATGGGCGTGTTGGTCTGCTTCTCCGTCTGTTTCTCTGCCTCAAAGGCTGGAACAGGAGTAGCGTCAACAACTGTGTCGGCGTCTTGCATGAGAATGTCCTCAGACCGGGGAGTGAATTGCCCTCTGGGTTGACTCAATGAAAGGACCGTGGGCTTTTCCATGGGTTGTTCTGTCGACGCCTTCTTGTCTCCAAGCTGATCATCTTGAGATGGGGTCCTTGTGTCTCCCGCAGCATCGGCGGCGGGTAGAAGTTCCTGCTCCCTCGCATTTTGCTTGCGCGAGCGACTAGAAGTCGGCTTCGTAGGAGCAGAAAGCTCATCCGTAGACACAGGAGCGGCTTGGCTACTGAGACGAGAGGATCTTCGCTTCTGGGATGAGGATATAGCTGATGATTGATGGCTCGTCTGCCCTTCGCCAGTGGGCCGTGCATCGCTTGACTCCGAGGGCTTCTGCTGTTGGGATGATAGTTCGGTGTTCTGAGAAGTCGTCTGGCCTTCCCCAATGTCCTTCTGGTTGTTTGTAGATTTGGCCTCCTCGGTGGTTTTGGGTGTTCCCTTCGATTGACGTCGTTTCTTTGACGAACCTTTGGCAGGTGAAGGTGCCATTTGCTGCTCAGCATTTGCAGAATGGAGCTCCTCCACTTCAGTAATATCGCCCTTCGATTGCCGTCTTCTCTTCTTCGGGTTCGGTTCAACCGGCGACGCCAGAGCCTGGTCATCAGTCGTAGATAGAAGCTGTTTCTTGGACCGGCCACTGCGACTGCTGATAAGAGCCTCTGGATCATCAAATATGGGGTCATCCTTGTGGAAGGAAAACCGCGACGACCGTCGTCGTTCTTTGTTGGTAGGCGTCACGAACCCATCAACTTCCCGTTTTCTCTTCCTTGTGACAGGAGGCTGACTTTGCGTTTCCAAGGCCTGGCTGTCGGACCTCGCATTGGAGTCCACCGCAGACTCCAGATCTTGTTCGAGCTGAGAAGCAAGCTGAGTCTCCATGTCGTCACTGAAAGAATCTGCAATAGTATCGTCCAATCCGAAATCGATCTTCGGAAAATCTCCCGTAAGGTTAACGGTCTTTCCCCTTTTCTTGGCAGATGATTTCGAACTGTTTGGTTTCTTGGAAGAGCTGGGTGTGGATTCTTTAGGCGGCGTGTTTGCGCACGAGTCCTTGACAGGAGATCTCTCCAGCTGCTCCTCGCGCCTAGGTGATGAACCGGTTGCTGGAGTTTTGCTGCTGAACGAACGGAGTCGCTTAATGAGAGGAGTCCCTTCGCGCTGTTTGGAACGAGTATTTTTGAAAGTGTCCTTTCGAAGAGATTGGGCTCTCTTCGATTTCTTGTTGTTGGATGCTGGGGTTCGCTTGGACCTTTTACTGGCAGACTCTTTGTTTCTAGATGCGGAACCATTTAGCGAAGCAGATTCATCATTAGCATCTTGAGACTGTGACTGAACTTCCGGAGGGGACGAAGGAGGATCGGTTTGCCCCTCTGTTGAGACATTCCATGACTGAGGAAGCCCTGATCGGACCGCCTGTGCCCTGTCTCTGGTACCAGGAGTAGGCGAAGATCCAAGAAATCCATCTTCGTGGTCATTCCCAACAGCGGGTAGTGTCGGAGTCTGAGGAGTACCACGGTCCGGATTACGCAAATTGCGCAGGTGAGGAGGTGTCATGAATTCAAACTCTCGAGGCGTGTTCGCGGGAGACGATGACCGGAGATTCTCGATCATCGAAAACACTTCGCTGCGCTTTTTAGGTTCTCCAACAGCTGGCAGCGGAATTTGGGTGCCGTCATTGCTGATCTGCTCAGGAGTGTCGTCGACTGCAGGGGATGGCGGCTGCAAGTTACTTGGCTGTTCCAATGATGCTGGCAATGGGGCCGAATCCTTAGTGATAGGAGACGAATTGAAAGTGTCTGGGCCTGAAGTATCTCGCGTGCTGTCTAAAATGAAGGCGATGTGCGATTTCTCGTGCATGTCCGCTCGATCTTCTATTTGATTCAAGGCCTCAGGGGGACCGTTCTCAGAAATAGCCTAAGCGTGATTAGCACAACAGAACATCATACACATCTAGGTTGGTTACCTTTGGCTCCTCTTCCGCCGGCTTCTGTTGTTTGATACGCGACTCCAGACTACTCAAGGCACGAGAAACGAGTTCCGGACACGGCAAGGCGTCCTGTTGGCCAAATGTGGAATTCCAGAAGTCAACGAACCTCTTCGCGACAGACATGTGAGAAGATTCCAAGCCCGCACAGATAAGGAGCTGCTGTTTGTGCAAGCGATTGGTATCCTGGGGAGAGGAGGGCTGCAATATATTTAGGACAGCAGAGGAAAGAGCTCGGTACTACATCAGCCTGGTTAGCATTTGAAGAGACGCCGCCCCTTGCTTGCTTCATTCACATACAGCCGTAAGGATCCTGCTTTCCACGCCACTTTCAAGATTGATTTTCCGCAGTTCATCCTTGAGCCACAAAGCAAGGGACTGTTGGAGACTTTCCAGTGTCGCACAACGGAAAGCCACAACACCTGATCCCAGAAATGATGTCAAGGCTTCGAGGAAGTCTGCGATGCCGGCATTCTCCACTGGATTGAATCTCTCGTAGGATTCGTGAAGAGCGCGATTGAGCAATCCCCACAGGTTGTTGGGTGAAGATATTTTGGCTGTGGTAGGATGTGTGGTATTTTCCGACTCCACGTCCTGATGAAAGTAGGTGATGGAAAGGGAATGGTTCAGGAGTGATGACAATGATAAATAGGATTCCTGCACACCTGAAGCCATCAAAGACTGCGCAAGAGGCTCAACAACTGCTGATGTTATCTCGCGATCACTCTTTTCAGTCTTGACGACACGGACCAGGGAATCGACGAGCTGATCCCAGACTTGAATAGCGTTCAAAAACTTCAACCCTCTAGAGAGAATCTTCACGCTATTCTCGTAGTCACGCGACGCAGACCCATCACGCGCGCGAGCCGATTCAACTGGATAAGAGCGAAGGGTATCCGCAGCTAGCTGCGCAGTTGACTGCCACACTATCCCAGCAAAGCTGCTCGGTCCAGGGCAGTCGATCTGTCCCTCTGGGTACAGTTCTGCGCACTGTCTGAGCAGCTCCAAGCGGGCTCCTCTAGAGTTTCGTCCGTTACAAGCAGCTTGCAGTGTATCATTCACTAGACGCCGGTACGCGGGCGTAGGCTCCGGGACTCCTGGGGCTTCACTGATCAACCGAAGCAGGTGCACGATGGGACTATCCACGTTGGAGCTTGCTCTCGGATGCCGGTGTGTTGGGGTGCTTGCGGCTTGAAAAGACTCATCGGCCGTTTTCATGAAGAGCTTCTCGGTGAATGGGATACTGCCAAGCGAACAGATCATGGTTGTCGATAAGAAACGGAATCGGTCAAAGAATTTGTCCATGGTCTTGTCTTCGGCGGCATTTAGCGACGCAGGGCCTGCCTTCCAGAGCCGCTGGAGAAGACTAAGCACATGGGCCACTGCCTGCATTGAGTCTGGAGACGGCGTAATCTCTTTACTCGATGCGTGAGACAAAGCTTTACCTAGATTGACCCAAGTCAATGCGATCTTCGACCTCTCGATCTCGTTCGCCCAGACAGATGATCTGAAAATGGCTTCTAAAACTTTCAGAACACGGGTAATTCTCGAACGGAGCCATTTCGGATCAAGCGTTGGTAGTTCCTCAGGCGCAAGCTTGTGGGTTTCGTTGGCTTTGTTCACAGTCCACACTCTCACTTGCGAACTCCAGAACATATTAGACAGCACATAGGCAAGTCGAGTGCCCAAAGTCAACACTGGGTTTGGTACAGCAGAAGGTAAGGCGATGTACTCTTCCCATACAGTGTCGAGATGGTGATAAGGCACGGCGGGTCGGAATGCGTAGTACAGGAGATTGTGGTAACTGGACCATACTATTCCACTAGGCGTTGCGTTCTGCTTGTCCTTCTTTCGTTCAAACTGCGATAATATCGGTTTTCCCAGCATCTTCAGCAATGCAAGATTTGTTGTATCGCCAGGACTCGCAACGGAGACGAACCGGTTCCAAGCGATAATAGCCTGGGCCCGGATCATAGATTCACTGCAGTTGAAGCATCGTTGGAGAACAAGGACAAGCTCTCTGAAGTGCTCCCAGTGATCGATAGACACTCGCTTGTTCCTCAGGAACAGGATCATGACACTCCAGATTTGAGGAACATGTACACCACTGTCAGGGTCCGACATCATCCGGAGCATGCGCTCACATATTTCCGCTGCGAGCTTTCTCTCATTATCATTATCCATGGGCCGGTCAAAGATGTCGTAGATGCTCTTTGAAAGGATCGCATTCGGTCCATACACGTTAGCTATTTGGAACCCCAGACCGATGGCTTTTAATCGGATGTCTTTCATATGATGCAGGCATCCGGACACGAGATGATCCATCCAGGCATGCGCGTGAGAAATGAACAGCTGCTTTGAGTGGTTGAGAATGCGCGAGTAGATCGTCAGACGTTGCGAAACGACAGTATTCCCGCCAGTCCGCTCGGTCACGTCAATGAGAGATGGGAGCAAACGTGCCAGCCGAGAAACGGTCATCACTCTCGAATGGAGATTTGGTGCTGTTAAAATTGAAAGATAATGAACCAGCAGAGACTTTGGCACTTTGACGTCTTGTAGGCCGTTTATCGACTGCTCGACGAGAAAGCCTTTGAATTCGTCCGATAAGTGTGGCGCGACATCGCTTGCCCATAAGAGCGAATTCGCGAGCTTAAGAGCCTGGACGACGAGACTACTCTGTAATGGCTCTCCACTTGAGAACCCTTTGCCGACATCTCGCTGAATGAACTGCGTGATCAGTCCCAGCCTATCTACAATCTCCGTCCCCGTGGGCAGATTGTCATAGGCTCTCAATGCGCCAAAGAACTGCATATATGCGTCAAGCCGTGAACTGAGAGACTCCCCAGCCAACTGCTGCGTGATCGACTCCAACAGCATGGCGAAGGATTCCGGGGTGTGTGTCACAACAGTGGGCGAGTGGGTTGTGACGGGCGAACTCGTTTGCTTGAGGATAGACTTTGCCGGTTTGCATTCATTTGAAGGAGGAAGCGCTTTGAGCTCGGGCTCGGGCGTCGCGGCGGGATCGGTGAAGGACGGGGGTTTGATATATCGGGTCCATGGTGAAAAGTTCACCCGCTTGGATTGTCGGTTGGACGAAGCACCATTGGGTAGACTGGTCGACAACGGATTTTCACGAGGCGTCTGGGCTGCAACCGGTGATTCCTGTATATTTTCTTTCTCGGACAGCGGTCGAGACGTTGTCCTAGGCGGAGTAGGTGGACGAGCAGACAGAGGACCGAGGACCTCCACCATATTTCACGGAATCGAAGGACGAAAAGAGGACGGGAAAGGAAGAGAGGGTCAAGAACATCGCGATGCGGACCAGCTGAGCATTCAGACCACCGAGACCATCGCCGAGTTGAGTTGAAAATTGGGACGCTGTTCGACAGAGAGGAGAAGCACTGTCTAGCTCAGCCGATCCTCCTGGAACGGACCGCGCAGAGCGAAAAGAGACGCGCCTCGACTCGCGTGTCAGTGGCGGTGTCACGCGTAAAGTGTGGCGCATCACGTCTGCCGTGGCGCTCAGGTGTCAAGGCATCCGCGGAGGTCCTCCGGCGGCTACCAAACCCCACCTACAATAGAGAGACAACATCATTCTTCTTTCATCGGGAGTGTCGGCCTGTCGCAGTATTCACAGTATTTGGACAGGTTGTTTGACCTGCCAAATAATTAGGAAATGGCGTTCCGTCCCTTGTACGGCGCAGGTATCCTACCACCCATGACATCAGCTTCCAGCGCACCCGCTAATCATGCATGCAGAGAAGCTGCAGCAAGTCAAAGAGCTACTGGGCACTCTTGAGAAGGACCTGGAAGATCATTCACTCAGCTCATCTCGTATGCTATGTGTCATATTTCTAGTGGATATCTCTGACCCCCGATAGAAAAGACCCAATTCCTGCTGCAGCTGAGACAACATGGAACCAGTCCAGACAATGCGGGCCCCATCTATTCAAAAAGGGTATTGTATTATCATCTCGTTTCCAGATCTCATACTAATGCGGCTTTTCAGGGTATGGAGCTCCTATCAAAATACGGCGTTGAGGGAGAATCTCCCGATGTCCGTCGTGCTGCGTTGCGATGTATCGCCAACGCCCTGCTCCTGGATCCCAACATGCGCCAGACCTTTGTTGATACAGGCCGTGGCGGTAATCTCGCGGAGATGCTCAAGGTTGGCCAGATTATCTAATAATCTCCGTGATTAAAGACTAATTACCTCAGTGTGACTCTTCGGAAGATGAAATGATCATCAGCAGAATCCTCTTCCTATCCACGTACAACACGACGATGGATTTCAAAAAGCTCATTGACGAGCATTCATTGGCGGATAATGTTGCTTACGTATGCTGTCTTCTAAACCCTTGTGGTGTCCCTATACTAAACCCTGTAGCAACTCCAACGCCACCTCGCCCAGTTGCCCGAATCAGGAGAGGGCTCGCTAGCTCAAATCGACGAGCTGGGTCTGACAGACACCTCGAAGCTCATCTTCAACGTTGCAAAAATCTACTCAGACCTGGCACCTGCTTTTTCATCTTCGATTCCTCATATCTTCAACCTAGTATGCCGGCTTCAAATCCCTTCCCAGCCGTTGGACGGTGTGCTCGGTTCTCTGCTCAACTGCCTGTCAACACTCGACCTGGAAAATAAGGAGGGTACCCCATTTAAAAGCAACCCTATGTTTCCTCCCTCCGATGAGAACCGTAACGTCGACAAATTAATTAAAGTCCTCGACCTCTCCATCTCTTCCAGCACCCCTCAAGACCTCGATATCAAAGGCGTTTCCCTTCTCTATGTGCTGATCAACCTCTATGAGCTAGCTCCAGAGGAGACTCGCAAGCACGTGGAGACTCTCCTGCTCCCCGACGACAGTGACCGAAGCCAGCCAATCGGACAGTCCGATACGCTGTCGTCGAAGTTGCTGAAGCTTTCCACAGTGCCATTCTCGAACATCAAGAACGCTGTCTCCGAATTGCTCTTTGTTCTATCGTACAAGGATGCAGAGAGACTCACAAAGAATATCGGATACGGGTACTCTTCCGGGATTCTTGCATCTCGGGGCATGCAGCTTCCTCAAACCGCCGGCGAAGCATTTGCTGCCGAGGAACATGACCCTGAAATTAACCCCATTACTGGGCAGAGGTGGGATGCGGAGAGACAGGATACAGGGCCGCCTATGACGAGGGAAGAGAAAGAAAGAGAGGCGGAGAGGCTGTTTGTACTCTTTGAAAGGTATGACTCAAGTCCCCCTGTTTGGTGAAATTCTGATTGCTGACTTCACATAGGGCAAGAGCTAATGGAATACTTAACGTGGAGAACCCCGTCAGACAGGCCCTCCATGAGGGCAGATTTGAAGAACTGCCTGACTCTGATAGTGACCGTGATTAGTCTATCTTCGGGGTTGCTATTTATATGTTGGCATAGTATCAATCTACTTATAATAGTAATCACATTTTGGCACTCTTTACTACTACGACTCTCCGATCAAACATAGTGTGTTAGAAGCTCCGTGTTATGCACCTTGAGGAAGTAGGCAAGATAGATATCAGGTGATCAGATCCTCAAAGTACAAATCCAAGGTTGCTGGGATTCGAATCCAAGCTCGTCCTGTCAAAATCGCAAAAGGAAAGACAGCAGGCAGATATGCACCCTTGTGTTGGTCACAAAAACCTCAGGCTCTTGCCCAAATTGAGACAATGCAAGACAGAAAAGGCAGAAGATATTACCATTCCTCCATGTAGCAGTCTTCAACCCTCAGATCCAACGAACTAAGTATGCCATGGACCGTGATCTGCTTAACTTCGCCCTCACGGCGCACCCTGTCTCTTGATTGCTGCAAACATCAGTAGACATAGGTTAAGAGGTCATTGACACTCACACTTCCGTGCAACAATTTCAAACTCAACGGGGGCGGTATTGGCTTTCAATAGTGCTCGGTGCCACTGCTCGCGGGAATGGATAGGTGTTGGTTGGCGGAGGGTAGCGTGACCTTTCTGTAACGGACGGACTAGACGGCGCTCAGGGTCAAAAGCGCACTGGCTTTTGGGATATGTCTCCCATCTGCTGAATTGGAGTAGAGAGACGTCAAACAACTCTCCCGAGTCGGTCCTCTTCTCCCTCGGGATAAACTCCAGCGCTGCAAGTTCCCCGCAGTAGTCAGGGTCGACGCGGTTGTGGATGACAATGTCAACATTGTAGATGTTGGTACCGTGGGTGACTTTCTCGTTTGAGTCACGGGCTGGTTCAGCCGTCAAATTCGACACCATGAACAATTCTTTCGCCATAGCTAGGAGTGCCTCCAAGCACGAATCCTGGTTGCATGAATATGCCTCCTGTACAAGAGGTGGAAACGAGAGATGTGCGGTAAGAGGGCTTGCTCCGCGGCTTCCACAGGATATATTATCTCCAGGGTGCTGAAAACTGTTTCTTCTTCTTGAATTATCGAGTTGAGGATCAAGTTGATTCGACTTTCATCCGCAGAACCCTTGCAAACGCCTTTGAAATGACAAACCGTGGGACTTCCAAGGTAACCTCCGGGGGAGTGGCTGGGTAAATCGCTTCCATTGGGTTACTGGGCAAAATGAAGCATCGACTGACAAGCTTGACGATAATTAGCCCAAGGGACTCGACACGGTTGGATTGATGCGAGGTTGTAGAAGGCTGGCGAAGGAGATGGGGAACTAAACAGTGCAAAGAGTAACACAATACTTGGCAGACAGACAAGATGGCCGAGTGGTCTAAGGTCCGTTGACCTCGTGCCCAATAGTAGACCCCTGACGTTAAGCTAACCAATAATGGAATAGGCGCTGGTCTTAAGAAGCTCTTCTTGAGTTCCAGTACGCATTTGCGTGCGCGAGTTCGAACCTCGCTCTTGTCAACATTAAATTTTTTAAATGTTTTGTATCCACCAATACCTTTCTTTCCATTATTAAATTAAACCAACCGGACGATGAGCGTGGGAGGCAAGGTGAGCAAATAATGGACCATGTTGTTATTAGATTCTTGGAAGGGTGTAAGATGATATTCATCAAAAAGACTGGCTTTTGGTTTCTATCTAAAATATTCGGATCCCTAACAGGCCCCAAACCCTATTCAATAATAATAGTCATGTTCGTTCATTCGTACAAAAAGTCCATAGCGAGTAAGTCGACGCTCCACTCTCTTGCCGGGTTTCGATCAATTTGAGAAACCTACTGCACCATAGAGTGGGAACCGACCTCTCGCAGAGGCAGACGACCTCCTGAAGAGGGTCTGGAGACGCGCACCGTCAGCCAGCATTGGCGGTCTTGATCCGATCCGCCCATGCCGTTCGGTGAGGTTGCGCGGAGACTGATGGACCATCCATCAGACTGGATCTCCATCACACCATTTCACCTAGCCTAATTCTCAACGCCAATCTTGACCTTCTTTTCCGGCGGAGGGATCACTTTGTCTTCCGCCTGGCCCTTGAGGCTCGGAAGTTCGGTCACGGCCTGGGAGATGATGTCAAGCGCCTTCTTGATCTCGTCCTCTGTGATGACAAGGGGAGGAGCCAGGCGAATGATGTTCTGATGAGTCGGTTTGGCCTACGCAGAGAACATTAGCGATTGTATGATTGATCACAGCCAGACGCGAACTTACCAGGAGACCCTTCTCCTTCAACAGCATACAGAGATCCCAAGCCGAGTGACCGTTGGTCTTGGACTCGTCAATCACGATCGCATTCAGCAGACCCTTTCCACGCACGGATTGGATCATGGGGCTTTGGATGGCCTCCAGTCCACTGCGGAAGACATGGCCCAGTTTCTCGGCGCGCTCAACCATCTGTTCCTCTTGAACAACCTCGAGGGCTCGGATCGCGACAGCGCAACCCAGGGGGTTACCACCGTAGGTCGAGCCGTGGGTACCAGGTTCAATGGTGAGCATGACGTCCTTGCGGCCCAGCACACAGGACACGGGATACATGCCGCCAGAGATAGCCTTGCCCAGCAGGACCATGTCGGGCTTAATGCCGCTCCACTCGTGGCAGAGAAGCTTTCCAGTGCGAGCAATACCGGTTTGGATCTCATCACAGATCAGAAGGGCATTGTGCTTGTCGCAAAGAGCACGGGCTTCTTGCAGGTAGTCCTCATCCGGGACGACAATGCCGGCCTCTCCCTGAATGGGTTCGACCAGGAAGGCGGCGAGGTTGGGGCCGGCCTTCTCGAAAGCCTCGCGCAAAGCGGCCTTGTCATTGTAGGTGATGGGACGGTCCGTTCCGGGGATGTTGCATCCAATTCCGGGGAGGTAGGGACCGTAGTTCTCCCGCGACTCGGGGTCGGAAGAAAGAGAAATGGCAGCGAACTATATAGTGAGTGAGCCATTGCGCTTTATATTTACAGCTTCTACGCCTTGAAAATGCAACTGAAGATGGAGGGTGAGACATACGGTACGTCCGTGGAAGTTGTTCTCAGCACTGAGAACAATGGCCTGGTTTTCGGGGATACCTTTGACCTTGTAACCCCACTTCCGAGCAATCTTGATGCCGGTTTCGACGGCCTCGGCACCCGTGTTCATGGGGAGGACCATGTCAAAGCCAAAGTACTTGGTGACAAACTGTGCAAAATGGGGAAATACATCATTGTAGAAGGCACGGGAACTGAGGGTGACACGAGAGGCCTGGTCGACGAGAGCGGCGACCAGCTTAGGGTGGCAGTGACCTTGATTGACGGCGGAGTAGGCCGAGAGGAAATCAAGATAGTGCCGACCTTCGGGATCCCAAACGGAAGTTCCCTGGGCACGAGCGAAGACCACCGGCAGCGGGTGGTAGTTGTGGGCGGCGAATTCATGTTCAGCCTGGATGGCCTCTTGAGTGGAGGCAGCATGGTAGGCAGAGGTACCATTAGAAGTGCCGTTGGAAGCCATGATGAATGGGGGTCAAGAAGGAAGTAAGGTAGGAGAAGGGAAGGGGAGTGAAGGATGAGAAGAATAAAAAGAGAAAGAGAAAGAGAGAGAAGAGAGAGAAAAAGAGAAGGGCGATTTATATGGGGATGGGACGATGGAACCCGAACGTACCTCGAGTTTAAGCTATGCCGCTAAGTGCAGGTCTACCCGCGACCCCAGTCCCCCGCCGGCCAATCGGCTCCCGGTCATTTACCCGGCCTTATTAATATGCTTTTATTACCTAATACCAACGGCCTTTGCCTGACTAAGTCCGCTGCCTCTCTCTTCCACTATGTATTACTGTTGTTGTACTCCCGTAGCTTCCGTGACGGAGTATCACCATGGCCCCGTCAACTCCCTCCTCACTCACCCTCTTCCTCTTCCTCCTCGCCCTCCGTCTCCTCAACGCCCTCTCCCTCTCCACCTTCTTCCAACCAGATGAGTTCTTTCAGTCTCTCGAGCCCGCCTACCAGATTGCCTTTGGTGACAATCAGGGCGCCTGGATTACCTGGGTCAGCTGCACCACTTTCCTCCCACCCCGCAAAGAAAGCCGATGCTAACCTTCACGCAGGAATGGAGACATCAGCTGAGATCCTCGCTGCACCCGCTGCTTTTTGCCACCGTCTATAAACTCGCCGACCTTTTTGCGCGTCTCCTCCACCTCTCTTCTCCCGTTCGTGCCGACTTTCTTGTCGCCGCGCCGAAAACCGCACAGGCCCTCATCGCGACCATCGGGGACTTTTATACCTGGAAACTGGCTCGGCTGGTGTACGGACGAGGGAGTCATGAAGCGACAGCCGTGGTAGGCCTCATCGGCTCCGCCTGCCGTATATATTCCACGCTGATCGATCGAGCTAGCTGGCCTTAACCGTCCTCAGTCCTTGGCAATGGTTCTGCTCCACCCGGACGCTGTCGAATTGCCTCGAAACCTCAATCACCGTTGTCGCCTTGTATTTGTGGCCATGGGAGTGGTCTGTCAGAACCGCGTCCAACTCTCGGACGGACGGCGACAGACGTCTGTTTAATCGGTGCGTGTCACTACATTCGAATGACGCGTTACTGACGACTGACTGAACCTCTCAGACTCCGCCAATGTCTCTGTCTAGCAGCACTAGCTTGTATCTTGCGCCCTACCAACATCCTTATCTGGGTGACGCTCGCCAGCGTCGCATGGGTACGAAGTGGCTGGTCGCAAAAGAAAACACTCTGTCGCGAAGTGCTCCTCTGCGGGTAAGTCAACACTCGGCTAAAGCCCGGCCCAGGGACTCACACGTCATAGGTCTTCCATTCTGGGCATTTCGGCCCTTGCCGATCGCTTCTACTACAGTGTCTGGACATTTCCACCTCTCAAGTTTCTCTACTTCAACCTGGCTCAGTCTTTAGCCGTGTTTTACGGACGCAATGACTGGCATTACTACCTGTCTCAGGGATACCCGCTTCTCCTCACGACAGCCCTCCCCTTCACTCTCGTGGGCTTGTATCCCGTCTTGGCCCGGACGCCGCCCTCCACGAATAGCAAATCCAGTCAAATACAGCGCCAGCTAGCTGGAATCTGTTTGTTCATGCCATTAGTGCTCTCCCTCATCTCGCACAAGGAACTCCCGCTTCATCTACCCGTTGTTGCCTGCGCTACATGTCCTGACTGCCCCCTCCGTTGGTGGACTTCTTCCTCCCCCGCGGTGTCCGCTCTCGAAATGGGGCATACACCCCCGCGACGACTGACGCTTGCATTCCTTGTCCTCGTCAACGTTGTCATCGCAGGCTACACCAGCGTATACCATAATTCGGGGATTATCAACGTTCTCTCCTACCTCCGGCACCAACATGAGACGCACGACCCCATCAGCCGATCCCCAGACCCCCTGCTTCACCCCTACGAGGCCGACGCATCTCAATCCGGAATCACCGCCGGCTTCCTGATGCCCTGCCATAGCACCCCATGGCGCTCTCATATGGTCTACCCGTCTCTCTACGCATGGGCACTCGCCTGCGAGCCTCCCGTCGGCCTCAATGCAACCGAAAAGGCCCTCTACGTCGACGAAGCCGACCAATTCTACAATGACCCCGCCCAGTTCCTCCGCGACAACATGAGCGGCGGCCTGCGTCACATCCCCCGCAGCCCCTCCTACGATCTCACCCCAGAACCCTCCGCACACCACAGCCCGGCCGCCTACCAAAACGCCCTCCCGCACGATTGGCCCGACTACCTCGTCTTCTTCGCCCAGCTCGAACCCACCCTGCAAACCCTCCTCCGCAGCTCCTCCCTACGCGGAGTGCTGGTGCACCTTTAAACACGCCCTGTACATGACGACTGGCGCCGTTCGTGGCGACATTTGTCGTGTGGTGTCTCGACCCGGCGGAGCAGTCCCGCGTGGCGGTCACAGCAACGCCAGCGCGCCCCCTCGAACAGCGCGACCCGACAGTTTGAGACGCAATCATCCAGGAATTCCGCAACGAAGGCACGGCGTCAGCATAAAGGGCTGGGGCGGTCGATCGTCGCCGTGGCAGCGCTGGACGTCCGGGTTGTTTTCCCGGTCCCGTACGTGGTCGTGGCCGTGGGATCGCCGTCAGCAATTGCAGTTCGAGTTCCCGTGGTCCCGGACGTCCTCGCCCGCGTGGAGCGGCTCGTGGCCGTCGTGGGACTGGCTGTCCTCCTCGAAGAAGAAGGCAGAGGCTCGCTACCGGGACCTGTGGACCTAGAGACGCTGTTTGGCTGGGCCTTGCGTGATGGATGTATGATCACTTGTTTTGCTTATCGTGTCTCTCTTTTCTTCACTTCTTTCTTGTGTTCAATTGGCTCATATACCCCGTAGCGGATCCGGTAATTTAATCAGTTGGATATCCAAACCAGATCTATATAGATGGACGACTATATACCGTAACTACATAATCTATCCAGCACGAACTTGTCTAAGTCGCTCTCTCAACCATCCAGCGTAACTGGCTGAAAATCAAACGCCGCCAAACAATGCTCAGTCATATGATAATGGTGTACACACAAACCGGAAAACAGCAGTGACATGGATAATAAACGGCTTCACATGAATTTGTCAAGAAATGCATTCATCTACCCGTAGCGTGCGCTCAAACTGGCAAACGCGTCGGGGCTGTGTCGGCCGTTCTGGAGGTTGTTTATATCAACACTTTGTTGGCTCATGTGGCCCCGCGGAAAGGTCGTTGCGGTCGGGGGCGCGGATTTCATGGTCGTCGCAAAGGGAGAGTTCTGGGCATCAGCTGTGCCTGCGGCTGGGATTGTGCGTGCTGCTGTTGCTGTTGCTGGGGAAAGGTAGGAGGATTGGGCGGGGCGGTGAAGAAGGGGTTTCGAGAGCCGGATTGGAAATCGGCTGATGGTTGGGATTGAGGTTGGAGCTGAGGTTGTTGAGGTGCATTGATGGTCGGGGGGAAAGGCGATGGTTGCGTCAGGCCAGGAGCTTGCTGTTGCGGATTTGTCGGTAGGGGTGGTTGAGGCGGGGAGAAGCTGTATAAAGACAGGATGGTGTTCTTGTCCACCCGGCCCGTCGGCTGCGGAGCAAGATGCTGCGCGGGTTGCGGCGCCTGGAAGCTGTACTGCGGCTGGTAGGCCGTTGCGCTCTGCGGGGTGGTCGGCGCGGTCATGGATTGGAACGGATTGTGAGAGGCGAAGGCCGGCTGCTGCGGAGCGGGCTGGGGCTGCGACGGCTGCTGGAACGGAGAGGGCTGGCCAAAAGGCGAGGTGGTCGAGAGCGTCGGCATGGTGTTTGCATGTCGTGGTGGATTTGGCACCGTCGGGGGGCCCGTGAGGCCCTGGTTTTGCGGCTGCAGTGAGGTCGCAGGGGACGGCGCCTGGGTGAAGAACGGGTTGGCCTGCCCGACTGTGGTGGGGGTTTGCATGGAGGCAGCCACGCTGGGTTGCGACGACTGGAAGAATGGGTTGTTTTCGACCGGCTGCGGGGACTGTACGAATGCGTTCTGGGTGAAGCTGGAAGTTATTGGGGGAGTAGCCGACGGCGGCTGGTACATCGACTGCGGTGCCGGTGGTTGAGGATACGCCTCCGGTGGAGTGTGGAAACAGAGGTTGCGAGACCTGAAG